TTAATATGCTCGACCCGACCAAAGGAATAGAACAGGCAAGACAAGCACAGTGGAAAGTAAGAGGGAATAGAGTGAAACGAGAAGATATAAAGGAAGATAGAGTTTAAGAAGTTTAGAAATAGAAATGTAAGGAATAGAGGTGTAGAAGTAGAGAAGAAATAAGGAAAGAGTTAAATAAAAAAGTAAAGAATGACAGATAAGGAAAGAAGGAAGTAAAGAAGAAATAAATATAGAAAGAGACAAAGGTTGCAAAGGGATAAGAGTAATGATTCCAAGAGACCAGGATAGGAGACCGGCTCGAGGAAGAATGAGCACTCGGAGTCCGGGCACTGCCTCGAGCGCTCCCCCTACTCTCCGCCCTCTCCCACTCAGCGAGTCCTGCCGCGACAAATTTGCGCGCACACAATTTTAGGCAACTTCCAGTATTTCTAAATATGCTTGGCCAGGATTTCCGATTTCTAAGTGTTAATATTTTATTTTATTGATTTTATTAATCATTTTAATGTTCCAAACACCTAATTTATTAATAATTCAATTTGAACGTAGTTTATTTTCGTTATTCTACAATTTCAATTCAATTTTTACCTACTTCGTATATTCTGCGAAATTTTGATTTAGCCTCAATTTTATATTTTGAATAAATTTTGAAAGTAAATCAAGATCCAATAATTTTTAGTAGTATTTGGAAAGCTTTATTCAATTTTTCAAATTTTGAATTTGAATTTCGTATTTTAACGATGTTACGTACCAGAACTATTGTTAAAACCTATTAGGAACTGTAGAACTCCTCGAGAACTATTGAAAAAGCCTATTGTTGAAACATTTTTAAGACTTTTCAAGAAAGTGCGGTGCCAACTTGACACCTATGTAGCACCTCAATTTTTGAAAAATTGTTCAACAATAGGCTTTTTCAATAGTTTTTGAGAAGATCTATAGTTCCCGGTCTCGTTCTAAGGGTTCCTTTCGGGAAGCAGCAGTGAGTAGCGGAGAGCCTCTGCCCGCCAAGCTACACGTTCGTGTTCAGGCTTAGCTCGGCTACGACCGGATTCGCATTGTCGACAGAGGCGATGATCACAAAATTCTACTTCCAGACTCGCCGCTACGATTTAGCGCCATGATTCTGGTATCATCTAAAACCGTAGCATTGTGCATCTCCTTGTTCATCTCTGGTATGAACGTTAACTTTTTCAGATGATTTGAAGTGGGGATCGCAATCTATGGAATAGTCCGTACAATAGGTCCGTTCGTGCAAACGTTTTCACGGGCTGTGAAACATTTTATGTGTGTTCGAACATGATCCGAGAGCGGTGAGAGCATGTTGTGTCTCGATAACATGCATGCAATAAAGTGAAAGGCAACGTTGTGCTATGCGCTTGCGGCTCATTTTTGAACATACCTATGGTGTTCCATAGCGATCCGTCCCCCACCCCTAGAGTTTGACGACCTATATGTAAGATTGTGCCTAGAACGTGCACAGATGGCACAAATTTTATAATTTAAGGTTATGTAAAAAAAAGCTACGCGAGTTATAAAAAGAACTTCCAAAAATATATGACATTGTTAAAACAGTTAAAAAGATAATGTCTGATTCAGAATATCAAGATCCTTTGACTCGTTTAAACACTACTTTAAATAAATCTATGGCCTTTATGGAAACTAGTACGAAATCTCCACAGAATTCCAAAAGTAACAAAGCTGTGAAGATAAACACAAAATCTCAGCCACGAAATGCAACAAAGAGTGTTACGTCGAGGAAGAGTATTCTGAAGAAGAGAAATAGTAATGATGAGAATAGTGAACAAACTGAATCCCTTAACGTTACAGTATCGAATGGAAATTCATCACCAAAAAAAGTTCAAGTAGTTTCAAGACCAAAAAGTGTATGTATTACATGTTTCTTTCTTTGTTACAGTGTATCATATCATTGATTTTGTTTTACAGCTCAAGGACCTATTACGAAATGAAAATCTAGCTGTAGATTCCACAGAATCTACTTATGGTCTGGAAGACTTAAGTGACAACGAAGAAATCTGGTTAATGAACATTCCTAGAACAGTAAGTATACTTCCTGCCATCATGCTATAATGTTTGTAGCTCTAACTATCATATCACCCTTAGATTAATCCACGCGAGTTGGAAAATCAGTCCCTGTACCTCGGAGATAGAAGTAAATTTAGAATTGGAGAGGAACGGTATTATGCTGTAAATTGTGAAGCTCCTGACAGTCTCACCTGTGTCTTCAATACCAGCAAGCCCAGAAAATCTTACAAGACTGGTAATAAATAATAAACCATCTCCTATATTTAATTATTAAATCAATTGTATTTCTCTTACAGTAAATCTCAAGATGGCTGGCACGATAACAGTTCGCAGGAAACTACCAGGGGTTCTAAAGATAAAGCCAGAGCCTGAAGAGAGATCCAAAGTTCCATTTCCTAAAAATATAAAAAAAAGACATCCTCTGTTTGGTGCATGTTACAAGAGAGATTTGATATGAGGAAAAACATATATATAGGTATCGCTAGGATTTGTTCTCCTACATATTTTTATGTTACTTTCAATAAATTAATGCTAAAGAAACTTGCAAACTTAATCACTCCAATACACTGTACTCAAGGACCGGCTCATGTGTAAGTGTTCTTCTCAATAACATACCTCACTGAAACAATCTTAACACAATGCCGTCCGCACGTCTAATCGTGATTCTTTCGTTTGGCGCCAGCAGGACTACGATACTGGCGTTTATTCGATAGCTTTGCGTACGATACCAACGTGGTGCCACCAGCATTTCCCCGATAGTTTTCGCGGGATACCAACGTGGTGTCACCGGACGGCATAGTGGTAAAACTCATGCCCATTCCTAATTCGGAAGGATTTGAAATAAAAAATGTGTACCCAAAGTATTACGATTGAAATTTGTATTTTATTATAAAATTATTTCTCCTTATATTTACTCTAATATACAGACGAATTAACTTGCTTAATAATAATAATAAGAATAATTATTAAACATTTAAATAATATTGGAGCAGGATATTACATCGTCTTCGTCTTATTACTCACGCTCGTATTCATCGTCCTGGCGTTAATCCTCTGTAGAAGCTTCACCGGTAAAGTTCTCGAGACCGTCGAAGGTAATGATCCTTTGTGAGAATAGAAGAAAGGAAAAATATATATATATGCCAGAGACAACAACGCGAAGAAGACACACTGGTATAACACGTCAAGTGTACGATTGACAAGTGTGCTTTAATTACAATTGAAAATTAATTAGGCCACAACGTACGATGTCAAAGGATCCTCCTTCCCGGCGATTCGAGAAGAAACTTCATAGGAACGACTTGTATTATCGTTTATATATCTTACAGCCATCGTACAGAAATATATATACAATTTACAGAAATTATAGAGAAGGGCTAAAATATTGACAGAGGGGAATAATACGGATATCATTGAATGGGATTTTTGGCGGCTATTAAGGTAGGTGGTAAGGTAAATGGGTAATTGCTGGTCGGAATAAGGAAAAGTGAGTTTCGTATAGTCATACTAAAGAAAAAAGAATTCAAAATATCCTCTATAATACCTAAATGTACATAGCTAGTAGTAGCTTGCCACTGGGTTTTTGTATTTTTTTGCCGTTATATTATTGTGATGATTTTCATTTGTATTTTCACCTCGTGTTATATCGATACCTCCCTACTCTTTGCGCTCTCAATAATCAGTCAAGATTGGGAGACTGTTCTCCGTTTTCTTTTACATTTTACTTTTTCTCCCCCCCCCCCTTCTCTCTCTCTCTCTCACTCAATCTTCTCGCTCCTCAATTGCAGAGAATATTCCGGGGAAATCCCCTGAGCACAGCCCATAATACTGCAATTGCAATTGTCATTAGAACAAAATCATTGCATAATTTTTCGTTTCACCAACTGTACGCGCGTGGAACGAAATTAAACATCAAAACTAAAAAAAAAAAGAAAAACTGAGAAATGCAAAAAGAAGTATTCGCGATCCACTGGAATTTTCTCGTTGACATAATTTCACTTTTTTTTCTATTTTCTTAATTGCAGTCATCGCACAGACTTTCTTTTCATTTTTTTTCAACTTCCTTCTATATTACAGTTGTATATATACATATACATAGGATATATATATATATATATGTTATATACAAGAACACACGTCACACGCATACAATAATATATATATATATATATATATATATGATATGTACATTATATTTACATACATGCGAAGAAAGTTTACGAGTCAGTGACGGCAGATGAATTCATTTATCATTAGTTCTCAAAAACAGTCAATCAAAATGCTCCCAGTACGTGTGGTCAATTAAAATATTAAAAAACTCTATCGTTACTAATCAAGTATCTTCACAAGATACGCAAATTCTGTAACGACCATTAGACACAAGAATGTCACTGCATCGTTTCGTGCAAAAAATTTCACGTATAATAAAAACAAAACGGATACAGAGAACCCCTCCCCAGCTCCACCTCAAAAGACGGATGAGACAATAAAACAAAATGACGCATTAGGGAGCACCCACTTTTCAGTATCCACAAAATAGGAACATAAACGTCAGTAATATTTATGCGTTCAGCGAGGCGACAAGAAACAAAAGAAAAGAAAAAAAAACAAGGATACGAATCTCCGGTTATCTCCTAATCGGCACATGCGGAATAGTAAAATTAAGAGGCTGCAAATTTCATCTCGTGGATGCGGATGTGCGGTGGGACAAGTGAGGGTGAGCAAATTTAGTGGCTGCTCTAAAAGATAAATATTTTCAAATATACCGAAGATTCTTTCAATTATCGTGTATTATATGCACGCATCTCTTCTCTGTTTTGTTACGTATTTACAATTTCTTTGCCTATGCGTTTATCTACCTTTTGTTTTTCTGTATCCATAATCATCGTATATATACATATATATCGTAATATCGGCATTCGCAAAACTATTGCGCTCAACTGTTTCTGCTTTTTGTTTCATCTGTATATAACGTCAGTCTTGGATTACTTTGTTTCTCACGACAAAACAAGAGAAGCAAAAAGAATGAGAGAAAGAGAGAAAGAGTGAATTTACAAGAGTTCAAGATACAATAAAATAAAAGGATTTATCAACGAGAGTGAGGGGAGGGGGGGTGGAGAAAGAGAGAGAGAGAGAGAGAGAGGGGGGGAGAGAGAGATAGAGACGTCAATAACGTCGTTTGTATAAATTAGAAGAAACAAGAGAAAGCTAAAAGTAAATATTAAATGAGTAAAACGTACACGCACTAATCTCGCTACATTGGGTAAGAATGAGGAAATGTACATCGTCTTGTCGTGCCTCTCTGTTTATAAAAATTTGCTAGGCGTCTAGTGTCAATGATTTAAAGAAAAGAAAAAAAAAATTGAGAAAACGTTCGAACAATGCATTGTCCGCTGTTGCTGTATAAAAAGTTCCATTGCCACACGACAACAAGGTACACTGAAGTTATAGCCTCGGACAGATTCTTCTACAGCAATTAATTGCTCGTCGTACATTTCCTCATTGCTCCAGTTGGATTGGCTTTTCTCTACGCACAGACGAAAAGTAGCAATTTAAAATTCCTGATGAACAAACGTTTTTGCTCTTTGCTTTTGTATACCGCGAACGGCCTAAATGCTACTACGATACAACAACGCTCACGTTGCCCCGCTGCCGGCAACGTGAATACATTTGCAAAAGATTCTTAAAAAAAAAAAAAAAAGATTCCATCATCGAACAAGATGACGTTAGACTTTCTACTTTTCTTTCTTTTTTGTATAACTATTAAGCAACTGTCAGTTAGCTTTCTTTGATTCTCTGTTTTGTAGGTTAGACTGTTAGGCGCGTGAATTGCGCTGATAAAGGTCTGGTCGTGGCTCTCGTCGTCGATCGATAAGATAACAAAAGATTTAAAGGATAAGCGACAGGTCGTAAGGAAGATGAAAGAAAAAACTTTTAGAAATCAGAGACGAGTCGCTAATAGAATAAATAACAATATTATCGACACTGGCAGATAATTTTGAGTAGATGGAAACTAGCTGAATAAATAATAAGAGAGAGAAATAAAAGTGTTAATGGTAATTAATAATAATAGTAGTAGCAATAGTAATAATAATAATAAAGGAGGATATATCAGTAATCGAATAGTTCTGTATCAAGAGTGTATATGTATACACAAAATTCGTACATTACGTATTCAATTCTTGTTTTTGCTCTTGTTCTCCTATATAGACGCCTTACGTACTTATCACTGTCGGACTTTCTGCATTCCCAATGCAAGAGGAATGTCGATGACGAGTGACGAATGATGGTGAACGTACAATTCTATGTATACATAATAAATCCGAGAACGTATCTCAATAACAATATTCGATAATAATACAGTTTAAAAACGTATCTACAATTCTTGTTACTTTTTTTTTTCTTCCACCAACCCATTCTTAAGTATCCGCTTTTTAAAATTTATTTTCTGTACTGTAACACACACGCACATTCTCTCTCTCTCTCTCTCTCTTTCAGTCACTTGGTGCTCACCTCCTTCAGCTCTCTCACTCTCTCTCTCTCTCTCATGCTCTCAATCGATTACCTCTACTAGTATAGATTTAATTGGAATAAATCGTTCATCTTTTAAATAGCTGCTTTATACAAAATTACATTATAGAAACTGACAGAGTCGAAAGTATCTGAGCCAATTCTCTTTCATATCACCTAACTACCCTAAGAACCAGATTCCCTTCGTTTTATTCGATTTAAAATAATATACAGCCGCTAAAAAAACCATCAGCCAGCCCTCCAGGTTATCAAGCCCAAGGATCCTCCAGTGCCCGTGCAAGAATGCAATACCAACGACATTTCATCTCGCGGGAGTACATATTATATTGTGTGTTAAAGAAAGAACAGTCAAGAAAAGAAAACAAGAAAGAACAGTACACGTCCAAGACACATAAATATGTACAGATTGTTATACGTAGGCTCTCGAAATGTGTATAAATAATTATTGCCAGAGAGCGAGATCAGACAGTAGACAGTCCCGGAGGATCATTGTACAACGTGCACGGGAGGAGACTCGCACCATGGTGGAGGGCTTCGTGTGGGTTATTGCTTCGTCGTATCCTTCCCGATGCAAGGTCGCGAGGATAGTAGCAACGAGTCCATTGTGAGACAGTCGACTATTTAGCACACTTTTTTAAAGGGGGGTCACGAGCCAAGGATGCTGCGCACAGCCTGGTCTAACACAGCATCCTTGGAATCGCTCTGGGATGCTGAAGAGTCGGTGGTGGATGCCGTACCGCTGGAGTTGATGGCATTAGACGGGCGTTGCTTGAGATTAAGTATACTATCGATGGCCGACTGTACCTGGGCTGTGATGTCGTGCTCTTCCTGCACATTTTCGTTATCGTTAAGCTGGAGCGTACCTGGACACTGAGCCTGAGAATGAAGGGCCAGCCCATCCAGACTATCTGTGTCGTCGAGCAGGTCACGTTCCAGGTCCGTAGCGCTACTCCATCGTCTCTCCGTCAGCTGCTCGCAGTCCCTTGTGGGTATTACACCAGATACTGAGGTTGCACTTGGTCCGGAGGCACTAACACGATATTCGCCGTTGGCTCGCGTCCTTTCGAGTCGTGCGTGTCGAGACACTGTTCCACAGTTAGCACTGGTAGCACTGATACCACTATTACTACTTACACCGGATATATTAATCCCGCAGGTGGCGCCAGTACTTCCGCTACTGGCGCCACCGCCGACACTTTTGCACTTTGACGTCTCTACGCTCGGGTAGACACCTAGTTCCTTCTGAATCTCCAGCCACTCGTCGTAATCGCCGCTTGTGCAGCTTGCAGACTTCATTGGAGGTTTTGTATCAACCTCTGCGGATAGTCTAGCAACCGGAAACTCTTCCTCGAGCTCCCGTTTCACGGACATGCTACTCAGGATGGGTGCCGGATTGGGTTTTACGTCTTCTGATAGACCAGGCTCTACCTTAGGTATCAGAGGTTTTTCGTCCTTCTTGAATTCCTCTAAAATTTTATATTGCATGTCGGTTTAAGTACTCGATAGGAGGCTTGTAGAAGATTCACAAAATTTACTTACCGTTCACTTTGGATTCCTGTTCTCGCAGTCTGTTCAAGATGTTCTGCTCCTCAGCTACGAAAGTCCTGTCGATCATCATCAATTCTGACGTCCGGACTTCCCTCTGGAAAAATGGTTGATATATCTCGTAAATTTCTCTCTATTGAACTTTCTATTTCCCATCATTGTTTCTGCAATACTTACCATGCTCTCCATTAATAGAAGGTACGTGTACTTGTTCATCATGGAGTTGAATTTGCTGAGTAAATGCTTGGCAGTCTCCTCGAATATCTCATCAGCCTTGGCAAGGTCCTTTGCGCTCAGCACTTGCTCATTAAAGCAGTGATACCTAACCAACCTTTTACAGGCGTCCCTCTTGCTGGTAAATGGAGTGTTTACATCAGGATTGGTAGCGCCATTTTGATCGATTTCGAGTTGTTGTTCCAATCTATACAGGAACCAACCCAATAGAGCATTGTTGTACTAACCCGCGCCAGAATGAGTACAAAAAACAGTAGCAGCTACAACAAAGAACAACTTACAGATCTCCACGGTTGATCTGTCTGCAGATAGGGCTGGTTGCTGGTCTTTTGACACCTTGACGTGGACTGGATATACTGCCAGGACTAACAAGCTGCTTCGAATTGTTCCCAGATGTATTGACAGGACTCTGTATCCTCTGGGAGCCCTTAGCAACCATCCTGGGGGAGGTAAGTGTAATCGGTCCCACCGTAGAGCCAGGCTGTACCTGAATCTGAATTGGAGAAGGCAGCTCCTGTTTAACAGGACTTGATGTTTGGATACCAGTCTTTGTATCCAGATGAGGATCCGTTTGGCACTGGGTTGATTGTTGTGTTCCTGGTTGTTGCTGACTATGTTGTGTTACAACCTGGATCGGAGTCGCTGTACCATTCGCAGACTGGAAGGCCTGAGTTGTTGGAGAAGGACTGAGAATTTGACCGGAATGATTTTGATAGAATTTTCCGTGTTGTTTGCTTTGTTGTTGCTGCTGTTGCATAACCTGCGTCGAGACAATTGGCATACTCTGTCCACTTTGTTGCCCCTAAACATCAAATATTGATAAGAATGATAAATGTTTTTTTTTTTAATTAAAAAAGTTATTTTTAAACCACAAAAAACTTACCGATAAATTACTCAAAAAGGCATTGGAAGTTCCGGAAATACTGGGCATGCTCATTGACAAACCAGGATTTGGATTTTGGGAGTTAATCGTCACAGCCGACGTAGGCGCCTGAGTTTGAGTTTGCGCGGTGGAGGTCTGATTCTTGCAATTGCTCTGCGCCTGGGAGGTGGGTATCACAGTAGAAACGACATTCATGCTGATGGCTGCTTCCGAACCCTAGATAAAAAAAATTTGTACCATTTCCGACTCCTACACAAGAACGTCAACCAGAACATCTATTTCTAGGAAAAGAAAGACTTACGGTGTTCATAGGATGAGACGTAGAACTTATGACTTTTCCACTGGCAAGAATTCTAGCCTGTTCCTGGTACAGTTTAGTGAGGATAGCTTGTTCAGGCTGCGTATTCGGCTTCCTGGCAAGGATTGCTTGTATCTGCGTCTGTATGTTCTTAAGAACTTGCTGCTTCTGTGCTGGCAACTGAATAGTCTGTACCCTTTGAACCATTTGGCCATTCGAAGGCGTGGTAGCCTGAATTCCCGGCGAAGTTCCACTAAGTGGACCGTTCGTAACATTCAGATCGGATTTAGTTGAATTTGTACTTTGTGCAACAAAACCTATTGGTTTTGGTGGCTCCGTCTTCACTTGCGAGGTAGCCGTAGATGTCACCATAGTAGCCCTTGAAACACTGACAGTCTTCGAAGTCTGTAAGTAATATAAAAAGAGAGTAATAGAATAAAAAGTGTCAATATCAAAGCACACAAAAAATGTAAAAATATTCCGTCACAAGGATAAGCCTACCTGGCTAGCAGCTACAGAATGCGCCAGAGACACAGCAACCTTAGTCTTCTTCACGACCTTCGCTTTTTTCGGCGTAGAACTTGCATTCCCTTGCTGATTGTTACCAAGATTCCTTATTTGTTGCTGATTTAAGTTGTCGATGAATTGACTCGGAAATCCAGAGTTTTGTATCTGAATCTGGTGAGGCATCTGCGAGGGTGCAGCTTGAACAACGATGTTTTGAATGTTGTTCTGTATTGTAGGAGCACCGCCGGAACTGTTCACTATTATTTGACTGGTTGGCGTGTTTATTTGAACACCCGGTACATTCTGATTGCTTGCGTCCGGTTCGCCGATCACAATTTTCTGTGTTTGTTGATTCTGTTGCTGAGGTTGATTCTGAGCAGCGTTCAATTGACCAGCAAGAAACTGTTGCAAAAGTTGTTGACTGATAACCTGCATCTGTCCATTCGCATTGGCTATCAGAAGCTGATCATTAGGATTAAGGTTGCTGAGAGCATTTAGAATCTCTGGTGTGATTTTTGGAGCGTTGTTCAAAATGTTGCTAGCTGCGGAATTCAGAACGTTTGTACTCTGCTGTTGCTGTTGTTGTTGTTGTTGCATTTTCTGGCCCTCAGTCTGATTCTGGGACAAGTTCGATGCACAAGGAGCATTGGATATTAATATATTTTGTTGTGTTGCCTGCACTGGAATTGAATTCTGTGTATCCACCTGTTGCGTAGCAATCGAACATGGTACGTTTGATATCAAAACTTTTTGTTGCTGTAAATTCACGTTTTGCTGCACACCCATATTCTGCTGCTGCTGCTGCTGTTGTTGGTGCTGCTGTTGTTGTTGAACACTGCCCATACTTTGTTGAACTTGATGAAGTTCAGTCATTCCTTGTTGCAGACTTTGTTCCATGTTCTGCACAGTTGCCGAGTTGTTTTGTTGTTGAAGAACATTGGTGTGTTGTTGTACACCAGAAGTCTGCATAATGCCACCGGGAGATTGTTGTATGTTGTTCGAGGGACTCTGAAGACTTTGCTCGAAGACGTGCTGCACGTTTTGCGTCTGCACACTCTGGCTTGTTACTTGTTGCTGATGAAGATTTTGCTGGTGCATCGATGAACTTTGTTGGAGACAAGAGCCGTCCTGCTGAATTCCAATTTGCTGCATACCGTGTCCTGACTTGTTGATATTCCTCTGCATTACTGGACTTGTTTGTGGCGTTTTTGACAATGTTTGAGCATTTTGTTGCTGGTTGAACTTTCCAGATATTGAGTGCAGTCCTGCGTTTAAACACGTCCCGGACATTCTCACATGAGTATTCTTTTGGGAATGATTCTGCGACTGTACGGCACTCGACTGATTGCTTCCTGAAAGTCTGCCCTGCACGGTGAACTTTGGACACGATGCCTTTGTAGATGTTTCGCCGATTTGTAACGATGCGCTGCACGGCGTTTGTAGACTTCTCGTGGTATGAAGTGTCTGAGCGTTGACGTTCATAGAGATCTGAATATTTGGACTCTGCGTAGCGACCAGGGTCTGAGTGGATAAATTATTGGACGAGCTCTGAGACGTGTTCAGGGTACCCAAGGTATTCTGTGCGGAATTAAGGTTAGTACAAATCTGCACGTGCTGAGGACTAGCGGCTGGAGTCGCGTTCTGGGAGCTTGTGGGACTCATTATTTGTCCTGTGGTTTGCGACGCACTGGATAGCGGTGACTTTGCATATTTTGGTCTAGACTGTACAGTGGCTGAAGATGTGGACGGTCCCAGGAGTTGGGAGATTATCTGAGAATTTTGTCCCGTGCCCTGAGTTAGGGATCTTATTAAAGCCTGTGCCGTTGCGTGATCTAACTCCGGTTGATTGGGTTCAGGTGCGTGATGGAGAACGACACGTCCGTCTTCTCCGACGGCTAGTCTAAGGTGTCCTGAGACCGTATTCTGCACGGGCATCTGAAGCTGAGCAACTAGCTGACTATTCTGACTCTGAGCGCCCGTAGAATTCGAGATCGATACTTGGACAGAATTTTGATTGGAGGTAGACATCGATACTTGGGGCGACAATTGTCCCAGACTAGGATTCTGCTCGACTTGTACTTGTTGTTGCACCTGCACTTGCTGCTGCATCTGCAGCTGACCAGACATCTCCGCTTCCGTGGCGAGATCATTGTCGAAGATGTCATCGTCATCCCCTATACCGGATATCTTCATTATACTGGCAAGATCAAGCTTCGGCGGTTCCTCATCCTTTTTCTTAGTCTTCTTTTTCTTCTTAGCCTTCTTCTTCGGCGGTGGCAAAAGACTCTGATCCATTGTTGCATGCTGATTTGTCGTGGGGTTCGTGGTTGTATTTGTAGTACTTGCTTGAGCGATCTGAGAAGGCTGAGGACTCTGGACCATTGCATTTTGTATTACGATGGGATTGCCACTTCCTGAATTAGCTGAGAAACATCAGAACAAATCGTTCGTCGTCATCATTACCGTGACAAACTCTTAATATTTGTGTAAAAATTTGGTTGAGTGACTCACGTGGTGCCGGACTGCTTGGTGTATGCCTGATAACAGGTGCGGCAGGTGGTGGAAATCCATTAGGTACAGCAAAGAATGCTGGAGCAAGACCTTGCAGCTGCATCCCTTGAGCGGTGACAACCCTGACGAGCTGCTGCTGGGTAAGCTGTTAAAACAATTTTAAATTCAGAAGATAACAATCATTTTTATCAACAGTGAGAAGACATCGAGACAGTTTTCTGGGATTTTATCTCACAATCTCTCCTTGAACGTACTAATAGAATTCACTGAAGGAACAGTTCATGCCGGAGACAGTCCAGACTTCGGTAATCATGAATATTCAATACGATGAACATTTAAAAGCGACGAATCATTCACATAGGACGCAGATATATATTTTCACGTTCAAACGTATTACGTGTCATTGACAATGTTAATAGACGAATTTAAAAATTCCATCATCCCTTCCAACATATAGAGAGAAGAAAATGTTAAAGCTTTAAGAGAGAACGCTGGAACGTAAAAACACGAGGTTGAATAGGAGACAGATATTGCTGGATAGGATACGATAGAGAATACCGAAGATAGAGAGGAAAAAAAAAGAATTTGTTTTCCGTATTAAGGTAAAAAGAAGAAAACGAAAAAGAAATAAACAGTTAAGGAAAGGTAATTGAGAAAAATAAGCGATGAGTATGATGAGGAATGAATGAAAGTAATGGATGAACCGTCACCTGTGCGGTATGCGTTTGCTGTTGGGCGTTCGCTGGGGTCCTTAGGATCAGCTGAACGCCACCAGGTTGTTGCTGCACGATAACGGGCCCGGTCGACGGCAGAACCTACGTACCAAAAACCCAACCAAAAAACCGTAATGAGCAACCCGCGATGAGAATTGGCCGACTTGCTCGTCAAGTGTGACCCTCCATGACATCCTCCATATTTTGTCCTTACAGTATACGTGTGTGTGTCAATAGTAATCATCAATATTCTCCCTCTCTTACTTTCTAGTATTTATCACGGTTTCCTCTTGTTTATGTATATGTTTGTTTGTTGTGAGTGCACAAAATTGTTTTTGTGTATACAAAAATTTCATTTGTCCAACAAGCAGTAAGCATGAAAGCGAGCCATTTATATTTATATACAAAACATGCTTTGTTGCACCAGGTTCTGTGAGACACAGGCTGACGAATTGGGTATACAAGCGCAACGTGATTTTGATTACGTGATTTAATAGATGAAGGTATCGCATTGTGATAAATTCTTGTACTCTATCCTTTTTTTTGGTTTGTTGCTGTTCTTATTAATTCGTGCCTTGCGATCGTTCGGAAGACGATAAAGTATGATTGAACGAGCGTGCGAGCAATAGACATGCTTTTTTTTATGAGTATTTTGAAAGTTTTTAGTAGTGACCTGGTTCAGCAGAAGACCCTGGGCAGTGGGGATCATCGTGGCCGTATTAGGATTCGGCTGAGGACTCGCCAGAACCAGCTGAGGTTGAGTTTGTTGGGACATCTGTCGAACATGGATAATGAAAACAGTGAGTGACTTAACAATATTGTTTCATTGTTTTTTTCACGATGGTTCTCTACGTACTTGACTTGTTATAGTAGTGGCTACCCTTTGTTGTTTCTGCTGTGTACCACCAGTTTGTTGATTCGGTGGCTTTGGTAAAATTTGTGGTGGTTGTTTAGCTGGTTTCGCAGTTGCTATTTGAATTTGTTGATTTCCAATTAGATGTGTACGAGTGACAAGTTGGGTTGAAGCTGGTTGGTAACCCTGAGGAGCACCATGTATAATTTGCAAAACTTGCATACCCTGTTGTAGGATGGGAGTATTGGGTCTGACCTGTGATATAAGAGAATTCATTAAATTAAACGTAATCTAGGAGTACGTAGAGATTTTTATTAAATGCCAGTAAGAATACTAACCACAGGTGGCCCAGGACTTCCTCCAGGAGCTGGACTTCTGTTGTTCAGTGTATTTCCACTGCTCAGATGAAGAGGACTCTTTGCGGGAGGGTAAGGGCTCGGCGCAGGACTTTGTATTTGTCCAACACTCATTGGACTCTGCATAGGACTCTGAAGCTGCGTGCTAAAGTTCGTATTGGACGTCGAAGTTGCGACAGGACTTGGACTATTCCTACTGGACTGTATGGAATTCGAGGCTGGACTACGCAGCAGCAGTCTATTGGGACTTGGGCTTGGAGTAGGTGGTGCAATATTCGAGGCAGGGCTCTTGAGCGGTATCGAGAAGGGGCTACCTGGTGAACTAATATTCTGGCTCTGAATACTCTGAATGCTCTGCATGGATTTCACTGTATTGAGACTGTTCATAGCGGCCGATGTTTGATTAGCGCTGGTCAACGTCGTTGACGATGTCAAACCCTGAGAGAACTGTCTCTGAGCTTGAAAACTCGCGTGCGTCGAGCTCAGGGATGACACGTGGCCCAGGGTGGAGTTGAGATCATTTGAGACAGACATGTGCTGCACCGAAGAAGGTGGTCCACCTGAGAGGCTCGAGTGCATGGTACCTAGGTGTGCTATTTTTGTTGGATGATTCACATTAAGATGACTTGCATTGGTAGCTGCGGATAGTATTGGACCGTTCGATGCACTTGTGAACACTGTTGAGGTAGACACTACTCCAGAGCTGGGTAATTGTGAGACTGAACTCTGTACGTGGGTAATGTTCGAGCCAACTATATGCGGAGCTATACTCTGGATACTCTGGATTGTTTGAAAGGGAAAGTTTCCACTGCTGGAGTTGATGCTGCTTGGCGCGAGTCCAGTCGTTAGGGCATTCAAGGTCTGATTCAAGCCTGAATTTATATTCGTCGTATTGTTTAGGTTGTTAGGATTGAGGGCGTTTATACTCGATACTCCTGATGAATTTGACAGGTTTGCATTGAGCGTTCCCAAATTTTGGTTAATGCTGGAGTTCAGACTTGTCAAATTAGGGTTGACGTTGGTTAATCCAGTATTGATACCGGATAATCCTGAGCTGATACTCGTGATACACGAGTTGGCACTGTTGATATCTTGACCAAGGCCTGAGAGTCCTGTGCCGATGCTGTTCGTTGGGAGGTTCGAGCTCAGGTTGGAGTTGATGGTGGTCAAGTTGGAGTTCAAAGCGTTCAAGCTGGGATTTATAGCCGTGAGGCCTGTGTTTATCCCAGGTAGACCCAGGTTGAGCAATGGATTCGACGTGGTGATCGCGTTTGAGGTAAGCGAGGTGAGGCTTGTGTTTAACAATGATAGAGGCAGTCCCATATTAAGGCCCACCCCAAAAGTGGGGGCGGCCGGGGGTAGGCCCATACCAGTCCCCGAGTGATTGATGCTACCTTGATTCAATTGATTCACCTGATTTAGGTAGACTATGTGATTTCCGGTCGCCGAGCCATTGCCCTGCTCTTGGGACTGTAAACACACAAAAATGCATTACATCAAGGTAACTTTAACCAAGTATTCTTTGCTGTATCTTTGAATAAACGTTTCAAAGTGAACTCACATTACTTGAGGGTTGCTGCAGAGCAAAGGTCAATGGTTGACCAGTTGAATTTTGGGCCTGCAACTGCTGCAGCTGTTGCAACTGTAAAACAAAATTCATAATAAATAACTCAGATAAATCATTTGCTAGAATATTGAAGGACGTGGCGAACAATACCTGCTGATGAGTAAGTACGGCGACCGGATTGTTTCGACGTGCAGTCGGGGATGTTGTAGAGGGTGAGTCCCCGAGGAGAGGGCGTGACTGAGGCTGCTGCATGCCCACGCAGCCCCACGCAACCCCAGGCAGCGTCCAGCCACCTTTTTACCCTGGTTTCCTTCTCCTCGTGATACAACGTGCCGTCGATAACATTTACCGGCGCTTACAGGACGAGCTACGTGGACCTTCCTCTGGATCACCTTTCTGCAGGACTTTTCACTGTTGCCAATGCTTTATGGGTATTTGCGCTACGGCGCCACTCAACGCGTTTACGACCAATGTCGCCTGCACCAAACATGCATGTAACTTTCTAGTCTCAGCTGCCTCTCGTATGAACATGGAGCATGTTCCTTAAATAGCCAATATAGAAGTCTCTTCTTTAACAACAGGTGTCACATATAAATTAACAGTAAGTTGGATGTCTTCCTCCATGTGGAACAATATCCATTGAGGAACAAGTATATAGCTGTGTGTTCGAGATCGTGCTCATGACGGTTAGGTCGCATTTGCAGTGAGTTTTCATCCATTTAGCTCTTACCGAGTGAATTTCATCATTGTTCATAGCACTGCCTTTACAAATCTGAGCCGTTGTCCCAGAATGTAAACCTATCCTAAGTCCAGAAGAGAGAAGTAATTGGCCGGCATTGTTTGACCGTTCGATGCTACCACAGAATCTTAATCATCACAACAAAACGTTCTTTAAACTTGAAACAGTATTCCGTCCTCGGTGATCAGGTTGCAGAGCAGAACTCTGACTTTTATCTTTGCTCCTGCAACAAATTCAATAATAATAATTCACACAAAATCTCAAGAACCACAAAATCTATTTCCAAATGTATTGAACATCCCACGCACTGAATATCTAAACAGAGTAAGACCCTACGTAGATGTAGGGTAACCAAAAAGGTTACAGTCTAATTTCTTCCATAAAACAATAAATCCTAGTCAATAATAAGATAATACAAGACTATCGAGGTTATATTATCGCATCGTATCCATGTGTACGAGGAATACGTGCCACAGGCAACATGTGTACAGATGAGTTTCTCAACGTACATATACGCGCATGCACAGGGTGCATCAACACGTCCACCTTTCAGTACAGGACAGCGGCGCGCAATCCCACACAACAAAAGCTCGAGTGACAAGGCGTAAACAAAAGAAAATCTACGCGAACCTGAGTAAAATATCCAGTTCAGAAGTGCTGTCACGTATCCTGGAGAAGCATCCCCGTAGGCAAAATAAATTTTCCCAGCTCTTTGGAGCAGCCAGCGTCCGCTCCGAAAAATCGCCAATATTACCTCGGCAACCGCGGTTTCGCCAGGGCCGCGGAGTTTCGCCTGCTGTCGGGACTTCCTGGTGACTGGCTTGGCACAATCCTCACAACTGCACTGAGGAAACGAGAGGGCTCAAGAGGACTCTTTCGAAAAAATCGACAGGAAAAATAGACACGGTCACTGAGATTACCGAGAGCTTCCGCGTCCGCGACGGTACCGTGTACGCGTTTCACTGCTCGGGGACAACGGCCATCATGTATTTGTCAGGGATACCAACATTTCAAACCGATAAGACCCTAGACTGATTGGGTCCATTCATAGCTGTGGGTCCCATTGAATAATAGTCTGGCGGGAAGGTGCACGAGTCTGCTGGTAAACAGACTCTCCAATTATAGACTAACTTCTCTGGATCTTTCTAACTGGAATAATTGCCAATGGTACACGAGATGATTATGCTACGTAATTCGGTATGCTGATGTGTCAATGGAACGTAGCGATGGCCAAGAAAATATATTTATTGGCTGCCAACATAAATAAGGAATATTACTATAATGGAAGGTACTCATGGCGGGAAAGTCGTACAGGGAGGAACATAGTACCTGGGAGACCCTACGTTTCATCTGTCACGCAATACCGACAAATACATCATGTTTTACTGGAATTTATCTATCCGTTAACTATACTTGATTTTTTTATGACTGGTAGTAACTAAAAGATTGAATAAGAGTATTGGATCCCCAACAGGTTGTATACTACAATTATTAACCTCAAATATATATTATTTGATTGAATAGTAATGTGCATCAAATAAACATGAAATATCTTAACACACGTTGGTAAAATAGAAAGTAAATATTCCAAAGAGACGGCTGCATAAGATACACAGTAAAATACTAATCTGTAGCAAAGTTTCATTCACCCATTCCCGTCTGGCACGTAGTCAAATAATAAAACAGGGCTCTGAGGAAGGTAGATACGTGTTTGCGACGAAAAAAAAAGAAGGATCCGGAAGGAGAATATATCCAGACAGCATGTGACCTTAAAACCGATGAAAGAAATCGCAAGACGATCGTTCCCTTCCGAGTGTTTGGAAGGAAGTGTCTGGTTTGCGAAGAGCATAGCAGTGAGGGCTCTTCCTCGTGATCGGGGTAAAGGTTAATTGACCTTTTTAAAGGTCCCCTACCCAGGAGAGTGAGGCCAAGCCCTCGCCCTTATGCATCGACCAATGGGCGAGGTCCATAGCTTGCGGGCCTTACACGTCATTGGCCAGTGAATATAGTCCACGTGGGGATAGGGGAGACAGGAGTGGGAGAAGTTGGCTGAGTGCCGTTTAGCATACAGTAGGGGGAGAAACTACAAGCCAGGGCCGTAAAATGCGGCTCCACCCACAAGGAGGTTCCCCCAAAATAAGGTCCCATGAATGATAATAGTCTTGTCCCGCAGTAAAAATGTCAAAGCAAAAGGTATTCGATACTCAATAACATTTACAACAGCAATGTTTACATGCAATTTTCTTCGCAACATAAATGTCTACCGACATAAACACAAGCCTCAACAATGAAAGGGGCTCCTTGGGCTATTCATACACCGCTGGCTGGCAGTTGATGGGTAGCGTAGGTAACACGTTAAAACGAGGCCATAGGAGAAGCTGAGACCTCGCCCCGTCCTCGTATGCTCGTTCACGAGAAGAAGGCTAGAGGTAGGAGGAAGGTAAACAGGGAAGCGCTCTAACTAACGAAAAAGCCAGCGCGATACCGCACAAGGGAAGAAACAGTCTTTATACTCCTGGTGTCTGTATGTAACTGGTGGGGTAAGAGCTGTCAGTGTCCCGATAGTCTTTAAGATAAACGATATCACTAGGTGATGTCTTAAAGATAAGACAAAGAGAAGACGTTACGTCGTTCACGAGATGAACGAGTTAACGTACTATTCCTTGATGTGGAATAAAAATGGCCGCGTCGCGATATAAAAGGCGTCCTCGTCAAAGTACGAGGCGCCAAATGGCACGGTCACATGGAAGATCGGCGTCGACCTAGCCGACCACGAGGTCCGACCTCGTCTGAACACCCAGGGAGCCCCTTTGCACGCGGCACGCTTTAATCAGGCGAAAATCCAAAATAATTTCTCGACAAAGACTCACCCATAGGATATTCTCGTTATGAGGTGGCCCTGCGCTACGGGGACAACCCCCCTTAAAACACGGAAACAAACAGTTTCATTGGTCGCAAGACCACTGACGTCATAAACGATCAAACAAAAACCTATAGATATCCCCTCTACTTACAATCAGCTATCCCCGCTACCCACATTCGTATTATCTCTCCCACCCCATGTCGATAATTTACCCTTGAAAGCTGAACTATCATTTTATTATCTGGGTATTAAAAACTTCGATTAACCATTATTATGCTGGTTTTATTCCTGATTCTATTCTTTATTTTTATCTCTGTTTACATGCAGATATTACCACTTTTCAGATATCGAACTGAATTATTTGATATTTTCTACCATCCAAGCATGTTTGTGGAAATGTTTGTTAAATATCTAAGCCGTAATTGATTGTGCTGATTAAAAGTTATTAAAGAAAGATGACATAACCAAAATTAGAATGACAAAAGAACAGGTGTCCAACTGCTTGTATTTGTCGACCAACTGTTGGTAGAGTTGCAGACAGCATGGCGACTTTTAAATTTTGAGAATGCACAGATGTTCCAGTTTCTTTGGACTGCTTTTTTATTTTTGTAAAAACCTTTTAAAGCTTGACTAGGCTTCTCCGTTAGGTTAGATGGAGCGTACATAGGGGACTAGGTTAAAATGTCAAATGGAAACGAAGTCAAGGAATTCAATAGGTTTAGGCGGAGTACTCTATTATATATGGGAGACCAATGGAAGCTCATGGGCGGGACTTCCCCTAAATTTCAAACTTCACTTTCACTCTCCGTGAACAAAGCATATATATATATATCCAACCAAATGGCAAGAAGGGGGTAAAGATTCAAAGTATATTTAATATTCTTGTGTGTGTGTATGTGTTACTCCATAGCACCTTAATATAATTAACTATCTAACTTAAAATATATAAAACACAGTTAATAAATACTGACGAATTTGTGCAGCCAAATGTAGTGGAACTAGGTAACATTGCACGAGATAATTAATGAACATCGATACGTGTTATCGTATTGCGTGTAATGGATTTATTTTTCATTAAGTTCATTCTTTTAGTCTATTTTTTGTTCTTTACTACTACCACACCCTGTCAACAGGGTTTAATCTTATACTAAGATATCAAATAATAGGAAGTGACACCGTACAACTCCCAGTTAATAAATTAAGGCACTGCCAGACTTGTGAATGCTTAAAGAAAAATAGACTATACAGCATTTGTTTATCTATTGCCTACAGAGTAGGTCTCCTGTGGATGATCATGTACAAACATGAGTCTTCATGTTGCAGAATGATGGATAATCAATAAATGCATAGGTATCATTTCTCTCCTGTGAGATTTCCTTCACTGGTATGGCGTGTTCTGGTTCACGTTGATTATCTCGTTCGTGCTGTAACGACAGGTATAATACTTAATATGGATACTCCAGAGGCATACAAATATTTCCCAGCTAAGAATCTTGATATAACGAAGCATGAAGGGGTTATTACTTGGACACTTAAGTATACAGTACGATGGAATAAGTCGCAGAAATTTACATGCTGGGACATGCACAAAAATAATCTATCATTACCATTCCGACATTCTACTTGAGAGTCGCAGGGATCTGGCAGCGCACCAGGATTTTTTAAAACTGACAGGTAAGGTGCCCTAAGGCGCGACCATTCTCGTCATCCTCTTAAGTTGAACTGAGTCGGTTTTCACGTGTTCTCTTTTCATTTGATTCTTACACAAGGGTATTGACGTAACACAATTCAACGAACACTTACAAGAACAATTAGGTAGCCCTAAAGATACTTTCTTGGGCTCCAGCTTTACATTAGTTTGCTGCGTAACATACATATACACAATATACAAGAGTTAATTGTCATCCTGGCATCCTTTTTTTACATTATGACGTAGCGAACGTATCTCAACACAGAAAATTTCGAAAGCTGATGAATTATATATGATGATAATTAACAGCCAAATTCGATAGCACGCTACGTCCATGAAGTGCTGCTCAAGCCTCGGTGCTGGAAATGTCCAAATGCTCTTTGACATTCATATCACTAATTAAATGTACAGATATTCCTCAGAATAAAGGTACTCTCTGTGGTTTCCAGCACGAGCTTATGTAAAGAATCTCTACTATTTACACCAATTTACAATGTTGTATATAGAAATAATGGAAAGAAAAGATATCTTGTTAGATAAAATAAATATTAAATTTTCTTACCTCTTTGAACACTTTATGTGTATTATCAGCAATGCTATCCCAAGAAGTAGACATACACAGCCTACTACGATGTATGCTATACCAAGGAAACGATTTTTGCCACCAAGAAGGGAAGTCGTGCTTAATATCATTCTTTTAGTGCCTTCAAAGGTAGACACAGTGTATGCTGTAACGATAGTACAAACACAGTTATGGTCTGTTAGATGACGTTTAGATCTGTTGTACTCACAATATTTTACATGCAGAGTATAGTTTCCAGCCAGAAGTCCATCAGTAAATCCTGATCGTGTGTGATCGATTCTACGATAGAGTTTACGGAATGTTGGTAGTGCTGCAGTTCTCATCCAGACTATGAGATCCTCATTTTGGAAACCATTGTTATCTTCATTCTCAGTGTCCAGTTCATATATATAACGATCCCAATTTTTTGGTTTGGCAAAGTTTTTAAAGGTATCATTCAGATTACCATCAGGATTTCGAAACTTGATATTCTTATCTGATGGCCAGGCTATACCAGTTTTTAATAAGGGTACATAATCATTATGTTTTACAGAGAAAAGTGTCAGCTCATCGCTAAACAAAGAGTTTGCTATGGCTCCGCATGGTGCTATGGGTATTTTAATATCATTAGATTCCACATAGGCAAATGGTTCACAATCGCTAGATACCACATCACTCAATTTGCCTAAAAGCTGATTGTCATCACGAGACTTTACGTAGCGCCTGTGATTTTGATAGAAGTTTGTAAGGCCGTAGTACATGTAAACCATACCACCAAAATCGTATGGTAAGGTAAAATTCAAGGAACAGAAGCAATTCAACGTAGAATTTTTTTCGATTAGTTCAGAACATTTAGTGAAGTTTCCATCCCTCTCTGTATTATTAGATATACAATTAGTGTAGTCAATAGAACGTTCCTTAACTTCATCTGAAAAGTATAGCAGTCCAATACCGACTGGAATAAATGCAATTCCTATGACAAAAAATGTTGGTAGTACTGTGCCAGCAGTAAGGATGGGTTGCCAGGCTGGTAATCGTTGTTGCTTGAAAGCACTGTCTGTAAAATAAATTTCAAATAATCATACTGAAATACTAACATAAGACAAGCAATTATTGATGACTAAGTCAAGTTAGTCACACTGGACACTGATATTTACAAAATCCAAGATAAGTTATCAAGTTAAAAAAATAGAAGAAAATTAATTTCTCTATTACTCTACATAACTAACTCATAAACTAAAAAAGTAAATACGTAGTTTAATGACAAGATACACACAATTACTCATAGACAGAAATATGATTTTTAAAAATCAATAAAACCCTGTGGAATTATGTAATGTTCAAGGGATGCTAAGCCTCATGTATTTCACCAAATAAATTCGACCTGGATTTTGCGAAAAAACATACAAAAACATTTAATTTAAACTTACCCGAGGGTTTTTTAGTCTTTGGCAATGAACTGGTTTCACTGACGCTCGTCATTTCTTTGGATTAGCAAAACTGCCTTCTGACTGACAAGTTCTGACAGCTACTCTGTTCTACACCGTCGCCATTTATAATAAACGCAGGCTTGCGATTTCCTCATTGGATCACACTAAACAAGTTGAGCACCACTTCTGAAGAATGAAGAATTCTTCTTTACGCTTTGGTGGCTTTATTCCTCGCAATATCATTCCCAATAATGCCAAATAACAAACAGATCAGACTCAATCATAATTGAACTCCTAAATGAGAGTTGTCATTCGCACATAGGTTGAAATACAAATTGCCATAAGGCCGTCTCTAAGGAAGTTCCTGTTTTACATACAAACAAATAAATCTTGTTCTATTTTATGATGTAATTAAATAAAATTAAATTAAATTCGCATTATAAAATACTCGCGTTCACAAAGACCAGTTGCATTGTTCACCATAATGAAAAAAGTTGAATTCCTGATAAATATAAAATGAAATATTAAATTGGTGCCAAGCACTATAACACATTTGTATAATATAACTAATACTTTACTAAAGTTTAGATTAAAATGAATTTTTCACGCAGGCTTCAAATTCATTAATTAAGTATGTCAGAGTAATATATTGGAAATTGTTGTCCAAAGTCGTTTTGTTTTATTTAAGTTTAGTACACTGTAACTGGTACAGAATGCAGCACAATCAACCTTGATATTTGTGAGTATGTCGCATTCATCGTGAATCCGTGGGAAATTGTCGAAGCAGTGCCGAATCATCGCCGGAAAAAGTTCTTCGCCAAAACACGGTGGTGTCTCGGTTGGCGAACATACGCGATAAAACGCGTGCCCGGATCGCGGAATATCAATATAAAAGTCAGCTAATAAAGGAGGTCAAGATGATCGTGACGTTGAAGAACCTCCAGCAGCAGACGTTCACTGTTGAGATAGAACCGTCGAAAACGGTGAGTACGGGGAGGATGGATACGACATAATTTTCTGGATCTTAGAGGAGGTCTTATACGGTATTTCGATATTTAACAAAGGGATAATATTGTTAATGTGATGATTGTTTACAGGTTAAGGAGCTGAAAGATAAGATTGAAGCTCAAAAAGGCTTCCCGGCTCAACATCAGAAACTTATTTACGCCGGTATGTGTCAGCGCCCTGGTTGCTACTTAACCTCTCATGTTTCTGATTTATCCGATATTCGTACCGTCATCCTAAGTTTCACTGTATAGCTCTTTATTTTTGAACCATGTGCTGACTCATGTACTTGGATCTATGAAGATTATTATAGTTGAGAAGAAAAATTTAGGATACTTAATAAATATTTTTTTTTAAGTTAAAATATATCTTGGAATCTTATGTAGATGTTGAGGAAAAATGTTATTTATTTTCAGGCAAGATATTAACCGATGAGGAGCCACTAAGTGAATATAATATTGATGAAAAGAAATTTATAGTTGTTATGGTTACTAAACCTAAGCCAGGAACTGCAGCTAGTACTACTGAAGAGCAACAAGCTGAAGGAGACAGTAGCAAAGAACACACAAGCCAGAGGTATATATTGTTTCTGATATTAGAATATTTTAATTATAGTTTGTCAATGTTATAGGTACCTCTTTTTTTTTTAGCACTGCAGTACCACCTGCCCCTGCTCCTGTAGTCCAAGAAACATCTAGACCTGCTGCTGTTCTGCAGCAGGAACAACCTGCTGCGGCGGCGGCAGCGGCAGCTGCTGTAGCTGCAGCAGTGGCAGCTCCTGGTTGTGGTGGAGGTCAAGCCGAAAGTGCTTTGCTCATGGGGGAAGAATATAATACAATGGTGAACAATATAATGGACATGGGGTGAGATAACAGTACCAATTCACAAAAAAAAAGTAGTAACTTTATTGGATTAATATATTCCCTTATGTGAATTAGGTACGAGAGAGAGCAGGTTGAACAAGCACTACGTGCAAGTTTTAACAATCCTGACAGAGCAGTGGAATACCTATTAACAGGAATTCCAGCACAGCTATTTGAAGATCCCTTAGAGGATTCTCCAGAGACACAGGATCCAGTAGCAGATCAGGGTCAAGACCCATTGGCATTTTTACGCACTCAGCCACAGTTTCAGCAAATGCGTCAAGTAATCCAGCAAAATCCTCAACTCCTGAACGCTGTACTCCAGCAAATCGGACAAACAAATCCAGCGTTACTGCAGATGATTTCGCAAAACCAAGAAGCCTTTGTCCGCATGCTCAATGAACCCGGTGAGTATAAAGCTCTAGAATATGTCACCCTGCCTTAATGAATGTAAATAACCACCAGAAATCCTTCATCCAAGTAGGTCCGACTGGCGGGGCAGGAGCCCAGGGTGCTCCAGTAAGTGCAGCAACAGGAGCAGCAGCGGCGGCGGCGGCGCAAGGTGGCTTATCAGGTGGTACAGTCGCGGGTGCTGGTGCAGGTTCCGGTGGTGGTGTGATTCAGGTAACACCACAAGACAAGGAAGCCATCGAAAGGCTGAAAGCACTCGGCTTCCCGGAGCACCTCGTCGTCCAGGCGTATTTCGCCTGTGAGAAGAACGAGAACTTGGCTGCCAACTTTCTGCTCTCGCAGAACCTCGACGACTGAGATAGCAGCTGTAGCGGGATACGGTAGTGGCGACGGTGGCACGAACGCGGACCCGGAGACTTTGCGAGTTAGAGTATAAGGTACACGTTAGAGAGAGGGCGGTGCTGTTGGACGGAGGTCTACCTTGTACCGTGTTGAGCTTTCTGTCTGGGTTTCTTGTTTCTCCGTGTCTCTTTCATCTGCGTAAAATAAGTGGACCGCGATATGCAGCCACGACCTGGAAGATCCCGAGCCGTCGATAACAAAGTACCCAGCTCAGAATGGTCTCCACGTCACGCTGACTTCTAACCTTAAACAATGCCGATTACGTGTTGCGCCTAACCGGTTAAACTCTGCATCTAATCGACCAGAAATCTTAGGATGAAAACAAAAATATGATGAGCGTCTCGAACATTGCCGTGCGTGGTCTCCTCTGTCTTTATTGAAAAATAAAGATGGAAAACAATTATAAGAAAAAGAATGGGGAAGGGGGCACTCGCTTCTGTACGCATTGCTTATAGCGGAGAAACAAATAGGAAGAGGAGAAAACGCCTAGATAACCATCAACATTGGGACGTTGAGCTCATCCTTGTGCATAATTCTACGGTTAGGCTTTCCAGATGACGCACCGGAGCACTGCGGTTGGGACCCAAAAGACTGCAAACACGCATAAGGATGGAGATCACTCTTAATTTTTTTCCCACAAGACAGTCTAGGCATTCGTTTTGCCTTATTCTATCCTTTTCTCTCTCTTTTCTTTCTTATTGGACTAAACAATAGCCAAATTGCTTTTTTTTTTATATAGAATGAATACAATTACTACGTACTAGCATTGAACGAGTAAAACATACGAAATTCACAAGAAATAGAAACTACACGACGAACATGGCGATATAGCATACTATTATTGATCATATATACATATATATATATTTATTCATAAATATATATAAATATATGAATGACAAATTATATAGATAGAATGACACATAACACATTGTAGCCTTTTTGGCACGTTAATCGTTTCTGGTTTTTCTTTATATTATAGATCCCCGTTCGTTTCGACATTTAACCCGAATTTGAATTAACAATTTTATTTTTTTATCTTTCCCTCGCAACTTGATATCGGCCTTTAACGATGCAAAGTAACAATAATAATAATTTGAACATCACGAGTTTCCCATGCAGTAACGTTATGGAGAAATAGTAGATTAAAAATTAAAACAAAAACTATAAAAAAGTCACAAAGAAAGAAGAAGTCCGGAGGAGAAGGCGAGTCCTTATATTTCCCTTGCATTATGTATAATATAAACACACAAGAGAAACACACACACCTGTTATATATATATATATATATAACAAAGTTATCTCTATCTCTTCATTTTCTTCCTCTCTTTCTGTCGTCTAACTCCTTTAACTTTAGTCGGTATCTTCCTCATTTTCTCTTTCATTTCAATTAATTTCCTCCGCGTCTCACTCATTGTCTTATCTACCTACTTATTACGTAACTCGCCTTCCCTTTTGCTATTTAAAATGGAATTTCGCGTAAAACCACGTTGAAGCAGACCTCAGCCCCGTCTCTGTTAATATCCCCAGAAAAAAAAACCACTTGTAATACTTACATAGAACGAATAAATACGTTAAGATTTTCAAAAAAAATAGAAATAGTAAATAATAAACCCAAATGATCATTCCTTCAAGCACAGTAAACAAATCCACATCCTACGCCTCATCTTAATAAGATTTTTGGTGTTTCCTTTTGAAAAAGCATTTTTATGTGTTTATTTTGTTTTCTGTTACTTTTTGTCGCTCTTAAACAACCATCTACCTTTCTCCCTCTCTCTTGTCATCATAAGATATCTTTGTAATTTTTGTATAATTTCTTTTCATTGCACGTTTCACATTTTTCTTTCTTCCGCACTCCGTTTCTCCGTTATATAATAACAGGGTTAATCTTCTTTTAATAGATATAATTGATCACTTGTGTGTCGTACACGATTAACGTTAAACGTTATATAACGTACTCCAGGATACTCAACACAATTACCCGGATATTTTAGGTGGCTTTTCGACAAGGGAACGTAGTCACTAGTAGAAGTTCCTCAGACGGTGATTCAAGTCCGGGTATATCGATCTTCCTGGAGATGCTAGCTATCTAATTTACAGAGACGCGCACGTCGCTATTATTATTAATAACAAGGCAATAACGATCGCTAGAGATCGTTTAAGAATTTATCAGCAAGAAGGTAACGCGATCATCCACGTGGCTGTTACCGATTCTAATTGTGGAAATTTACTGATTTCGGGGATTCATAGAGTATCATCCTGACTAAGCTGAAGGGTGTAGCATACTCTTATGCATCTGTTTCCTTTCCAATTGGATCATTCTGGATGACGATGATCAGAGAACTTCGCAAATCGGTCAAGGGATTAAAATTGACTAGCGTACCAAAGGTTCCCGGGTCTCTTCTCAGAGTAATGTTAGCATGGCTGAGAGTTCAGGGCATCCAGGATTGATCGGCACAGGGATCTTACGTCTGGCTGAGTACCACCGTCGAGTTTTTCTTCGGCAAGAACCTCCAAGATTCTTGCACCACCCTCCTTGGCTAGCATACCGCAGTATCGTTTTGCTGTAACATGCATATGAAGAAGATTTATAAAAAATATTGAAACTATGGCAACGAGTATTATGGTTGTGTGTTTGCAAAAGATACTCACGGTTCTTTGTACAGACGTGGTGAATGGCCCAAACGGCCCAGAGCTGCACAGGGTAAGCTTCGGAGCATCGAAGAAGAGGGAAGAAGGGCTGAAAACTCCTGTATGCTACCATTTCACCCTGAGGTGTCTGCCAGTTTGTCACTGCATTCGCCAACTGATCTAATAGTTGGGCTCTTGTCGGTTGAGATGGTACCACTGTCCATACTTCTGGTCCATCACTTAGGAGATGAGCTGCTATACCCGCGGCGAAGTAGGATACGTCTATATGCTCAGAATCCAAAAGGGATGACAGCATCGTTATGAACCTGGCTTGCATTAGCCTGTGGCGAAGATGCCTGACCTGTGGAAGTTTACTTAGAATCCAAGAGGAACCTGGTACAAGATGTTCGTCAATGTTATCTCGTTACCTCTGCGATATTATTCAACAACCCCAGGACTTTAGTCTCCACGCTGGATTCACCCTGAAAATTTTCCAGAACCTCGAGGAACAGCTCCATACCTCCTTCTTCGAGAAAGACTTTACACGTCGTCGCACTTTCATCCGTCAAATTCCACAGGGCACTCAGTGTAAATTTCATCGTGATGTCAACACATTTCAATTGGACCTTCGAGCGCACCATTGTTAGGAGTTTTGACATGTATTGTGGTTGTGCTCCTAGCATAGATGTTTCCAAGGTCGAAATCTTTGCTGCCAGGATGGAGCAGATAGCTACAGACATCCGGTTCATGGAAGTATCATCGAAGGCTGACAAGCAATTCATTACAAGCCGTGCGCACCTGAGAGAAATATTGTTGTAATCCTCTTACTCATCAAATATTAAACTGATTAAACTAGCTATATACTAACCTATATTTATCAAACGCCACATCCTGTAAAATCCTGTCACTGCACAAGGTCAACAGTGTATTCTTCTGTAGCTGGTAGTGATTAGGATACGATTCCATAGCTGTTAATGTCAGATCCACTATCTGCTTCAATATCGATGGATGAATTCTTGTAGCAAGCTCGCCCTTAGTCAGATTATAAAGACATGCCGTAGCAGCCATTTGGACACGAAACTCCTGGGGATGAGCTTTCATCCCAAGCACCACAAGTTTTAGTACGTCTACTCTGGCCTCGGAGAAACTTGGTGTTAGCCGAAATAGATTGTAAAGACACTTCTGTACGTAAATGGGACGACACCAATAGCGTCGAAGTGACTCCAGGATCTGAGTCTCTGTCGCAGTTCCACTGACCTGCAGCAAAAATAATTGTAAAAATAAGCAACTTGAAAAAAATTTTATGAACAACTGGTTCTTGCGAGTGACTTACAATTAGATCAGGTTTGTAATCCTCATGCATGGGGTTGATAAGACTATCATCGTAACAGGCATCCGAATGCACGAGGCCCAAGAACCTGAGGTCAGGATGGGCTTTAATAAATCTTTTTAGATCTTTTGTGTCTATCTCGTCCTTGCCTGTAAATTGGAGAGGTCCTTAAAACATTTCGGGTTGCATAGAGTATTCGCCTGAAGTCGTTTTACTAAGAGAAGATGAACCAGGTTCTATTATATTTACTTCTACCTGATATGTCGAGACTGGCCAGGTGTGGCATACAATTAACAGCTCTAAGTAAATCCGTAATTTTCGACCTGACTGGTGCAAACATTTCGAAGGCATACGAATCCTTCTCATCGGAGATATCCAGGCTGCGTAGTTCATTCAACTCCAGCAGGACGGATATCAAATTGCCACAGCCACTTATTTTTAGATTGTACATAGAAAGACTCTTCAGTCGATCTTTACATTTTCTCAGGGGTGTTATGTCATCGACTCTAGTGCAAGAAATGTCTAGGTTCTCCAGGAGAGGAAGATCCTCGACAACGATCTCCAACCCATGCCGATTAAACTCTGTTCCAGATACGTTCAGAGTTTGGAGAGCACGTAATTTATTAAGGGCAACAACAACGCAATACCTAAAAACGGATTGATTACTGAAACAAATAAGACCAACGCGCTCAATCTTATTTTAAGGTGACTTACCGAGAACAATCCATAAAACTACCCTTAGCCACACTCAATGATCGTAGATTTTCCAAACTCCAATCTCCCAGACAACCTATCAGATCATTGACAGTAATTTTTAGACCATTTACTTCTAAGTCGATGACTTTGTGCTCACGGAGTATCTTCAAGCCTTTCGCAGAGAGGCTCGAAGCATCTTTGAGTCTCACATGTCTATAGAGTAAAGTAAAGTTAGATACTTTCTTCCTGTATTTTCATAAAATATACAGTGTACCTTAATCTAGTGCTTTTTGAGTCAAACAAGGTGATAGTCAAATCAGAGAGAGCCTTCTTTTCGCAAAGGCTGTAAAGGAGCTGCTCAGATATTTCAGTTGGCAAAAAGGTATCAGGATCTTTAAAACTGAGTCTGGAAGAAGAGCCAGAGGCTACAGCATTGCTGGTTAATGAGCTAGCTGCAATTGTCGCGGTTAAATAGGCAGGACTTCCCAACCGGTCATCTACAATCAAAATAATTTCAAAATCATTTAAAAGATGAAAATGAAACAAATAAAAAGTCAATGGTACAAATTTCCTATTCAAATAGAAAGATCATACTCACCAACAGCAGCAGTACATAAAGAACTAAATGTTCCTCCAATAGCTTCTGCAGGATGAACATCGCACAGTGCATGAACATTATCACATATAAAGTCAACACAGACTTCCTGTAAACTCCTAGGAGATTCAAACATCTTGAACCTCAAGTGTGCCGTTACTTCTCAAGATATTGAGTTGTGCCTTACGAATCCTGAAAACACAAGTCTTTCAAGGATCGTATACACACATAACAATCCCAAAGTAAAGAAAAGCCAGAAGAATACAAACAAGGTAATGTCACAATAATACCTTCATGATGAATATTCGATAATCTTGAAGATCTGGATCGCAATGTCAGTACTGATTCTATGCACAAAGGGACAGAATAACGTGATGAACCAATAACATACGACATTTTAATATTAAATAAACAATTACATAACAGCACCCAAAAACGTCAACAACTTTCTCTGCATCCCAAAAAAAATCGACGTATCCTCTTACAACTAAAAAGAGACTATATATATCAAGATCATAGCTGGGCATTCGATAAGAACTGATTTTCACTAAACAGCGTATTCTTCATCACCAAATTTTATGACATTGAATCATACCCGGTACAAGCATTAACAGAAGCATGAGAATGAGCTTAAAAGTCATAAGAATACAAGAGGAAAAAGCTATGAAAAATTGGACTACACTCACCTTGCATAGAGTAGCCATGTTGGATAGTGAAGCAGCTGTCAAAATAGTCGTACTAGGGCTATGCAGGCCTATCAGCCCATATCGGTCCCGTTAAATCTCACTAAAGAAAAAGTCCCTTTAAGCATGCATATTCAAATGTACAAACTCTAAACGAAGAGGACCAAGGAAAGACTATAAAAGTAAAATAAGAAACGAAACAAAGAGGAGCAGAATGATAAAAGCGAGTTTCTGAGAGTTGTAGAAAGTTCTCAATTAATCGGGAAGAGCGATGGCATTATTTAGATTCACGTATGCATCACGTGAATCATGAATAATACTCGAAACTTAACAATTGATTATATGATTTCAGAATTCGAGCAAGATATGTTTAAAAAATCCAAAATATATATACGTAGCACTGGTTTTATTAACCTGAACCCATAATTTCGATAGTCTTGCAACGATGGCAGCACCACACTGTATCAATGACGTAAATGATATATATGCATCTTATCTCTCAGGAAGTAAGTACATACATATATTATTTAGAATGCATAACGCTTTAAATTCTTTATATGCGTTTGGTCTTTTTGTCATCCGAATAATAAAACCAGGATTGATTCTTCGTTACTAAGATTTATCAAAACAGTTTTCTTCCTGTAGTAGAATCCTTCGTATCTGCTGATACCATTGCCAAGGTTTAAAATCACCAGAAACTCTTAATAATAAGTACTAATTTCTGAATATCCTCCAGGTACTATTTTTACTTAACATAGAAAACTGTGCTTTAATTCCTGACATATCGATTTTTTCCCTTGTAGTAAACTGCATTCGGCGTACGACAGTTTACCCCGTGTCATGCGCTGCTTTTTACTTTAACTGTTTAACCGCCAAGGAAATTTACAGCTTCAACTCTTTAAACATATGACTAAAAAAAATCAGTCATTGTTACAATAATTCATGCAGCCAGTTTCTGCGCCTCCAAATACGTGGTGTCGTGTATGTTACCGTAAAGATCCTGACTTCTTCGGCATGACAAACAGAAAAACAGATTATGAATGCAACACAGGGTCGTACTAGTGTATGTACATACTTCTACGGCGCTAGCATTGAATGATAAATTCGTAAGAATCAGCAAACCGTGTCTCCTGTGGCTATAACAAAAAAAAAAGAAAGTATCTGACGGCATAAAAAAGTTAGTAACGGTAATTGCAACGCAGTAGTATCGCGTAGGTATGTACAGAACATTGTGTGGAATCATACTGTATTTAAAAAATATAAAAGAACTATGCAAAGCGATAGTACATACACAGCGTCTCCCAGTAGCGTATAAAAAGCCTACATACGTAGTAATTATCAAAGGGTTCATAATGGTTATTGGTAGTACAGTTTGACAAGTGGCAACGATACAATATTTGAAGAATGTTAGACCAATAAAGGATTCTGTTAACCATAATCTTGGAATATTCTACAAGGAAAGGGAGACTTTTAATTTTACTGTACTCTCTTATTTTTCTTTTTCGATAATCATTTACGTATACTTACTGATGTACAGATATAACGGGTTATTCAGAAATATGAAATCAAGTGAAGGTAGCTCTCTCCATTTAATCTGAGATCCCCACCGTTATTGTTGGCACTTATCCTAGACTGATGTCTATGGCATATTACACAAAGTTACTATTTACGAAAAAAATCCGAATGAATTCCTAGATATTTCCAAGGATCTTAACTATAAAATTAGTATTGACCTCATATATGTATACAGTATGTCACGAGGTATCTCTGCCGTTAAATGGAATGGTCCAGAAGGTCTAAAATTTCAATGCAAATATTCCAGAGACCCGTTTTTGATGCGAATAAAGAGATTTAAATGAATTATCAACCTCTGACTAATGTATGTATGTATCTATTTTGCAGAGCTGGATATGTCCATGGTTAACTTGTTGCCAGATTTGAATGAGCTTGTCGAATACCAAAGAAAAAAAATAAAACAGTGCCTTGAGCCGTACAGCTCTAGACACTAGGTTCTCTATACCACTGAGGTAGTGTACACTACAGTATGCTATTGCTATAGTACTTTTGTTAAACGGATACTTCTCAGAATAGTACTGGGTTAAAACGATTTTGAAGATACTATATGTAAGAGAAGAACCGGTCGAAGAAAGATGTAAAAAAGTATTATACACGTATACAGACGAGTAACTATAGTACAATGGTACTTTTAAATCGAAGTAATTAACTACATCTAGACTTGGTAATTTATATTATCATTGCAGAATATATAGATTTGTCAAAAACTGATTTCAAACAGTATCTCGCTTAACTAGGAAAAAAACTTGTCCAATTTGTTCAGCTAATGGAAATCCTTGTTCGCTATTCCAGCTGGCTGGGGTCCTTCCTTCAAGCAGTGACTCTGTTTCTCCTAGATTTCTTTTTTTATTCTTACCTTCATAAAAATACCGAGTGACGTCATCTTTCCGCTAAAAGGAAGGGTGCGAGGAAGCAGGTATAAGAGTGGTAGAGTAGAAGAGGAGGTGGTATGGAGACCAAGTTACTCTACTACTGTAAACGTAGCAAAAATTAAGCAACCCATGTGAAGTTCTGCTTTTGGTATTGGCGGTATACATACATCCAACTATATTCCGTGCATCCCCACTACACGGAAAACTACGGCGCAAAGACTGAAGAGAAAGGGAATCGTCAGTAAATTTTTATACTTCAGCATATAGACGCTACAGTTTGCTGTCTCTTAGAGGAAGGCGGAGTCGCGTTATACCACAGGCTACTGCGCTACACCCATTGCTCTGCGACGACAACGCTTCATGCGTTATATTGTTACCGGCGTCCAGGACAAGAAGAGAATCTGAAATACGTTATTAAGGATCAACGAAGAATAATGTTCAAGTTCCTGATATTCTTTGGCTTGACCTGTATAGCTAATGCAGCTGCTAAGCAGGTAAGCATCTTTATATACTATACTTATCATTTACCTTTTTGAATTTTTATTCCGATGAACACTACCAATGTTTAGTAATTACTTTCTTATTGGTGGCGATGAATATTCTGATACTGATTCTATTCCTTCCTGCTGCCAAAATAGATCCAATAATTTATTTTTCAACAACAGTTACGAATAGCTTTTAATTTTAGCATCAATATGGCCGATGACGACCACGCCTCGCTTCCTTTGATTATTTATTAAACCGTTAGCGTTCGAGGCATTGTTAATGGCTCACTGTCACTGCTGTGTCGTCTATAAATTTGAGTTGTGTCATGCGAGCGAAGTGGAAATAGTGCGAGTATTGACGACTTAAAGTTCTGGATATTTGCAATAACCTCGTTGTTCACGTACCATGTTATTTTCTATTTTAAGCATCTTTTGTCGATGCATACTGTTCAATTGAGAGGCTGAGGTATATTCATAAACGGGACTCAAAGACGGTGTTTTTAATCCTATATGAATTCAATTAGATATAAACAAGCAATATATATACAGCGGGGACCAGTAACATCAGATGTTCAAAGTGTCCACGATTTGCGTGACTACTACACCAGAAAATATGCGATACAAAGATTGGAGGTTTGCATTGATACAAATGGTCGATACTTTGAACATCTGATTTAAGTTTATTTTACTGCCACATTTGAACTTAAATGACATTGATAGTAGCTTGTTGAAATCGCCTCAACATTGGCTATCGCACAGTGAGGAAAAAATGTGGCATTTCATTTAAAAAAAATGAAAATGACCTTGAGAACTCCTTCACGCCCTTAACCTCGCAAAAAGTAACATTACATTATGTTCCTCTCTATACTGTAAAAGTTTTGTATGAAACATATTTTGAAATTATTACAAATAACAGAAATATTCCAGGTAGACAAAGTTATTCGTCCACCCTGTATATGTATAGTATTATTTGACTAAATGTAATTTATAAATGAGTATCACTAATATACTAATTTTACTCGGTATTCTACGTATAATAATGTAATTACTGTTCCAAGTAGTCAATCACCTGACTTTTTTATATTACAAATTGAAACTGGATTTTCGTTGAAACCATATAGAACGTCATCATCATAAAAATCACTCTAGGTATTTAATTTTTGTATACATATAGAATTGAGGAGGTATCTGTCGCGGACATGATAGTCAATCGCCACATTATTATAAACTATCTCTGTCTTAAAAAAAAATGAAATTATATTAAATATTGTTCTACATTGTTCCTTGTACCACTGTATAGAATGCCGACAAAAGATGCCTTTTATTTCTGTTTCTATTTTACAAATTATGAAGTATGAAATCACGAAATCACTCTTCTGACTATTGTGCAAATCGAATTTTGAAGAATAATGTGGTTCGGCTTATAAGACGATGTTGGCGTTAGGTGCTGTCCTATGCAAAGTTTTAAGGTTAGAATGTCTGCCCCTTTTCTGAAAAATATGGTACATGGAGAACCCGGGCATCGTTTGACATTTTCGGAACGAAGATGATTGGTCAACCCCCACCAACTATTTTTTCGATTCCGTCATTCCTGTTCTGTCTTTTATACATGGGAGGGCACCCTTATTGAACGCACATGTTTCCAGTTCCATTGAAACGAACCGAAACGAAAGTAAACGATCGTGTAGCAATGTCATCATCGAAGTCGGAAGAAGTTGAAAAACCACGATATAAGGGAGAATTTATTACAAAAAGAAAATTTGAATAGCGAAAAAATATTTTGGCTTCTGCAACACGACCGAGGATACGCGAAGCGCCTGAATCACGGCTGCTTTCTGTAAGACGTCGTATAATCAACCTGGCTGTTTTGGCGGATCTGCTTTGGTGTACTTTTTGTGATCAAGCACTATCATTAAAGAATTTTAAAGAAGAACGTTCCTTCGAACTAGCGTCGAAACTCAATGTGAGATGCTATGTTTGCTTAGGAAACAAGAAAGTACACACAGATTTTTAACGCAGAACACCAAATGGTAAACTTTGCTACTGTATAGATAAGCCAAGGCAGCTGTAGGCAAGTACACTTACTTTTTATGCATGCATTGCAGATTTTATAAGAATATGTTACATTGGGGTGCCTCTTTGTTATTCATGTGTACTTCCGTAGTACTTCTGTGACTAAAGCATTTTATTTGAATTTTTGTTAAAACGAATTCTGCTGTTTTCAACTGTTGCATGCAAATTGAATTACGCTTTGTAATTTACAGTCATGATTCATGCTGGCATGGATCACATACATGTTAACACATTCTCACTAGCCTTGAATGATCAGTTCATGATACCTTAATGAAACACCCTGAGCGAGCTATAGGTTCAGCTGTGAAGTCAGTGATGAAAGAAAGTTACTTGAAAACATTTGACTCAGAAACGAATTGACTGTCACAGCACTTCAGTATGTATCATTTTATATTATATTTTTTGTCATTATAAAAATCGTATGCTTGAATGCTATCTACATATTTACAAAGTTTATATATATCGTATTGCTAAATTGCTTTGTGTTGCTTCAATGATATGATTAAATAAGTCTAAGAGTTCATGTCTAAGAAACTTTATTACTACATACATAAAGAGCTATTATTTCTACAAATTGAGCCCAAAATTCTGTGAAAGTTTTCCAGGAAAAAAACTTATTTGTGTAAATGGAATAATGAAAAAGGATATTCGTTTATGATAGAAGTACTGGAATACTATGTATGATAGCTGTCTAAAAATTTCAACAATCTTTGACTCATTGGTTAGATTAGTTTAGTATGAAGAAGCTTGAATGCAGTTGTCTTCAATTTCCTTATCTCTACAGTGAGTATCGATAAAGTTGTTCAGTCTGTGTACTTACTGCCTATTGCAGAATAGCAGATGCTTTTAATTATATCATGCGTTGTCTGTATTTTACATAAAATTTGCATCTTGGTTTTCACTACAAACTCCAAATAATGGGAACCTTGATCTGCGTTCGATTGAAGAAAGTTCTAGGATATGCAATGAAATGGTGTACGAGATGCAAGTGTGGGCAGCTCGGCGCTCATGATTGTCGTGCCAATTTTTCAAGAAGTTTGAAGGCTATGAGCCAGATATGGCAATCAAACTAATAGTACGTAATGACATGTTGAAATGTGAAAAATTTATGGGCGCAACTTTGATTGGTGATGGAGACTCTTCATCTGTAGCTGCAGTTAGAAGGGAAAACACATGAAATTGTAAAGAGGGAGGATCTTAACTATACTATAAAAACCTGTGCAAAATAATCTGTGAGCCATGATAAGTCTTCCACTGAAGCTATCAATATGACATATTGCTTTTCATTTGCATTGAAACCGAACAAAGAAAAAGAAATACAAAAACGATCCGATAAGATGGAATGGGGTCGCAACTCGTCGATAAACCAAGAGAACAAATCATTGCACTTTGTATAATTGTTTGATCTGGACACATCAGGCTTTGGAAAGATTGCCAAAATGTACCAGATTGCAGCCAGGTACGAAGAAGAAGAGTTCAATGATTGCATTGTTCTTGAGAAAGGTATACGAGAAAAAGTTACAGAAATCACAAGTCTTCGTCTCCGACAACAGGGAGGGTGTCGACGGGTCCACCAAGACCAGCCATTTGCTCCTCAGTTGCTGAAGCAAGTTACAGCACTGCGACTCGTCGACAAATTCACCGAAGTTGTATCTCATTTCAATGATACCTTACCACTCTTTTCAAAAAATCTAGCCGAATCTAGAAGGCCACAAAACCAATTCAAGCAAGTTGATCTTGCCTGATCTTAATAACGACGAGGAATGCCAACGCTATTTTTAACGTGCAAGTATTGGTAAAGCTTATCACAGTATTTGGTATTTACGAAGAGATGAATCTGAGGCGAGTACAGTCTTTTCACATCATGAATTATGAAAAGAACCAAAAAAGTTTAGGTCGCTGGAATTATGAAGACACTTAAAGTTCTTAGATCCTATATGTCGATAGGAATGTTGAGGAAGAGTGCAGAAATTGAGAAATCTCTTCCTCTGTTGATAAAAGTATATACCGACAATTACGCAAAGAGTGTGGAGATGCTGTTCGGAGAAGATCTGAACGGTAAACCGAGAATCACGGAACAGAAAAAAGTGTTTGCTAATATTGCATAAAAATTTAGTACACTGCCTCTTAATAAAAAATAATTTCTAGGAGTATCGTTACTACGTAATTTGACCGTTATAAACTGCAATGTTCTATCATTTCTCTCTGTGTACATCATATTGGAGCGTGATAAAATTGTTATTGGTTTATGTTCTTTGTGGTTGTGAGGATGCAAATAAACACTTTGTATCTTAAGTATCTCGTCGTATCTAAGTTTTTTGCGAGCTTCTGTTTCAAATGCTTTAATGTTTAAAATAAAAAATCCCTTAAAAAAGTCTTGGTTAAACATCACATTTTTTCTAGTTAATACCTATAATTACAAAATTACAATGATAATTATAACATAGCAATTCTCTACAAAACCTTAAAACATATTCTTGTTACTATGAACTATGTTACTACAATATACTTATCAGTTATGTTGACTCATAGACGATACCCCCAATTGCAGAGTTAGCGACGTTGCCATTTTTCGTGTCGTATTATAATTTGAGTTTTGTTTGACCTCCTGCCATGAAATATATATTCCTTCTCAAGTATAATAGACCAAAGATTAAACTACATTTTTAATAATTCTTCTTAGAACCATATTTCAGTTTCACATTTATAAACCATATAATCTCGACGAATAACTAAGTTTCCCATAAGGGATTCTGTAAAAGCCATATTTTCGAATCGAATATCTCAAAATCTATGCGGTAGCTTGTGTTTTGATTTTTAGTAAAGATCAGGAATGTTTCATTTAATCAAGCTCTAAGTAAATAAAAACCTTGAACGACGAAAAGGATTCTTAAAAAGGCTTCAGCGAATATCATTTTGAAGAGCATATCATGCGTTTTATATACAGGGTGTTCCGAAACTACCTGACCCGGTGGGTATGGCGGTGTTCGGGAGGCTTCACTGATCACGAAAATGACCTTCGTTTTGTCCGGAAGCTTAAATGGGAGCAGGTCAAAGTTGACCAATCAGAACGAGGCGTCAAGAGAAACGTAGGCACCTACGTACTCTGAGTTTTCTTCCCTCGCTTTTGTTTCTCGGTAGCTTGTTTCTTGTTTCCAATAGGCATGTCTTCGGTTGACGTCATTCTGTCCGAAGCCACCGAGAAACAAAAGCGAGGCAAGAAAACTCAGAGTTCGTAGGTGCCTACGTTTATCTTGACGCCTCCCTCTGATTGGTCAACTTTGACCTGCTCCCATTTAAGCTTCCGGACAAAACGAAGGTCATTTTCGTACCGAGAAACAAAAGCGAGGGAAGAAAACTCAGAGTACGTAGGTGCCTACGTTTCTCTTGACGCCTCGTTCTGATTGGTCAACTTTGACCTGCTCCCATTTAAAAACTATGACCTTCCGGAAAAAAGGAAGGTCATTTTCGTGATCAGTGAAGCCTCCTGAACACCGCCATACCCACCGGGTCAGGTAGTTTCGGAACACCCTGTATATAAAACGCATGATATGCTCTTCAAAATGATATTCGCTGAAGCCTTTTTAAGAATCCTTTTCGTCGTTCAAGGTTTTTATTTACTTAGAGCTTGATTATTTTCGAATTTACTGATTAGGTTTCGTTTACGGCGACTGATATAAAGATTCTTTGTTATATTTTAAATTATCGCGCTATGGGATATCGACAATTGACGGTATTTGCGTCGTTTTATCAGTTCATATGAATTACTTGTTTTGATCACAAGTAACTTTCACGTTGAAAACATGTATTGCAGATGTTACGTCTGAAACCCACGAGTAAAGTCATATGTATTTTAGATTTGTTGACTTATAATAAAGAATAATGATAAAAGCAAGTGTTGGAAAGGAAGGAAAATATTAAACATAACATTTTTTGTTTTAACAGGCTATTAGCGTTACTGTGTATTACGAGCCATTGTGTCCGGACAGCAAAGCCTTCTTCAAGAATCAACTGATGCCCACGTATCATGATCTCGAACAGTCGGTAGATTTGAACCTGAAGCTGATCCCCTTTGGAAAAGCAAAAATCATTAAATATGCTAATGACAACATCACGATGGAATGTTCACATGGCCCTCCGGAGTGCTATGCCGACAAGATCCAGGCATGTGCTTTAAAAATTCTTGATCCGAAAAACAACACACTGATTACATATTTGGGATGTCTGATGGACCTCGGCAGTAAAGAAAATGAATATCCTACTAAGAAGGTGAGAGCATAATTTTGTGACACAAACGATTGCTGATATCGAAGGAACAATTGGTGATGGTTATTGAATTTCAGTGTGCCGATAGCAATAATATTTCTCCGGTAACACATCGAGTGGAGGCCTGTGCAACTACGAACCAATGGATGGATCTCGTGCAGCAGAACGAGAAAGAAACTAAACAATTGTCACCACCCTTGACATCGGTGCCCGTTATTGTTTTTCAAAACGTGAGTATCACACAGTAGTGACTCTTGATTGAGCAAAACATCAACTTCTATCTCCTTTGTAGACCTTTAAAGACGATGACAACATTAAGTCCCGGACGAACTTCAAGGGAGTAGTATGCAAATATATTGACAGTCCAAAGCCTAAGACGTGTGAAGGAGTCAGCAGTGCACCAGGTGACTCCTTCACGACACTTGTAGGAGGAACAATCTTGTTCTTGAGTTTGGCACTGAATATGCTTCGCTAATTTATGGGCCAAATTTTGCGCAGTCCAAATAGAACTCAAACCTATGGATTGTCACTTATTTTTTTTTTATACTAATTATTGGGAGCTTGTGGAATTTATGAATAAATGTAATAAGAAGCAAGATCAATGGCAAACGGCTTATTTTTCACAAGACGTAAAGAAGGTATCTGGTATATAGTTATATGTATAATTAAGGTCCCACCAGTATTTTGTTTTGACTATGATAATGCTTATTCTGCCTTTGAAATACATGTATATTTCAATGATAAACAATAATTTTTGGTAAATAAAAATGCGTGCCTCATTTACAATTGACCGGATTATGTGATAAGATATTCTCAAGCAATTATGACAATCAGTATTAATCAATCAGTGCGATAAGGAAATTAAACCATTGTTTGATTTTCATTAATAAAATATCGTCTAATCGCATATTTATATATAATTTATCTAACTCCATATATTTTTTGAGGTATTGTACATATGGTTTTGAACTAGGCGCCCGCGCCTAGATCATATAGTAGATTCGTGGTATAACAACCCGTCAGAGTAATAGAGATAATCTTAGGACACGATTAGGTGAATCCGAGATCTGGCCCGTAACTTTTGGGCCCACTCCTATGTTAATTATAACAATTGATTATGGTGTCTAGTCTTCCCAGCGTAGCAGAGCAAAGAAACACGATGTCAGAAAATATAGTCGCTGTCCGGCAGGTCGACTGTCCTCTGAAGTCTTGAAAATCTATGGAGAACGTAGATGTCGCCACTGCGGCTCCTCCAAAAATGGAAACGTACACAGACTACATCAAAATCCTAAAGTCATCTTTGAGATAACCAGAGGAGGTCTTATAGGTCGAAATTGTCCTTTAGACATCTTAAAGATGAGTTTAGGATGTTTGTGTTGTGTGGGATAAAAGAATATTATGTACTCTCAGAAATCAAAGTATGGAACACATCTTGGACTTCTGGCCCTTTTTCGGCCCTGGCGATGGCGGAGTCTTTGGACTTGTCACAACTGGCTTCACCGAATGATTCTGAGTGATCCTTGATAATTTGTACATGACTATTCTGTAGGTACCAATGACACTCGACCGCGGACCGCTTGGCAAATGTGCCGCAAGGAGCGTTGAATCAATTCCCAGCTTCTCTAACTTCGTCCTAGCTTCCTTTTCTCTTGTAGATATCTACAAGAAGATGGAGTATGATTTTACTTATTTAGATAATATTTCGTTCAATTAGAGATATGTCAAATAACGAGATTCTAAGGAACTCACCTGATTTTGATCACCAGAAATTGTAGGCAAAAGTAGACATCGGGGTAGCGGAGTTTCTGAAGGTAAAGGAATATCCTTGAACCACTCACTGTCGAGCATCTCCTGAATTTTTAGCCTTTCTAGTGGAGTCTGTTTTAAAGTTCCTCGAATGAGTGTTCGGCAGGGTAGACTAACATGATCGGGAATGATAAATTTTCCATCGAGAATGAGAGTCTTCAGGCCTAGGACAGTCCTGGCTCGGAAGGGCATAGTCCCAGTGACTACCAGATACAATAATACACCTAGTGCCCAAATATCAACGTAGGGACCTAGATAAGATTCATCTCTAAAGAGTTCTGGCGCTGCGTACGGCGGACTGCCGCAGAAGGTTTCCAGCATCTGTTCCGGACCTTCTGTGAGACGAGTGCTGAATCCAAAATCTCCAAGTTTGACGAGACCTTTGAAAATATTAGTTCAAGCTCTGAATACATTTCCAGTTATTTGATACAACGGAAATACGTGGGAGAACTATAATACCTGGTCCTGCATAGAATACATTTTCAGCCTTGATGTCTCTGTGGACAAATCCCAGGGAATGCATATACTTGACACCAGATAGAATTTGCGAGTAGAGGATCTTCGCGTCTTCCTCCTGGAAAGATAAGTAAATATGAAAAACTTTATTACAAAACTGTAATCAAATTCGATAAACATTGTCATATCACCTTAAATTTTCCATTTACTGATATCTTATCAAATAACTCTCCACCAGGAGCATATTCGATCACCAGGTGTATCCTAGCATAAGTCTCCACCACTTCAAAAAGCCGGATAACATGGGGATGGCAAATTCCTTCCATAGTAGCTATCTCCCTGGACAACATCCTTCTGGTCTTCTCGTCGAGCTTCGTTTTTTCCAAAATCTTGATGGCGACCTTTTCTGAAACACCGAACAAGAAACTAGGCTATTTCAAAAATAATAAAAACTCAAAAGCAGACATAGATATTTTAAAAAGTCACAAACCATTGGTCGGATGATGAATTGCCATTTTGACCCTGGAGAAGTTCCCGGAGCCAAGATCTCCCCGTAGCCTATAAAGCCCGACGCTCTTTCCGAGGCTTGCATCGCGCACCCATCGAGCATCATCTGGATTCTTAGAACTGAATGAAACCTCAGCACTCCAACGTGGCGGACAGGAACTGTTCGGATAGTTCGGCTCTTGATGGACCGAGCCTGGCACTGGGATGCTGGAGGGTCTCATCTATCGAAGGGTACGATGCGATATCTTCCAGGTGTCCTGGCTCAGGCGAGATCTGCGAGCTCTAACCTGGTCCACCATGAGTCCATTACTTTCTGCGGCGCGCATATATATTTGGTGCAGCATTGTGCTCTGAAACTAAATGCAAGAATAAACTGACACTGTGACGCGATCCAAAGACCAGCAGGAATCCTTGCAAGCTAATATATAAATGTACAAGAAAGGCAGGGCTTCGTCAAAGTGTCGACCTATTGGAGGAGTTACGGATCGAAAGCAAAGTAATAGGAACGAAGTAGATGTTCGTGGTCTAAATATTCATGAATTCAGCAGCCACTTCGAAAATTCGACGGCAGTATATGCATTCATTATGCGGCGTTTGGCCAAGGCCACGATCCTGGTTATTAAAATTTCGAATGTTCTGAAAACTGTTTCAGGATAAAATAAATTTGCGAATTCGGCTACCTGGTGCGATAATACAGTTTATCGGTGATGGAACTGTTTAATACCACTGGATTTCGTATCCAGAATCATACAAGTATCTATAAATAATTTGACGTACATTCAATTCCAATTACAATAAAACGAAGACTAGCAAGTAGTTCTGTTTCCTAATTCATCAAAGCAGTAAGGTAGCTATCATGGACAAAATTTCCAAAAATCAAAATAATATAAAATAGCAATGATATATAAGCTTTTAACTAAAAGAGTAAGTATCGGACTATCTAAAGTTTTTGATACTGGTGTGACGTTCCCTAAGAACGCCACTACCACTATACCTATAAATAATCTGGCACGCATTCAATCCCAATTACAGCATCCCAACAGCAGAGTGTTTTGCAACCAGGAGACAATGTGGAGCGCCAAAGAATTATCAGGACAGACTTGGCGTTAAAGCACGAGCTTCATCAGGATGACATGATGAAATGTAAGGATGAAGAGTAACATAGGAAAGTCCCAAGTAGAACAATAAGATCTACAACAGGAAAGAATGAGGCTCAACGTATATAAGGACTAGGTCGGGCCATGCATATAACAGAAAGTCAAAGTGACAAACATGAAGTTTAATGAGAAAAGTGCTGAGGGGTTAGACTTGCGATGGCCATTTTAAAATTATTCCATTGAGATCGAGCATTGTCGCATTTTATTGAACGTCGCTTTTGCTTATCATCGCTTTAGAACCCTCTTCAATTTAAACAATTGGTGAAATGATCACAGAGGAAGGTGTCCCTTTTACAACGACGACAACCATGATTAGGATTGCAAGTAGAATAATTATGTGTGGAGTCAGCATCGTCATAGCTTCTAAAAGAATATTAAATAATAGATTATACTGGTGTAAGCAATACCAGCAGTAGCGTTCGAGTATTGGATCGATCTTTCCATCCAGGTTGGGCAGCTCTAGGTTGCGGCTTAAAAAATTCACAAGTCCAAGGAATACGTCGATGCCACGCTTAATTGTCCTGGATAATAATGCATGATTTCCAACCAAGGACATAGAGAATGGGGAACGGGGAGATAGAAAGGGGAAGAATTATAGAGCAGCTTTAATCATAGAGAATAAAACGAATATATAAGAATAGATTATATATCGTTGAAATAATAAATGAGAGATCAAATTGTATTATATAAGTGTTACATTCAATTGTCCTCAACAATATTACGTGACTATAACACCTAGTAGAAATTTAATGCTTTTAAGATAACACTGCGTTTGGTTACCTTTTCTTAATAAAAAGAAATATCAATATCAAAGTGTAGAAAAAGGGTTGACACAGATATGGAATTATTTATCAATAAATGCCAATTCCCTATGATAGCCAAATAAGGAACGAAGAAGAGGAAGAAATGTGAATTCCAAGTTAAAATTATACAGCCACAATCTAGATTGTGTAAACGTTGTGTTTCGTCTCGGTTCTGTTAAACAAGAACATAAGAGGTGGAAGAAAAAAATCGCTGCAATACACGCACAAACACTTTGATCCAGGAACACGCGACAGTTTCTACTGAGAACAGAAAAAGGAACGGGGACACGCTCACGTGCTGGTAGTTCTTTTAATGAGAGAGAAAGAAAGGGAATTACGCGAGAGGAAAAAGAAAAGAAAGCTTGGCAAACTTTAAAGGACTAACCGGAAGAGAAGAATCTTATCAGGTCGGTATATCTTAAAGAATATTTTAACGGCACTTATTACGATATTCAATCAGCAGATTTTTAATTGTAGTCTTATCTTATCAAACTTGTTATACATTAAATGATTTGTTAATTGATAATCAATCAAGTTCCATTGGGTAACTAATCGATTAGCTTCCGAATCGAATTTTGTAAATCCATTTATTCTCTGAAGTTCATTTGTAGTGAGTATTGCATGAGTTACTCTATTGATTGAAATATTCAATGAAATCTAGGGACAATATCTTATGAATGAATTATACAGGAATAAAAGACTGTAGCTTACGCTATGAAATTTTTCCATCCTAGCCTGGATGTAAATAGTTAATATCTCAGGGTATTAGAACTGGCAGTCAATTTCCATGACAGTGTGTAAATCATAGCCAAGTGTTATTATCACCTGTAGTCTAATCTGATAGATAGGCGTTATTTTGGTAATAACAATTATCTAGTTGAAGCAGCAGCTTAATGGCAGTAACCCAATACGCACTGTATACTATAGAAATAGAGCTTCAGATAGATAAGGAACTGTCCTATTTATCAAATGCAATTTCAGTCTTGTCATCATGAAGGAGTTAAATCACTGTTCAGCATCTATACACTCTGTACAGTAATGGATGACATTACAGCACTGAAAGAATAAAAAGCTAAGAAAATGTATATAGTTAAATACAAGAGATGTATAGGTAAAGAGAGTACAAAGGGAGTCAAGAGAAGATAAAATCATATGAAATGATATTTTTAAAGATATGATATAGAGCCAAGTAAACAAACAGATATAATACTCGCACACTCAGCAGAGTCCACTTGGCAACTTCACATATTCTGAAAAGAAATTACAACAGAAACACAAGAATGGCAAAAGGAATGAGGAAATACAAAGCAATGTCAAACAAGACAAATTTTATAGTTTAGTCATATAAATAAAAAAGTGTGTAAGCAGCCACTTAGCATTATAATAGCTAAATAAGCTTTCTTAGCGAACTTACATAAAACGGCTCACATCACGTCTAGATGGTTATCCAATTAGTCATTAAAGTGCACAGAGGTTAGGAATCGATCCTTGATAAGGATTATTTTCTACTTCCTCTATTTCACCCTTAGATTTTAAGGGACGCACAACAACCTTCCCACTCGGCAGTCACCTGCTGACTGATGCCAACTGACAGCAATCACTGACGAGGAGTGGGAAACTGGTTGAGACTCCTTCATGGCACGTTTCTGTCTCCGTTATACATATTTGAGTTCTTGCGGGCGCTCAACGTCCTCCAGGAAATTTCGATCGATAACTTCGAACTGGTGCCCTCTCGACAATTTCTGGACATCCTGAAATGAATATACATATATCTCTACAGTATTATTATACGGTTATACCATATGCGTGGAATTTTACCTTGCTACGCTCCGTGTAAATATTGCATCACGATAAGCTGGGAATCCTTGGAACGAAGTAACGTAGGGGAATCTGTGGTTAATAGATGAAAAGTATATACCTGTTACATAACCGTATATATACAATATATTTTTATTATATTTTTATCATTATATGGCTTTGCTTTTTTTAATGGCTTTAATGAAATGAAATAATCATACTGGAATTTACTCTTGGATATTGATTTTAGATTCTGCAGCAAAAAAAAAGATGAATTTACGACCGTAACAGGACTCGAACCTGCAATCTTCGGATCCGAAGTCCGACGCCTTATCCATTAGGCCATACGGTCTTGTGAAAGTTGATGTTAATAAACATAAGTCGGGACTATTTCTATTTTATTTATTTAACAAATTTTCTTTTGTGAAATCGTTTATAGACAGATCAAAGTATATATTGTATAATTTTTATTGTGATAAATTAAGATAACAGTAAAATGTTAAGAAATAGTCACTGCGACTAATCAGATATGCAAGCTTTTAAAGATTTCGAATCATCCCAATTGTGCGATTGAGATAGATACGCATACCTGATAATCGAATTCGCCGGGAATACCCTGTTTGTTTAACTCTTAATTTACTAACTTTGTTATACTAGTGCGAATCTGGCTTATTAGTGGAACATAAAGGGATAAATTGATCTTTCCAACGGGTTAATTCTGGTTGGATATAAAAATCGTATTATTAAAGGTAGATAAAAAAATCAATATTGACGATATTAGTAATTAAATCTTTTATTAAGTCGAGAGCGCATTAATAAACTATAAATAAATTATTTGGTAGCTTTAATATTAACTTTCACGTGATATAGGCTCGTTTTCGTATCCCATAGGCAGTCCACTTCGGCCTTTCTCAACAGGTCGTATGCAGTCCTGACCAAGTCGTTGTTCGAGACCTTGCCAGGATCTGCCAATAAGATAAGTTGCACCAGCTTTACCAACTGCCACGGTACCCTGGGACTTTGTGACAAGAGCATCCATACGATCTACTGGTGGTAGATCGTCTACCAAGTTCCGAATGCCTCCTGAGATCAGAGACACGTCTGATTCTGTGGACGCATTGAATTCAATATAATTCTGTCCTCCGGATAATATTTGTCTAAAATCCATGCAATAGTGCGTGGAGAATTCTCGCGAATTATTAAATGCCAATTCGACCTCGTAAACCGTAAGCATAGGCTTGAAAAATTCTCTAGAATCAAACACGTCGTTTTCTGGACAGGCTATGACTACGAATGCATCCATCTGAAAGAGAAAAAAAAGAATTAGTCTACCATGTATAACACGAAGATAAATAAGAAATGATTCTGTTTCTTAGATATTTATTACCTCTGGGAAATTGGCGAGCTTAGCTGAATTTAGCTTGCCAATGCTGAGTATGTAGGATTTTTTATTCTTTGCTTTGAGAGCTTTCTTTACCATATCGATGGCTTCAAGATAATCCTTTATACCAAGCGTAGCCACGACTATACCAACTACTTTGGCATCTTTTAATTTCTCTACGAGATATCTTCGTCTTTTTAACCACGAAGAATTTAGTACACTGAATTCATGAAATTCAAGGCCTTCTGAATGATGCCAATTTCTTGTTGGAATGGTCATTGCTAGTTTAGAGAGAGTCTTTCCATTTGGTCCAAGAAAAACAGCCTCGTAATCCTGTATCCTATAGCCATTATCTAAATCATAACTTCTACCTAAAACTACTGCACTACCATTTGCATTGTCCGTAAAATCCACATTAGATGTGCAATTTAGTGTCGACAAAATGAGACTCTTGAAAATTGGCTTGAGAGTAGAATAAATGGATTCTGAAAAAACAATTGAAACATTTATCAATACAGAATTGATGTATTTTTAATTACTGTTGAAGATAATGCATATATTCATACATACCAATAGCATGAGCATAAGAAACATCATAAAATAAAAGAATTTTATGATCTCGATCCCGGAAGTATTTTTCAAACTCCTTGCAGATGACTTCCACATCAATTTTCTTTTTTGGTAATACATGAAACACAGGTAGTCGACTTGTGGGATTGAGACATGCATGGCCAAAATGTATAATTCCATCCGCATCGATATGCTGAGCTGTAACTTCATCTATACAACAACTACCACAGGAAGTATCGCCAAGAATGTAAATTTTTTTTCCTAAGCGTTTCTCCAGGTACAAAACAATTTGCACTGAGTCAGTTAAAAGGGCATCAGGGAATTGTAGACAAATCTGAACAAAGAAAAATATTCATAATTACAAATTTATTTTTCAAAGTTGAATCATGTTTGATTCTCAAAAACAACAAATTAAAAAAACAAGCCAGCATTAACATAACAAGCAATAATTAATGAAACAATAATTCTCTATCTTTCCAATATTGTTTATTTGTTAATAAACGTAACAAAAAAAAATTAGAGTAAAACAAAAGGCGTACGTGCAGAAAGGCACATCATGAATGGCGCTTGTTAACCTTACATCAATAAATGTACCGAAAGTACTGATATTCCAGCTACAAGTAAATGTAATACGTAGAATAACATGCTTTAATAAATATAAAATAAATTCCAAGGATTATCAACTGATGACTGACACATTAATAATGCTAAATTAATACCTTTTCCAGAGAGTGCCTTTTGCACCATTCCACACATTTTTCTAAATCATACGTCTCCAGTAAATTGTCACTCGACGTTTTGACAACCTGACCCTCAACTTCGGCGAGCTTTGACAAAGCCACAATTTCACTGCTACTAAAGCTAGTGCTCGTCATATTTTATTTGAATAATATGTTTCACGTGTGCTGTTTACAAAGTTTCCCTGACGCAAAAACATTCATTTTGAACGCGCTCCAAGCGGCTCAGAGCTACACTGACCACATCACGGGACCAAATGTGATTACGCGACAACCATATACATATACATATATAACAATAACAGAGAGCACTTACTAGGGCAGAAACAGGTATAACATAATGTAAATTGAATACGAGTGATGCAAAACATAATTGAAGTATAAAATTAGACATGATGCGGAAATATGTACGTTGTATCCCAAATAATATTCTATCATCATCCAATTATTGGTTTATTAACAGGAATCATAATCACAAGCCAATTTTGTTGTCTCCGCCAATGGTGTTGGAAGACAACTGATCTCCCCCCCGTTCCACTCATCCATATAGATCATGGACCAATCACTGATCTTCAAAGTAACCCCACTCCTCGACTACCATGTTACCTCTTACTTGTGTCCATAGGCGTCGGTAAAGATGCAATTTGTTCGACAGTATCGTTTGGGGTATTGGAGATTTGTTTATGATAATAGTTGATTTAACTGTTTTATTTTAAATTATTGAGACATCTGATGCGTATTAATTTATTATGTTATTGTTATTGAATTTTATTGAAATTATATTGGGCTTATTTTGGTTGTTTTCATACTGCTGTCATCCTTCTGCCTGACAGACTTTTAAACATGGCTGCTTTAAACTGATAAACGTTCATCATTCCAATAAGAAAATGTATTTTCGTGGGGAATTCGATTGAAACATTACATGTGGTGTGTTCTACTGAGATATTATAAAGCTCAAGAATGTGTGTCAGTCAAGGATTTATTAAATATTAGTATATGATTCAATATATTTTATATGACGTTCTAAAACGTGCTTCTCTTTCATTTTTAATTAATTAATATTCAGATATTGTCTTGATGATTTTTTGTCAAGTTTTTTGTTTGGTTGTGTGTTTGTGATCGACTAATCATCCGTCTGCATGAGTGGAGTAATTGTGCAATTAGTCAATGTTCACTGTATAATTAATGGTGTTCTGCTGATGTGTGTCCTAAGTCTCTGTGTGATTTCAGTTGGTGATTGTTATTATCCTTTAGAATGCTACGACTGTGCCAAAGATGTTTCATGCTAATAAAGGAATAAGTGATTATGCTTGAGCACTGAATCATAATTGTGAAATAACAACATGGAGGATTGACTTGTAAAGGATCTTAGTGTAATACATCAAAAAGATGCCGAGCCTAAGGAAGAAGGTTGTTGGTTTCATGCGGCAGCTATCAGTCAGTAATTTGGCAGCAGCTGTAGAAAATATTGGACAGGGTGAACAGTCACCACGTAGTCCAAGATTAGTAAATCAGGATTTTCCAGGAAGTTGCTTTATTACACGTTATCTGAATGGGTAAATATTATTTTTAAGCTTTTCAGTTTGTAAAATTTATTTTTTTTACTACAGCAAAGAAATTCTTTTTCCATAATCCATTTTTAGACAGGAGAAAAAAACAGAGGGTCCTACGATATTACATGGTAGAAATCCTGAGGAACTACCAGCAAAACCACTAGGACCAATTGATCAAGACGAGGAAGTTTTTGCTGCTGTAACAGGACCAGACAGAGGTCTAACGACAGTTAATCAAAAGCAACGACACCTCAGTATCAGTGATCCAGATGTGGACTACATTGACATTCTGGAGCAAACTGATCATGATAGGGCTGGTGAGTACTTATTGATAAGGTAATCCCATATAACCTGAGAGTGTGAGAGACAGACTCCGTCTGAGAAAATGAAAATATTAATAATCATTGCACCAGCAGCAACATTAATATTTTGTTCATAAATATTAAAATAGTTACTAGTTTTAATTATATCGGATACAGTGAACAGCTCAGCGGATTGTATATTTTCTGTGGCCCATGACCGATGGTTCATGATACGCCCTAAAGAGGCACCAATATGTCCAATTGACAACAGTACAGTGAAAATCAGGGCAGCTGGAAAGTTATACGAGCCTGAGACAAAGTACTCGCAGGAGAATCTTCTTCAGGAGTTGGGAACTAATTTACATAGACGAAACAGTGTAGGAGACTGTCTGGAGTTGAAGAATGGTTCTGAGACTAGACGTAGAAATATGTCAAGTGACACCCTGGATGATCTCACCACAGACATTTCCGAGGTTTCAACGTCACAGACAGAGGATAGTCTCGACTACGATACTAAGGTTCGTCAGAGACTCGACAACTTCCAGTTTGGTTTTGTACCCGAGAGTTGCTTCACCTTCGAGCCTGATGACCCACCTCCGGAACTGGTAAAAAATGTCGGTTTCGTCGACAGTCTCAATGACAATGGTGTACAGTTCGACCTGCAGAATATCTCGAATGATACTCTAGACGATCTTGACGAAGGAGACTTTGGGAATGATATCATACCACCACCCTCAGAGTTTGCATCCGAAATGAATCCTTTGAGAAAGTCAAAAAGCGCACCTGCACCTTTTCAAAAAAGCAATAAAGGTGCTAAGACAAATACTCATGTATGAGCATGCTGTCTGGATTTGCTCGTAGAATGATTATTTATATATTTATTTTTTTCATATTATCAATAGCTGCACGAATTATTTAATTGAAATATTAAATAGTTAGTTTCTAGCATGGAAATTACTTAATATTTATTTTATTAGTTTAGTTTATAAAGCTTTCTTATCCTATATTTCATATTATTTATGAAACGATCTGCCTGTTATAGATACAGCAATTATGATTGCTTTCTATTTTTAAGAAAGTGCAATGGATTGTAGAATAACATTTTTAAGTACATATATTGTTTTTGCAATATTAGCTTGTACTATAAGAATTTAATTTTGTTATGAAACTTATGGATTAAAATGGAACAGCTTAAGTAATTCTTTCTTTCCAGGATCGTCGAACAGTATAGCAATTGCTGGCGTAACAAATTGGGCGAGTCCTCATGATTTTGCGTATGGAATTGCGACGACCCTCTACGAGAAGAATCCAATTTACAATACGAATAGTGGAGAACCTATAGCAGATTGTTTTGCAGTAGCAGCAAGGCCGAACGCAGCAGTGTTGGCACTTGCCGATGGTGTTAATTGGGGTAAGCATGCTCATGTAACAAGGATATATTGTCTCTGCAGTCACTTTATTTATTCTAAAAAAAAAAATGAATCTCCAGGTTCGAAAGCAAGTATAGCTGCAAGATCCGCCGTTCATGGTAGCATGGAGTACTTGAATAAGGCTCTGTTCTCGCCTCCTCCTGGAGGAGCTGTAACAACCACCCGAGACGTTTTCGTGGCTCTGCTTAGATCCTTTCACGCGGCACATTCTCTGATCCTTCAAGAACAGGGGATGCTCACAACCCTGACAGTCTGTGCAGTATTACCACTAGCTGCATCACGGTCCGATTCAAATACTCAAGGCGAGAGGAGATACGTGGCGTGCACGTGTAACGTGGGTGACAGTCTGGCTTACGTGTACTCCAGGTAAGACAGTAAGAAATTGTGTAACCACGAGTAAAGATTTTAAACCCGGAAAATTATTTTTAGGAGAACTGGCGTGCGAGAAATAACTCAGGGCTCTCATGATATCTATTGTATGAGAGATATGCGAGATGCATTAGGTGCGCTTGGTCCTGTGGATGGCTGTAATCCGGAATTAAATAACCTCACCTTGGCGATGACGGAGGTCGACCAAGGTGACATCGTATTCCTCACAAGCGATGGGGTATCCGATAACTTTGACCCGGTCGTAGGGAAATTTGCTGTGTTACCTGCTGGTAATTCGAGTGCGGGTACCGAACGTCCAGGACGATCTGAATCCCAGGATAGGAGCAGAACCCGTCGCAAATCTTCCGAGAATTTACGTCGCACCGATTCCGGTGGAAGTGGCGGAAGTAATTTACCTGTTGTCGGTGCTTATCAACGTCATGAGTTGACTCTCCTCAGGATGGACGACCTTCTGCGACGTGGTGTCTCTGGCGAAGGTCCACCTTGTGACAGTGCCAAACGCCTCTCCGAACTTCTCCTGGATTTTGTGGTTAGTATCTCCCAGAACTTTCAATTCTCCAACTCTTATTTACCCCATCTAGTTATCACCTGATTATGCAACAGATCCGCATAACTGCAGCTAAGCGTCGTATCCTAGAGGACACGGATTTGTATTATACACAACGTAAGGACGGCCAGCTAGTGCCGCTGTCTAAGGCTGAGCAGTATAACCGACGTAAGAAGATAATGGACAAGAATTCCATGGTTCCTGGGAAGTTAGACCATGCAACAGTGGTTGCGTACGTAGTAGGCAGCTACAGGAAATCGCAGAGCGACCTTTAGTTCGTTCTCAATTACCCCAAGGATTTCTCCCAGGTACCGTTACACCTGGAGAAACTGCAGACAGCACGTGTGCCATGGTTCAGTCATTCGAATTCTCTGAGAACCTCCTCTTGGTCTTGTGACCCAACCCATGTAATGAGTATTCAAGAGTTTCGTTTAAAGAATCTCAGTTTCCATAATAATGGAGAACTTATAACAAAAGTTCTTTGTCTGTGATTGATCCAAATGGTATGAGCATTCCAAACGTATTTGCGTGAGCATCTTCAGATTCCTTTCTGTATGTGTACATACATAGTGATACTATGACGTCACAGTACCTATATGTATTGTATTTTCCCATTATTACGCAATCGTAAAATCCAAATGCCATTATCGCTATTAGCTGTACATCACATATTACAATATGGAGACGAAAAATCTCTGTTTCTTTTTTTTAATTCCCACAAGAAAGTCCGAGAGGAAGTTGACGTTCCGTTTTAAAGGATCGTACACATATTTCTTATTTATATTGATATCAATAACAATGATAATCGTAATAATAATAATACGCAACGTCATTTTCTCAGGATATCTCTCGTGGGCAAATAGTTGCGCTTTACGAATGAAAACTCGAAAGTACTAGCACCGGACACTGCCCCATTTTTTGTAAATGAATCCTCACGATTGTAAGGGTGGTCGTGATATGGACTTAAAAGAATATTTTAACTTTATTTCTGTTTACGTTTAACGGCGCTACTATTATTATACAAATTACTACGGGAACGAGCAGACGTCGTTCGCATGAAGGATTTGATTAAAACCTCCTGCATCGACTCTTGTAATGATAAATTAGAAAGACAAAAAAGACAGTAAAGTTTAAGAGAATAGGTAAGATAATAACAAAGAGAAAAAGAGTAACAAGGGAAAATATTGCTTCTCTTTTAAGATACATTTTGCTAGACGGATTAGAATGTAGCACATTCTTTTAAGTAGGTGAAGTAATTAAAATAATATTCAGTTTACGCCAATCAAAAGGAATAACGAGGAAAGGAAATTGTTTTATTGTCTTTCTATTTGAATTTTTATTTTTCTCTTCAATTGAACAGAGCAAAATAGAAGGGACTGAGGAGATGAAGTATTCCTTCTTTTAAGTAGTTCATAGAAAAATATAATTTTACGTTAATATCCCGTTGTTTCTAAAAAATGTTTCTTTCTATTCCCTTAGTTCTTTTTATAATTGTTGTTAGAAATTGTTTTCGGTATTGCTTTTTTTTTCTTCTATGAGGAGAGATTCAAGAGTCGTGTCAATATATAGACATATATATATATATATATAAAGACACGTATATATTATATATATTGCGGATACAAATATATTTATATGTTGTAAAAGAACAACGTGTGATTATACAAAATGCAATTCACAGGGAAGAAGTTCAACGCTGAAATAAACGACACGATACAACGATTACCAGTATTTCCTTTTAGAGGTATCCTGCTCCCTTGTCTATGCAAAGTCTCAGATTCATCTGGAAATCAGTATAGTTGCAAAACTGTTAATTCTCCTTGATAGTGATTCCTTTTTCTCTAAGAAACGCTTTAGCTTCTTTGATTTGCTGTAACAGAGAATAGATATCGTTAAATCTCTGAGAATTGCTGATCTATTTATTATGTTAAATTGAACTGCAATGTTAAGAACCTGTTGTAACTCTATAGCAGCCTCTTCGCAGTTATTGAAAGTGAAGACACGGTACATAACAACAGTGGCTGCATAGAGACCAAACAGAAACAAAGAGATGATTGGCAATAGAAGAATAAGTGGCCTCCATTCAGAGACCAAGGATGGATGAATATTTCCAGTTAATGCAGCAATCCAAATCGCTAAGAAGGTCGTCGCGAAGAGGAGCCACTCCATTAATTTTGTCATCTACAGAATTATAAGATAAATTAATTTTTAATTGATAAAGTGAATTTGTGTCTTCATACCTTTACAATGAATTTTATGTAGTTCCGTATAAAATTATAATGCAATAAAAATGATAGAGAATGTACTGCTAATTTTATAAAAATAATATTTTCTGTAAATTATATTTATTGTAGGTTCAATTAAGTTTTTAAGCTTTCACGTTGCTGCTGCTTAATGCTTTCGTGGCAGCCATGCTGTTGTCAGTTCACTGCAGTTCACCAGCTGATCACGTCAGGTAAACTTGAGAGTACGCCACTGTCCGATGCCGGTCTAGAGCAGTCTAGAGTGTTTCTGAATGATTCAGTAAAAAAATAAATGTAGCAGCTTACGCATTATTTATTTGAGTTTAATTAGATACTGAGCCCTTCTAAGAGAAGATCAAAGAATTTAAAAGACATGGCTTCTGAAGATATTGTTCCTTTCTTGTCAATTCAGAGCGACTGGAACAAGTGTCTCAGGTATTTAAATATTTATGCTTGTAATCCAGTTGATATTTTAAGAAATTTTGATTACTGATAATACCATTTTGAAAACAGAGGACGTGATAAGGAAGCTTGGATATCCTACAAGTATAGAGGTAATTCAGTTTTCAGAAAGTATTTTAATTTATCATGAATAAGAAAGTATTCGATAATTGGATTTTGTATTATAGATCAAGCCAGTGTTACAGGAAAACTTAAACTACTTGATGGAAAGATATCATGTTCTGAGGGGTTTGAAATACTAGCATATCATGGAGATTCAGTTACATTGAAACATATAGCTTCAGGGGTAATCACTGCATTTCATGCTCCAGTAATTACTTTTACGGTACATGATAAAGCGTGTACTAGTATCGATGTATCTCATGGAGGACTTGGTGTATCGGCTGGATCTCAGGGAGATCTATTTATATGGGAAACGGAGAGAGGTGTCATAAGAGTAAATATATTATTAAATGTTACAGAATTAATGACATATACCATATATGTGGTCTAAATAAAAATTCAATTAATTTTAGTGTACTCTAAAAGGACACATTGGTGATATATACAGGTGTAAATTCTTCCCTTCGGGTGTAGTTGTCCTCGCAGGAGGAGCAGATTGGAGAACAAGAATATGGTGTGCCATGACTGGACAATGTCCTGTTACTCTTGGAGAACACACAGGTCCTGTGACAGATCTTGCTATTATTGATAGAGGCAAAAATATTATCACCACATCAAAGTAAGAAAAATACTGATAAATAGATATCTTCTACAGGTTAGTAATATAAATTGCCCTAGATTAAACGGTAAATTAAATCTCTAGAGATGGTACAGCTCGATTATGGAATGTTGGAGAATCTCTATGCCTCGGTATCCTGTGTAAATTAGAAAACACCAGTATTACCTGCTGCGTCCTAACTTCGTCTAATCGGTTGGTCTTGCCACCAACTAAAATGGAATATTCAGAAAAAGAAGTTGGAACCGAAGATAAGATTCTTGCAATTGGTGGTGACGATGGCTTGTTGCTGTTAATTGGTGTAAGGGCAAGAGCAGAATTATCCAGGAGGACCTTGGATTCTCCTGTAACAGCCGTAGCATTGATTAATAATGAAATTATAGCAGTGGGCTTGGACAATGGAGAGGTAATTACACTATTTATTTTGTTTAATAACCAAACAACTAATATGTCATATGTTGTGTCTGACACAGATTCACTTAATAAGCATTTTGGATTCGAAATTGACATCGATCAAGATCATTCATGAAAGTAACAGCCCAATAAAATCCTTGGTAACAGTAAGAGAACAAGTGTTACTAGCAGGACTAGGGGATGGTTCATGTGTGGGGTACGAAGTACAATTTCTCCATCATAATACTGCTTCAGTACCTCGTCTTCAATTGACAGGATCAAACTTCGATCCAATTTATGGAATAGCTTGGGATGGTAAAAGTTTTGTTTTTACAGCATCCAGAGATGGTAATATTAGAAAATACAAAATTGAGAATCCAAAAGAATCGTTGATGAAATAAAAATAGCTTTTATGAATATAATATATTCAAATTTATGGATTACTTTAACAAATATTGTTATTGTATCATTTTATAGAATTACATAAATATCTACTACTACATTTATACCTAGATTTTTTAAGACTGTATTTAAAAAAATAAATGTGTGTCCTTTCCACCATTTTGTTAAATTCGAATCTAGGGAATTCAGTGGGGTAGTGGTTTTCTGTTTTATCGTTGCATAGGTAGGTGTAGTGATTTGTTCAATCTAGTTTTCTACAGAGAAGCGTCCTGAAAGTTACTTCTGTCTACATATTTTATATTGAAAAATTTGACTTGTCCTTTGATATTTAAATGCAAATAAGATATTAAAGCATGACATCAGTATTAGAATCTATGGTAGTGGATGAGAAGCAGCTTCCAGAAAAACCTGTTGATAGAGAAAAGGTAAAACAACGTATTTGATGCGTTTCCTAACCTCTTGGTGAATGTTTGTTGATATTTTTATATTACTTTATATTGTATAATGTTTATTAATGTCACTGATTTTCATTTAGACATGTCCTCTCCTTCTTCGTGTCTTTTGTAATAATGGGCGACATCACAATATTATGGAGTACAGCAGAGGCAATGTGCCATCTAATGAACTACAGATTTATACATGGTAAAAATATATTGAATGAAATGAAACTATTGTAACGTGTAAGGGAATGCAATAACTGAGATTATATAACTTAGGATGGATGCAACGTTACGAGAAATCACAGGCCTGGTGAAGGAAGTTAATCCTGATGCTCGAAGTAAAGGAACCTACTTTGATTTCTCCTTGGTGACACCAGAGCTGCGAAACTCTGGATACAGAATGCGAGAAATTGGTGTGACTTGTTCAGGACAAAAAGGGGCTGATGACAACAAAACTTTAGCGCAAGCAAGGTACTCAGAATAATGAATGCATTATTATGCATTTCATTTTATAGCATACAGAACTAAAAATGTAAAAAATTGTTCTATGCCAGATTTACTATTGGAGACTATCTGGACATTTCCATAACACCGCCAAACAGAATGATGCAACCAGCTGCTAGACGAGGAGGACTGCGTCAATACTAAGACCTTCAAGCATATGAATTAGCTATTAAGAATCGTCGTTAACGATATGAAAACGTTCAAAGAGAGTTGAATATAATAATAAATTTTTTAAATTGCAACTTTTAATATAAATCTATACTATGTAACAAAAAATTAACATTCCAGACAAGTCATATACACGCAATATAGGCTATGCTGTGATCCGATTAACGGTACTTATTTCTGCTTAGGGTATAAAAACAAATAAAGAAGTACCAATGGCTTTTCAAGTTCTCCATTATGTAACGCTACCGTCAAAGGTCGGTAAAATGTTAAAACCGTTTAGACCTTACTGGCAGCTTAATTACATGAATATCGTGGAGGTCAAAAATCAGAGTAGCAGCTCTACCGTTTTGGAACGTTATAATAAAGAAGAATAGCTATGTATCAAGCTCATTAATTTCCAGCATTTCGAACTCTGTGGGAATTGGAACGCAGGGTAGCTGCTTCCTGAGCTATAAAGAGAAAGCTATTCGAGCAGTTTACTGTTGAAGGAAGATAAACGATTGGATATAGGTGCAAACAGAGGGTCACGGAAGAAGAGAAATTAGTCTAGACAAGTAGACAGTAGAGGGTTGACGTTGATGTTTGGGTAGAGCGCGGTAAAACAGGAACGTCCCCTGGAATTGAAATTGAAGCTTATCCAAAGGAAGTGTCTATTATCAAATATCCTGGACCATTTATATATCCAGAGACCTGAAGTAACCCCTACTGTTAAGGATACTCGAGGAAGACGTAAAGGGCGTATTCGTCGAGTAGACAAAGTTGCCTCTCAGGAGTTATAAAGAGTTACGACGTGGAGTGTCAAGGCGGATCCAATAAGTTTCACCTTTCAAGTTTCTCTTAGATATAAGAAACGTAAACAGTGGGAAACCAATAAACAAAAACCCCAGAGGAGAGAGAAGAGAGAAGGAAAAGCATGAAATCCTTAAAAGAGTTTCCTCATGAAAAACCTAAGAAACGAGGAGAATCAAGCGACGAGGAACTATCTTCTAGAACATCGAGGACTAATAAACCGTTTTAACCCATTCCCGTTCTAGGGGTTTACTTCCGTTTCCGGAAATAAATTCACGGGAGAGATTTATCTGTTTGGCATTAAGGCGTCATAAATTAGGAAAGGGCCTATGCCGGAGAGAAGGGTATAGTCCTGGTGTCGAATACATGCCACTCTCTTTTGGATTTGGCAGGGAGGCTTGTAATCTTTACCTACCTAGCAAACTTATAGGTTAGGTATACCAGTTGAACCTGAGGTATCACATAGGATAACCGGAGTATGGCAATCCTTAACCTATAGAACAGCCTTTACATATAGATGGTAGAAAAGGGAGGATATGGGGGTATGTACATATGGGTGTAGAATTCTGAAGGAAAGTAGAAAAACCGATTGTAGTGTATAGGTGGACAACAAGACTATAAAAGGGTGTGTGCGTGTGCTTGCGTGTGTATCCTGAAGATGGTGAACATAGCCAATGCGTATCAAGGTGCGTTAAGAGTATACGTAAGCGTAGCTTGAGGGATATATGTGCGATTCCGCAACTGGGTGGGGCGGCAAGGGCGCTTGCGTCAAAGAGAACATCCAGGAACGTGTCTCCAGGGTTATCCTTAAAATTCCCCCCGCTATCCTATTACCACGAAATTCGAATCGGGCCGGCTTATCGTTAATCTTAGGTTCCCTGACGTATGTAGAGAAACCGGGGTCAGTAGTTTCTTATTGCAGCCTACATATAACACCAATCTTCACCCGAGACGATACACCTTTACGCACTGGAAATATAATTTTCTCCGAAGAAGATCCTACAGGTTACAAATACACGATACCCAGGATCTAAGGTGACATAAGAACTTATTTTTTTTACGAGATGTTGTATTTTGAATTCAATCCATTTTTTCATGTTGCGGACGCGTCGATTTCTTCCGAGTCAATTACGCGATGGGTAACCTTTCTGAGGCTACGTAACGTCGCTTTGTGAAGAGTCCTGGAGATAAGAGACATAAAAGAAGGGAAAGAACGTAATAAGGAAAAATAGTGGGAAGCACCCTATTTTAACCACGAGGATCTTCAGCACTGAGACTCCCTGGTAGATCCCAGGTTCCCTTATCCTCCTTGTGCTCCCGCGCTGTGTATCAGCCCCTCTTGCCAGGATTCTCCTCGTCTCCTCCTCACCTCTTCTCATAGGACTGACGGTGCTACCCGCTGCTGCTACCCACGGAGTATAGGGCTGAACCGGTCAGTGCATGTCGCGACGAGATCGTGGCAAGTACCGGAGCTGCTCTCTCTCCGTACTTGTACATAAACGGATGCTGTATCATATTTACAGTATAAATTTTAACTGTTGATCCGTTGCGTGTATATTGGTCAGTAGGTTATAAAATGGTCGAAGATATTGGGATTGTGAAGATGACTTGAATAGAGTTTGCTACTGTGAAAATTCTTATCGACCCACTAAAAACGGAACAGGGAAACGCGACGAACTATCTCGACCAATGACCGCAGAATTGTCGACTCCCGGTGACTTGGGTCGAGAGATTAAACGTGAAGGCAGGAACTCGTCAAGGAATTGGGAACAGTTGATTTCCGCTGTCAAGCAATCAAGATGAGTTTTAGTGGTGCGCTGATCAAGAAGATTGCTGACGTTAAGGAGTATCTCCAATAATCATCGGGTATGAATGAACCACTTTAGCTTTTTGTATGAGCGCCGTTTGGTTTGTTCTTTTTATTCTTCCGTTTTCTTTCGTAATTGAAGATTTTCTTTATCGTCATTAAAAACCGTCGCGGAGCTCACCGTCCTGGAGTTTCAAAAGATTCAGCCACGGTTTAATGATTTCCGAAGAGACGGTGCACAAAGAATTGAAAAGCTCTCGTTAAAGTGCATCTACGATTGTGTCAGTACTGGTACTCGAGAGCGGGAGGATGAGGATAAAAAAAAATAATAAAGCCAAAGACGAAGGAAGGCACGAGCGAAGAAAGCCAGAAGAAATATAGAAAAAGTCAAATAACGAGAATCCCATTAAATTTCCAGGCCGACATCTAAGCTAGCAATTCTTCGATCCTCATTACTGGTACTCGAGAGCGGGAGGATGAGGATAAAAAAAAATAATAAAGCCAAAGACGAAGGAAGGCACGAGCGAAGAAAGCCAGAAGAAATATAGAAAAAGTCAAATAACGAGAATCCCATTAAATTTCCAGGCCGACATCTAAGCTAGCAATTCTTCGATCCTCATGTATATGAGAAAGATATATATATATATATATATATATATATATATATATTATATGCATTGTCGAATATCTATGTGAAATAACACACACGCATATATAGGTAGGAAATATCGAAGCGTCAAGACTTATAGTTATAAAAAGTAGAAGCTTAGCTCATAGAATTTTGATTGCACCCTTAACGAGCTCCCAGCATAGAAAGGGTGGTCCAGTGAAAATTACTCATTTTTCACGATATTAAATTGCTTGACGTACTATTATTCTCAGGGTGCGGGTAGTTACAGCTTTTCAAAAGTGAACCCGGTCTCGAAGGGGTTCAGCGAGCTGATTGTTCGAGTTTCCCATTATTTTTCGTACTAAGGCTTGGTCAGCAATGAGGGACAATACAGGGGTGGATGATGTTCGGGTGCGAGAAGAAAGGCGGGGTAAAAATCATCCTGTCGCCTACCGGGAACATAAGGATGACGGGATGGGGATGAGCATTTGACGCTAATCGTTAAACCGTCTTTCAGGTAGGAGAGAAGAGGTGACTTACTTCTGTAAATTCGCAAGAGGGAATGAAAAGTTCATGATAACCGAGCCAAGTAATCCTCCGTCTGCGTATCGTCCTCGAGAGCGGGAATTCAGGATAAGGAACTACCCTGCCTCTACGTCCTAGCGCTTCCACAGAGGGGAGAAAGTTCCTTGAGATTCAGCCCACGTAATAAGGTATCGACGGACTACTGATATACGGAGTTTTCCTAATATTCTCCAACGGCTTGCCGGGGATTCCCCTGCGGTCGATGCGACTCCTACGGACAGAGCCAGAGGTTTCCCCGTGGAAAGTTGTACAATATCCGTCGTGGGTGATCCGTCCCTCGTGGGGTAGACGCTGATGCAAACTACGAGAATGAAAAGTTTGCGGCTGCCAAGAAGAGGAGCGCGGGATTTCCGGTGAACTCGTGGTGGACTTTAAAAGCCGCGAGTATCCTGGAGGAAGTAAAGGAGGTGGTGGACGGGTGGCGAGAAGATTTTCAAACTAGGAGATGATAAGCGAGACCCTGGGACCACGACAAATGGGATCCACGTTGAGTCAGTGGTTGATTATCGTCATTCATGGCTACAGAGCCACCACGGTGATACTCTCCTTGCTGCTCAATGTTCTTCTAAGGATCGGTTAGTATTCCTTGATGGTTTTATGGCAAGATATTACCTGGGACGGATACGCTAGGAAAGTTGATACCCAGAGGGGACAAGGGTGGATGAGAGGAAGGAAGGAAGGAAGGGGGGGAATATAGAAGAGAGAAAGGGATGGACGTAGATCTTAAGTGAGCAAGGGTTAAACGTTGAAATAAATTCCAGGCTCTATTTTTCCTCAGATGTTAAGATATCCTTGATAACATCAACCAGAACCAAGTTTGGTTAATCGAGTAAAGAGCGGAAAGTCAGTAACGTCCAAGGAGCATCTGATATGAATATTACCCTTTTCTCAGGATGATAATTACGAAGACTGATGTCCGGGTTGATCTACGTGCGTACACGTAAACGAAGCGACGACGTCAAAAGCGTGAAAAACCTTTGTATGTCTTTTTCTCTTTTATTTTCATTTAATTTTACACATTAACAGCTAAGCCGCCTTCCTTGCGCGACGAGGAATCCGGATTAACGGAATTTGTAATTTAAAAACATTTCTTTTCAAGAGTAATGCCCACATGGACCCACCTGTCAAATTCTCACGATGGCCGCCATTAAGCACGCCTAATTTTCGCACATTTGTTTATTGAACTTCAATATTTCATATACTTAAACGCAGAGACCCGCTGTGTCGTATAAGGACGGCGGAACAAATAGACGAATTAATGTAAAACGTAGGAGAAGAACGATTGTCAAGTTTTCCTCTATTATGACGTCAGCGCTCCTTTTACGTGCGTGGATATAATGTGGCTTAGTAGGAGCCTTAAGAGTTTACATGTAAATTCGAAGAAGACATCCACGAAGTCTGTACTCGGATCATAATTAAATTCGTCCTGCAGTTTATTATTGCCTTTACCGTGCTAATCGAGTTAAGCATTTTCCCAGGTTTACCATCCTTCTGGCTGCCTATCTATTTCCACCTTACCCAGTCTTGCGCTCATGAATACAGCATTTCTCGTGGAAGTAACATTGAACCGCTAATGAATTCAATTTTAATTAAGAACTTGAAAGAAAACAAGATATCCCGATACAGTCAACCCCCAGGAAGCCCAACGAAGTGATCAATAGAATGTGGTAACGCTCTCGATTTCGCAATGATCCATTTCGCAATCTCATAAATACCTAAAAAGAAAAGGCGACCTGAGAAAATCCAAGTAAGCTGCTTAACGAGATTCGCTGTGTTTTCGCGAGGGACAAACTCACCACTACCCTGATTCAGTGACGTCAGTGATGGTGGTGGTGAAGGTGACGAAGGTGGTTAAAGTGGTGTAGCATCCCCTGTTTTCCTACCTCCCTGACGTCTCCGGCTCTTCGTCCAGAAGGTAAAATCGAGCAAGCCCTATCCAAGCTAGACTCCAAGAGTTGCTCGAGGAGTACGACCCTTTTTTTATATCTCCTTCTTTCCTCCCCCAGTTAAAGGCTTCTATTTCTTTTGCGCTCGAATGACCTTTTTCAGACAGCCCAGCCGCAGTGACTGCGGAAATCGTCGGTACCGGCGTCAACTCCATAGATAGAACAAGCCCGAAGCCATTGGACGTCGACCTGCCGCCGACGTTGCCGATGACTTTTGGCACCCAAAATTCAACAGTGATTTCCGCCCAATCAGGATCCACCGCCCTTATACCCTGTGTCGTCCACAATATCGGTGATGGAATGGTGAGTCACTTCGAAGAAGTTAGACATCACGTGGTACCTGGAACGAACCAGGAACATCAAAGTTGAACGTGGACCAGTCTGTATATACCTCGTAGATACATAGAACGTTATACATAAACATCAGTAAACAGGTATAGCATTACAAGGAACTTTTGCCAAAGTTAGCTCTCTGTCTAGGCTTATCAGGAATAGGGTCCCAAAGCCTTCGGGAACCTTGATAGCAGATGCTATCAGTAATTCCACGTTAAGCTCCCTCCGAATGAGAACCCCTGATTGATCGCTGAATAAGTTTTTCCTTTACGGGAATCAAAATGAAAAGCCACGAGTGCCATTGAACGACTGGTTGTTTGGTAGAATCGAATCGATAGCTGTTGAATAGAGCTTGTCTACTAGTACTAGATACAGAAGCTGCTATTATTTAGCTAAAGAGAGAGAAGGAGAGAGTGGTCGCTAGGGTGAGTAAGAAAGGCAGCAGAGAGTTAAGAACCGTAATAGTGAGTCGTTATAAGGGATTACAACGGGATACGATGGATAATTTTATTTCTCAGCTTGATTAACATTTCTGTTCTCTCTCTCTCTCTCTCTCTCTCTCTCCCCCACACATTTTCTTGTCGCCTTCCCTTTTCTACTCGCACACCTTCGACCCCCATAACAGCCAGACATTTTTTCATCCCAGAATCTTCCAACTCGAAGGTAAATTACTCGATTACACAGAGATACGTATATTTATTAGCTGGTTCCTATCTCAGTATTTCTTTTTCTTTTTCGCTTCCCTCCAAACTGGCATCGAGTCATACGCATATTCCTGATTCTGTGTCTTCGTCAGGTAACGTGGATAAAACGAAGAGACGTTCAGCAGCTGCTCACGGTAGGCCTGGCGACGTACGCGAGCGACGAGCGTTTCCAGGCGATACATTTTCACCACAGCGAAGATTGGACGCTTCAAATAAAGTACGTTCAGCGTCGGGACGCTGGTCTCTACGAGTGCCAAGTATCCACCCATCCGCACACGAGTATATTTCTGCTTCTGGAGGTCGTCGGTAAGCGTTATTAACTGGTGATTAAAAGTGGATTTACGAGGGGATGTAATATCTATGTATCCAGATGCAGATTCTTATATAGTCATATACGCCATTATATAGTTATGCGTATCTAAGAGTATGTACTAGCAGCTTATACTATATATAGCTATATACATGTATATTCACATAAGAGTAACGATGTCCAAGAGGATACACTATCTAGGGTACGAGGGGCGGGGGATAGCAGTATTTTAACAACCTCTACCACTCGACCCACTAAGTGGAAACTTTTTGGAACCGGCAACATTGCCTAAAGAAATGAGAATCCCTGTTAGACCCTCTATCGTACCCTTAACACTCGGTAGGCGTGTCGCATCCGAGACCTTAAAATTCTCTCAGTCGCACCAATGTGATCTCAGGTCGGCGCTCCTTGTTCCTCTGATATAATAAATTGCGTGCTCTCTATCTCTCTCTATCTCTCCTCCCCCTCACTTTCGCTCTCCGTCTCAGCGAACTATTGCTCAAGGTAATAAATAGAGAGGGAGAGTAGAACCGTGAGCAGCGGTAATAACAAATGGCGTTTTTGGCAGTACCCACAGTCGGGTACGTCCTCGTCGCAAGAAAAGCCAACTCCTGACCTCGAGGCCCCGATGGGGTTAACCCACGCCCTTAACAAAATTACAAGCTTCTCATGTCTCCTTCGTATTCCCACAGATGCTCGTGCCGAGATAACCGGGCCGCCGGAGAAATTCGTGCGACCCGGTAGCACCCTGCAACTTCACTGCCTCGTTAAGAAGTCCACCGAGACGTTGTCCTATCTCTTCTGGTACCACAACTTCCGTATGATAAATTATGACGGGGATCAAGGTGTGAACGTCAGTACGGATCTGAATGGACGGGAAAGTTGGTTGGAGGTACCCAGGGCATCAGGAAAACACTCGGGGAACTATACCTGCGCTGCTAATAACGCAGAACCTGCCAGGGTACTGGTGCACATCTTCAACGGGGACAATCCAGCCGCTATGCAGCACAGTATAGCCTCCTCAGGACCAGCACTGGCATTCCTGGTGTTATTCATCCTGCCAACGTTGCTCAGAATGACAGCACAACCGGCTGTCTTTGTTTTACAGTGCTGAAACTTTAATCGATGCTTCAAGTTCGTGTAGATTTATTTATTTGACCATTGTATTTAGTTTTCTCTTACCTAAAGCGTGCGTGGCCTTTCCGAAGATCGAGGATGAAGAGGGAAGGAAGTAATCGGCTGGTGTCTCTTGGACGTAGACGGAAGATCTTTTTTTGGAACGCCTTTTGTGTCTAGCGTAGCACCCCGACAGGTCTCAGTCATGCAATATACTGGGAATGCAGGAAAGATTGATCTCTGCAATTTTTTTTTTTTAATTTTCGTTTGTGAAACTTGATCGTCACGACGTCCGTCAAAATTCTTCTGGGATTCAATCGTTTTTATAAGAGAGATAAAATCTGTCCGGATGCTTGCAGACGCAATTATCTGCTAGACAACAGCTTTTACTTTGGCTGCCGTTAGTTTATCTTATGTTTCTGTGTCGCGCGATACAAAACAGTATGGGGGAATATCTTGGATCCAGTGATTGTAGGAGGCTCAAAAAGCGGATGAAACTAATTATTATTCGTGGTGCACGATTGTGTAATTTAATAAGAATGCGTGTATATAATATACATACGTACATAAATTAGGTATATATGTATAATAAAGATATATCGTCTACAATCTACTTCAACGTTACATTTACTAATCACTGATCAAATTCTCAGCAGATAATTTAATTAACGACAGATTTATCGATTTTAGAAAACTATATAAGTGCATATGCCTCATCGAGCAGAGAATCCTTCTGATTGAAGGAAGAAAAGTTTGAATTAGGAAATTCAAAGAAAAAAAGTTACTGCTTATATTTTCACTTGGATATGTGCTCAGCTTTTCTTTTCTAATTAATGGCATACGTTGGACATGACTTGGGATAGATTCTTTATAATTGGTATTGATACGTATATCTATTTACACGAGGTAAACTGCGACCAGAGAACTGAAGAAGCAAATAAATTAAGGTCCAGCTATTTTCTTTAACCTGTGATGGACACTCGAGGTCAGTGAATGAGAAAAAACTTGAAGGTATAAGAAAAAGAAAGAGATGGGACACTCGAGTATCTTTTTTATTTACTTTTTTCTCCTTCTTGACAAGATTATAATAATAGAGGGTCCCTTGCCCTGATCTCCCTCGTCTATTTATCTGCACAGTCCAAGAAGCTGTCCCCAGAGTGACCGAAGAGCGCCGATCAATGAGAACACCGTGACCATGACAGTGGCGATAATGAACAATAGGATGACCTCGTCAGGCACCCTTGCCTTCATCCAATTGAGTTCGTAGCCCATTATCTGTGAGGCTATCCCGACAACGAAACAGCTGATACCTAAGAGGTTATGGATGAATTTACTGACGACCGGCTTGACAGTTCTGCGCAATCTGGCGGCGAAAAGAGCAGGCACACCCAGGACGATACTGACAATCATTAGGACGACGGACGTGAGGCCCGTGATTCCGTGCTGGCTGTTAAAATGAACTCGTTTTACATCGTAGACGACGTAGACGCCATAGATAATTGATGCTGCTCCTATTAATTGCAATATCCAATGCAGATGACTGTTGCCACGACGCGTCAGACATATTGTCCAGACATTTTCACCAGCCAGGATTACTGTGGCTTCCGCCATTAGTAGGACATACTAATAAAAAAAGTTTAATGAGTACCGTGCATTATTATTTCATTTTAAAGATAATTTCACTCACCCCTATCGTGCAAAATAATACGTGGCGATCAAATGTATTGAATGGCTTTACCGTAAGATACATTATGTATCCGGTCACCAGGAGTATTAATATGTGATTCACGCAATTTATAGCAATAAGAATTATATCAGAGCATTTTAATCCTGCTTTTGGCTTTGGATCCGTTAAGTTGACTGTTGAATTTCCGGTTTCGACTTGGGGATTTGACATGTTTGTAGATTTTTACAATGCTTGATACTTGCGTTATGGTTACTTTTATAGATTATTTATTTTTTTTATTTTTATGGAAATACTTTTGGCTATAGCCTTCTTAAGGAACAATCACTATTTTGGATTGTCACCGGACAGATTTAAAGCACAATAATCCAAGTTTCTGTAGACTATTTAATTCAGGACCGCTGAGTAATGCTCAAGGAAGTCGTTAATCTAAAATACTAATTAGGAAAATATCAAATATTTATATATCGTGCAAGTCTTGCGCTTTATCTGGGGATTATGATTTTTGTATGTATAGGATGATAACGAATAAAAACTATCACTAGACACATGTAACGTTTCAGTGATTGAATGTAAAATTTAATCTACAATTTGAAAAAGGAATAATTTTTATCTCTTATCATAAGTAGAATCCGAACAAGCACTAAGTAACGTTGACATACTCGCAATGTTGAATTTTTCCATTCAATAATATGACAGTTACGTTATAAAGGCGCTTATGTGGCTTGTTAATAAAATTTGTTATGAAACGTTTATAACTGTAAATCCTTTGCTTTGATCTTCTAACATGACCAATATGTAAATGTCACTTTTTGTTTGCTGAGATATTACGTCATTAAACGGAAACGTATCGAATTAAGGGGGAATGAAATTTAATTCCCAAAATGTGCCCTACTTTGGGGATTGATTTCACCCCTGACAACCTTCTTTTTCGCCACTAGAAAAATACGTGCCGCCGCTAAAAAAATAAGATTTCGATGAAGAATAACATAACCAGAAACGAGCAAAAGTGGAAGAGGACACAGGAAACAGTTTCCTTGTAAGATATTTTACGATTGGTTTACTTTTAATACGGTTTATCAACCATGACGCAGCTAGACAGATATGCAGATTAGATACTTACATCATATTTAGATCACGTTGGCTTGTGCTGCGCTGCTGCAAGGCTGTGCATCGCTTATGAGTGTACATGTGAAATTAAAACACGATCAAATGCAAGAAAGTTCAGTACACCCGATAATTCATTCATTTACGAAGTACGTTCAATACCTCGGATACCTTAACAATTTTATATTGGTTAATCAAATGATAATACTCCAGTACTTCACCTTACGCGTGTCAATCGGCACGTAAAGATAGTAAATACCGATTCTCATCGATAGGCCTGAGCCAAGGATGTAGAGAACATTTCTCAACAGTGACAAATTCTAATGCAATTTACAGTGACAAGAGTTGTTACGCTATAGCTAATTACTAGAAAAGGTATGAAGATTCCCCGAGGGCGGGAAATTCAAATACGGGATATAAAGATATGTGAATGAGAACATACCTTGATAAATTGACGAGTAATATATCATAAAGAGTATTCGGAGAATGTTCATTAGGAAATGAAAAATAAATCAAGTCCCCAGGTACCTAAGCCACTGCGTCAGAAAAGGGAAGATTGTTTAAAAGATCTCAAGCATCCATGGATTAACTCTGCACTCTTATAAGATCATAAGCCAACCGTCCCTCGCCATATATGACAAATCAGTAACTGCAGCACTTTCTTCGTCTTACTTAATAATTAATTAATTAATATTTACCAACTGCTGTATAAGTTCGATGCATCTTCGTCATGGCTACTGACGAGACGAGCGTTGAGAACACATCGGTTTTACTAAGCCTATGGAACGTTGCATTGAAAGTTTTAAATTTTGGAAATCATATATTGTTATTCACCCTTGCTGGATACCTTATTTATATTTCCTGGGGCACCGGCGTATGGTCTCTTCATGTTCTCCTGTGTTCCGTTGGAGTAAGTACAGACAGAGTGTACAAGAATTTATTAGTATTCTTTATTATTCTGTATTCTCTTCTTATTTCGTTAACGTAGTACGTTCTACTGATGGGAGAGGGCATTGTGGTCCTAGCTGGTGAAAATTTATGGTCCGGATTCCTTAGCAGAAGAGTAAATTCTCATATCCATTGGGTATTGCTACTGGTCGGTAGTGTATTTAGTATTGTTGGTACAGCTTACGGTTATCATGGTAATGCACTAAGAAATAGACCACATTTCTCATCAACGCATGGACTAACCGGCATCATATCCGTTGGTACATTATCGACATTTTATTCCAAATGCTAGACCCGGTAACAAATAACCTATAAGATTTATGTTTTATCTTGTAGGATTAGTAATTATTGCCGCTGTATTGGGACTTCCGGCGCTGTTCGCTGGTAAACTACGAAATATCATTAAACCGATCATCAATAAATTTTCTCATAACCTTTTGGGTACGGCCAGCTTCGTTGTGGGAATGGTGTCTCAGTGTTATGGATACAACACTGGTTTTATGAGGAGATTATCACCAGAAATTCGTGAGGCTTGTTATTACTCCACCATAATTGTGACCATTTTGTGTTTAACCGGTGTGGCAAAATCGGGTGGGCAACAGATTTTGGGAATTGTTCGACTTGTGTTCCGACGATGAGACTGAAGCAGCAATAGTGACTTTTTTTTCATTTGTCTCTTTAGGGACTAGCACCTTCTATCTTGAAGTTACTGGAGTTTAAAACAGCCGTCTAGTAATTCGCTTGGCGATACTCAGAAGGCAGTTTGATATTAATACATACTTCGTATTTGCGGGAGAAACCGTCTCCTGGCTATTATTAAATTCGACTCTTTCCGGTTGTACGTACATACTTACTTCTATCCTGGGACCATCGGCATCTCACACTTTCATTGTTTTTTGTTTTAATAAAATAAATCACTTATCCTCATCTATGTACTTATAAACTACTCCACTGCTTCGGACATTGTCACCACATTACAAACGGATGACGAGATATTTTGTATTTACTATTTATCTCAAAATATATCTGGATACTGGGTATACTTAGCAATAAAATTTCTGGTTTGCAATCGGTTTTCGGACAGATTAGCAGCAGAAATGATGCGACGCAACCGGTTTTGCAATATCGTATAATATTTAAATCTAATAGAATAAAGGTATTAGATTACATTGTACAGAGTGATTGAAACTAAGAAATTGAACCAGAGATGATTGAACAACTGTGTTCAAAGTTGGAAGCTTTTATATTATTTTTGTAACACATCATTATGCGTTAAATTCAATTAAATTGTTTTTAAAACTATACACATCGTATATTAAACAGCCTTTATTTTCATTTTACTCTCTTCAGTGTAAAATTTAAGCTACAATTGTAAGCATTATTAATCAGGAGGTTGTCCTGACGAATTTTCAAGGTAATATAAATTGTCATTCGTTAATTTATAAAAGAATGAAGACACGCTTTAACTTAAGTATTTCCATTTCTCGTATCGGATTATCTGCTTGATAATTCTTATAATTTTTAAGGCAATTTACTTATTAAATGATACAAAAATATAAGAAAGTGCTATTTACATACTCTTATGGTAAAGCAATACGTAATATATGTATAGATATACGTAGCAGCATACATACATATTTTTCAATGAGTACTTTTTATGCAGTTATTTCAAAGAATTAGTGGCGTCATCTGACAGCGTTTCCTCGTAGTTTAGTGTTGCCGGATTGAGAGGCGGTCAGTGGCAGTCAATGTGAGTCAATTTTACTAGGGATGCACATATCGCATGAAACTTTTCATCAACACCCTTATTAGCATAGAGTAGTCCTAGTGCACGAGACTAACCATCACCAAGAAATCTGTCCGGTCTCTCAGGAAACAATAGGGCGGCCATTCAGGTGTCATGATCCTTCTGAGGTACACCCATTCCAAGTCTATACCCCAGGAAAGTGATATTGTCCAAATCACTACTTACAACTGATTTCGAAAAATTCAGTTTCATTCCTATTGTTTCAGCTAGGGACTGGCACACGTCAAGGTCCCAACGTTCTTCGCCACCCACCAGTGAGTCATCGCCGAGATAAAGATCGTTGACGGGACTGTGGCCGAATTGCTCGAAAAACATCCAGGAAGTGAGGATGCAATTAACGATGGTCTCAATAAGTTGCGTGAAATAGGAACCACTCGCAACTTCAGAATGCTTTTGAAACCGGTGACCATTGGATACGCGGATCTTCGTATTAATGAAGTAGTCCTCAATGACGTCGAACATTCTGTACATCCGATAAACGTCTGGTATACCGTGATCTTCGTAATGACAAAAGTCAATATTACGGCTTAAGATGTAAAAGGCTATATGTATAAGCCAATCAGGCACTGTCTGATCAAATCCACTGATGGCTGGAAAAATCCAGATGGCCCTTTTACAGGTTTCAGCGTCTACTGCCCTTCTCTCAACATATGTTTTCAAGCTAAAATAGCTAGTCAAGCCTCAATATTCTCGGCGGAAGCCCTTGCAATCTATCATGCGATCAATTTTATCCTAGATAAAAAATTAACTACATCAACAGTTTTTTCGGACTCGCAGAGTGTTTTGAAAGCCCTGCAGTCGTTTAATCTAGATGAATCCCACTCATACTTTATATATTTGATCAAACAAAAACTAAGACAGGCCCCATTAAACAGACAATCTATCCGTCTTTTTTGGATTCCGAGTCACTCAACCTCCGTAGACTCTATTTATACAATTTCGTGTACCTACTACTAACTCCGGAAGTTAATACGCTTCCTTCGCCAGTTCTACACTTACTGTTCATTCCAATAGCATTCCTCTATCTGCACCTCTATCTATCTTCCTATTGGCTCCTTGCATGAATTGCCTCCTGATTGGGGGATTTGTGAGTCCTCGGGCTCTGGCTGGTTGGACCGCCTCGGTGATTGGTCACCGGGGTGTTCCTCTTTCTGTTTCAGATCGCCGTGCGATAGTCACGCTGTATGCCCCATAGAAACGCTCCATATTGTATTAATCTTGTGGCCGCTTGGAACGGACTAGAGTCGTAACTAGTGCCAACCATATACAGGGTGTTCCAAAACTACCTGACCCGGTGAGTATGGCGGTGTTCGGGAGTTTTCTCTGATCACGAAAATGACTTTCTTTTTGTCCGGAAGGTCATAGTTTTTGAATGGGAGCAGGTCAAAGTTGACCAATCAGAGGGAGGCGTCAAGAGAAACGTAGGCACCTGCGAACTCTGAGTTTTCTTCCCTCGCTTTTGTTTCTCGGTGATTTCGGGCAGGGTGACGTCAGCCTAAGACATGCCTATTGGAAACAAGAAACAAGCTACCGAGAAACAAAAGCGAGGGAACAAAACTCAGAGTTCGTAGGTGCCTACGTTTCTCTTGACGCCTCGTTCTGAGTGGTCAAATTTGACCTGCTCCCATTTAAAACCTAAGAGCTTCCGGACAAAAGCAAGGTCATTTTCATGATCAGGGGGTCGATTATGTAACTAAAATGTAGTGAAAATGCTAAAAGTGAATAGTTGTTAGCCAATCGTTGTACTTGTCTTCTTTCGACCCTAACACGCGATTGGCTAACAGCTATTTACTTTTCGTATTTTCATTACATTTGAATTACACAACCGAACCCCAGTGAAGCCTCCCGACACCGCCATACCCACCGGGTCAGGTAGTTTCGGAACACCCTGTATAAAGAAGAAGAAGAAGAGGAATGTGAGTCAATTAGAGTCAACGGCAATTGATTTGTGTTGTATGAGGTGTATTCCTCTTTTTTATGAAAAGATGTAGTAGTCAATGAGTGTGAGCGAGATTGAGTTATAATGAAAATGATTCACTTTCCTAACAAAACAAAAGCCTGAGCCTATCATGCCAGTGGATATTAATCGGCTGACTGAAGGATGGCTGGAGCTCGAGAGCGATCCTGGTACGTTTGAAGTATTTATGATGGGTAATTGAAAGGCGCAATAGCTTGTATAGAGTTTGGTAGTTTTATTAGGGTTTTTATTACCGGTTTCATTTTGCAATAATGTAATTGTTGCTTGGAGCAGGAGAACTTTGGGACTTCAAATTAGCTCTGAATATTTTACTTATTTTGCAGTACTTGCAGATGATTGAGGATATTGGAAAACGAATTATTTGTTGGATTCTTGTTTCAGGTCTCTTTACGTTGCTGTTAGAGGATTTTGGTGTCAAGGGGGTACAGGTTGAGGAGATTTATGATCTGCAGAAGTCACTGGAAGGACCAGTTTATGGATTTATATTTCTCTTCCGTTGGATAGAGGAGAGACGGTCTCGACGTAAGGTTGTGGAACAGGATGAAAGCTTTGTTAAGGATGAGGAGATCGTCAATAATATATTTTTTGCTCAACAAGTTAGTGAACATCTTTGTAGTGTCAAATGCATGAATACGTCACTTTATTTTCATTGAATTGTATAAAATGAGCAGTGTCCTGATGTAAAGTTAAATATTTCTTATGTAGGTCGTTCCGAACAGCTGCGCGACACATGCACTACTTTCTGTTCTTTTAAACTGTCCAAATATCCATTTGGGTACCACTCTATCCCGTTTGAAAATGCACACTTCTGGTATGTGTCCTGAGAATAAAGGATGGGCCATAGGAAACACTCCAGAGCTGGCATGCGCACATAATTCACATGCCATGCCCCAAGCAAAACGCAGACAAGACAAGAACACCGGAGTGTCGACAGGAAGATTCACTGGTGAAGCTTTTCATTTTGTGAGTTATGTCCCAATCAATGGAAGACTCTTTGAACTAGATGGATTGAAGCCTTATCCAATGGATCATGGTCCCTGGAAAGAACATGAAGAGTGGACAGAACAATTCAGAAGAGTAATCACAGATCGACTGGGCATGGCAACCGGAGAACAGCTGCAAGACATTCGATTCAATTTAATGGCTGTTGTGCCTGATCGGCGTCTAGCAATATCTCACAAGTTGACAATGTTGAAAACCAACAGACAGATAGTTCTCGAAGCCCTACAACAACTAGTCAAGTTAAGTCACCAGGAAAGCAATGGCGATAAATTAACAACTGATTCTGAAAAACAAGAAAAAAACGACAAAATTACTGACAAGAAGCATGAAAAGCACAAGAGAGAGGAGGAAGGTGCATCAGGCAAATCAGAGGTCGAGCATACAGCTTCAGTCCCTACAATAAACGTGGACTGTTGCAACGACAACGTAACCGACGCCGAAGAATCTCCGGGTCATGTAAACACATCCAGCAGTAACATGGAGAAGGTTGTGATGTGCGCACTGGATTACGCAACGCCTCTCAGGATCCAAACATCTCCAGCCCACAGTTCCTCAAGCACAGATACCTCTTCAGAGATAGGATCAGCCTTTAATTCTCCGACCCAAGGTAATCAATCAGTCGGTCACAAATTAATCATTTGATTACATACACTTCTGTTTGGTGGTACAGACTTTCTTCTCGGCGCAGAATATCAAGTTATTCGGACAAGTCATCCTTATTGACTTAACATCCGTAGAACGTCCCATACCCGTGAAGCATAAGTAATAATGTGAATCCGAAGTTGGGTCACCGTACTTTCCGATAGATTGACATGGATTTTTCTGCAGTACATTGCTCTCTCCTGTAGCACTTTTAACGTTCGGTTGACTTGTTGTCACCGATATCGTAAGAGTAGAGTCACTGTTGGCGTTAGTTACGCATACAGTGTACCTCTGTGTATTGCACACCCTGGTGTACTCGTTGAAGGCTGTATAAGAGGGACATGAAAATTCCATAACAAACGCAGTCTTCGGATCGCAACTATAATACTTGGTACAATCAGTAGTATTTGGTAAACGTACACCTTTCGTACAAGGTACAACGTCCACAATTTCTGTTGATAATTGTTTGGCAATATTCTTGTATCTGTCAATGGTAGTATATTTTTTATTGCCTAGAGTATCAGTTATTGCTATAATATTGTTATCAGCTTTAGGCCCATTGATGATGATGTCAACATCATTTTTCACCCCCGTCACAGGAGTGTCCTCGTACTTCCTCTTAACGTTGTTTTTATTAATAGTCGCCTCTGTCGTTGCTGCTGTTGTAGTACGAGTAGTTGTCCTCTTGGACGATGCCTTTCTCTTAAGGTGTGGTGCACGTACTGTAGTAACAGGAGTGGTCGTACCTTGGAGATTGTTCTTTAGAACATAATTTTGCACCAGATAATTCATCAATGCAGAATTCTGACTATTCAGTGCGTATAGATTTGTTTTTAAAGTATTCTCAATTGGTGGTTCTGTTGTTGTGGTTATGGTTTTTCTAGTAGTTGGTCTGTTATTTGGAGATGGTTCTTGTCTATCCAGAGGAATACCCAGTCCTTGATATATTAATAATCTATCAATGAGACGACTGAGCCAGGTTAAGTGATTTATCAATTGTTCCTTATTGGCATCGGCTGGTGGTAAGAGTGCTGCTTGCTGTCCATTACCAAGCTGATATAGATAATTGTCTTCACTATGCTTAATTGCTATGGGTACACCCAAGTTCTTTATAGCTTTCTCCAGATCAATGTCGTCGCCAGTTTGCCGAGAATTGGTGCCTGGGTCTTCTATCAGTGGATAGGGTGTCATCGGAAGAGAATCACTTGAATCCGAATCATCATTGATGAAATATGAGGAATCTATAGGTTTATCGAATCCAGAAAGATCATCCGCGTACTCTAGATAGCTCGACTGAGTAGGATCTATCAGTACCGGTACAGTGTATTCTTTCGTAATCAATGGTGGATCTGTAGTTAAAGTGTCGCAGCTCCAATCATCTCCAGGGAGAACGCACATTCTGATATATGGCTGAAATATCTGAATTGGAAAATAAAATATGTGTATATGCAAAATTGTATTAAGGGTTCTCTAGAAAACTTACCAGGCCATTGGTGCACTTAGCTGGAGCCCAGACAAATCCTCCACTGGGTAGATTTATGCAGTTGTAAAATATAGTACAGCTAGTGGGATGCGGCTTTCTTGCTTCTGGACACTTTGATGCCTTCGCAATGACCAGGCTCAGGAACAGGGTGCAGAGAGTCCATATATTCTTCATGGCTGTGTTCAGTATTGTTGTCGTTCAGGAACTAAGGTATGTCAAGCTTCTCAATGCCCCTATATGTACTCTTGTCTACATATCTCAGACAATTAGAACATCTTCGTTGACACCTCCAGGTATACAGTTAGACGCACACCTTCATCATGAACGATACCGTTGTCGCGGTCGATTCTCGTGTACAGATCTTGTTACTGGTATCACCTGTGACACATATTACAGCTCATGACTGGAATAACGGTTCGGCAGTCTTTAGTGGCTAGCTAAACTAAATTTGAACACTTGAAATAACGTATACATATAGTAATATATTTATTTTAGCCTGGGGATGGAACTCTGGTCAAAGTAGTCCGACCTCGACGAAGGACTTCAAGAAGTTTGTCGTGATCCGTGTCGCCGGCGATGAGAAGAATGAGGCTGGCTTGAGTGAGTAAGGTTCTTGATATTATTTACAGTTTTATATTATACAGGACAATATTGATTTTTTTTCCCTATCAGCCCGTTCGCTGGGAAATATCAATATCAATGGGAAAAGACTGGTGTCCGACAGCGGCCACCTCCACAAGAAGGTTTGTCTATCTGGTGAAGTTCGGATACCGCATGCCAGGGTCAAGACTAGCAATGGAGATACTGTTACGGAAGAGAAAAAAGTAGAAAAGATGGATCCTAAGCTCTGCTCCAAGTATCCTGAGCTCTTTGAACCCCATACCTTCGCGCCCAAGGATCTTCTGGCCTTGCTAAAGAACCTGGAGCACGAGATAAGCATTTGCGAGAACAGTCTCAAGGATGAGAACGACAAGAGAAACAAGTACAAAGTAAATACATATGTCCAATCGTATATTATTTTAATTGTCCTGACAATTTATTCTGTATCTGTAATTTTTGTTTGTATTTTAGATTGATGACTGTAGAAGAACACACAATTATGACGAGTTCATATGCACTTTTCTCTCTATGCTGGCACAGCAGGGAAAATTGGCAGAATTGGTGCAGCAGCATTTGACCCTGAAGAAACATACATCCGTTTCCGTGAACCGGGTACATAGGTAAGACGCGAAATTTTAATATTGTATTATTTCATTCGTAAAATTTTCCATGCTCTTCTACTTGGTATCTGTGATATTGATAATAATATATCAATGAGGATAATAATAGTCGTTTTCTTCCAGATCATCGAAGAAGACAGACGCGCGTCCTAATTCTTCAAGGAGACGTCGTGGTAGGACTAAATGCAAGAAACGAAAATGAACTTGACTTTAATGTGAATAATTTGGTGTGACACTTTTTCCTCAATACTGTTACAGTCTTAGCATCTCCTTACATTTGTTCTGATCGCTCGTATTGATGATGCAACGGTATTGATTATCGATGATATATGCTTGTTATATTTTAATTGAAGATTCTATTGACATTTTTTTTTCATAGAATCGTGGAAACAATCACTTAACGTACAATGTACGTTCAGTTTAGACTCCTGTAACATTTTTTGTGTCTACGGCGGTTCGACTTTGTAGTGGATCGATGGCCCCTCATTTTTACTCGCATGATCATTTATCTTTTATATATATATATATATAAAATACATCATTTTTCTGTAATGCATAAATGTTTCAACGCCTCATTTTCCTCCGTTATTCGGAAGAAAACATTGTTTCGTCATTCTGTAAGTTTGTGCTTGCTGGCCATGCTTTCTGGATAGGAAACGGCATCAAACGAAAAATGTATATACTGCCATTTGTATGACGGGGAAAGTACGAGAGAGTGCAATTCAATTTCATGGCTCGAATCCTCGAGCTACGTGAAATTATAATTTTAGCTGATTCAATAGGTATTTAAAAATATCAAGATCACAACTTTGAGATGCATCTTGGAAATTTAGCTTTTTTTTTGAAACTTTAAGGAGAAGGGGGGCTCAGATGCTAAAGTGCTCCACATATGCGATGGTCTGACATATGTATATCGGTAGACGGTTTTCAATGAACATTCATAAGAGTCATCTGTCTGTACTTTCTTTTATTTTCAACGCGCAGATACCCTCCGAATGGAGGTTGCCTGGAGCGGCATCATCGTAATTATTTCAAGTTATAACATCGAGTTAACGTACGAATACGAAAGACAACGATGTCAATAAATAAATAACTTAACATTCAACTATTATATTACCTAAGTACTCGTGGTGTCTGGGCAAGGTATATATCGCATAACGTGCTATTGCCGTACACGTACTAATCTGTATCCAGCCTGACGATACCTTTGAAACTCATTCAAAGGATAATTAATATTTGAGATGCACGGACGGCTATAGACAGTATCCAGGAGTAAACCGAGTAAACTGATGCGCATACGTGAGCGCGACACACAGGACACTCACGCAACACAAGACGCACACCCACATAGATGTGCGTATGCAGGCAGCCACGTACGCAATTCTCTTTCTTTCCTTGTAAATTCAAAGAATCTTCCTAGTGATAATAAAGGCTGAACTATTACCGACCGCAGCCCTGACTCTCATAAAATCTCAAATAGAGACACTGAGCTTTTAGTCCTTAAGTACAGGAGCACTTTGCTCTCTTTCTAGATTCCTCCTCTTAGAGGATTTCGAACTCCTCGCACTCGTAGTGAGTATTATCTTCTAGAATATCCAGTGCTTCTGAGGAGATCGAGGCAGGTATAGAACCCTCGCTGACTTCGACGCCCTGGTGTAGATCGTCCCCGCTACCCTCGCAAAAAAGGAACATGGGATATTCCACCTTTTGATTAGGCGGCACTAAGAACTGGAAAAAATAAATGCAAAACGTTCATTGACATTCTGAAAAAAAAATACCAACGTTAAAGGTTTTTATCGAATTGCATAAGGACTTACAGGTACAACAGTTTTCGCAAATTCTTCAAAAGCATTTTTATCATGCAAGTAAAATCCCACGCAACAGCTGGGGTCCATTTTGGATACAAGCATCTTACGCGGCGAGGTACAATGAAAGCTGGCTAGTGAAAAGTTTGGCTTCCAAACGTCGACTGTTTCCTGGCAGTAATGCGGGTCCAGGTGTATCAGCTTATCTTCCTGATAGCCAATGAAGTACAGAGAGTGTCGAGGGCGACCGCCAATGATTCCGATGCACTCGTTTAGACTGAGAAGTGCCGTCAAGCAGGGTGCATAACTAGGATTGAGTTTGTCTGCACCAAGTCTTAAAGGAACAAGTAAAACTAGAGACCGCCACTCGCCATTAGATTTCTCACAGGCAACTTTCACGTCGTCGAGATAAACTGTAAATCGAAATCATAGTCAGGATCTTGTTGATAAGGTGTTGTTAATCAATTGGATAATCATTCAGATAGCTTACCAGCACAGTCTTGCGCAACGTACACAGCCAGATTCTCAAATTCGTCGTAGTCGGAGTATGCCTGTCTGACTGCCTGTCTTATAAGATGCGCAACGGATGCAGGACCGTACCAATCACCGGCACGTTTACCGGAGGCCGCTCCGAGGGAGACCAAGGTATGAATGGATAATGGTGAATGTGGTCCAGGCTTATCACCAAACCATTTGATTATCATTCGATGTTTTTCATCTTCCACCATCTGCTGATCTGTTTCTATCCTACAATCTGGCTTCCATCTCCAGTCTGTGAACAGATGAAAAGAAGGTTAGTGTCATTTTTGTTGCTTTCTTTTTTTAGAGCTATTTTGCCCCAAAATTTTGTTAAATCATTTCTGAGTGAACAAATAAGAAAATAAGTGCCTCGCCCAAGAAAATGGCAGACCAGTGCTTGTGCCATCATCATCTGTCCACTACGTAGCATGCATCCCCAGCCACAATCAGTTGTAAATGTGGATCCGTTTAGAATAGGAAATTCTCGTCTGTAAGTTAGCCACAGTCTCGACGTGAAATCCCTCTTGAATCCTTCTATTCCCTCTTCAAATTTTGTTGCATCCATAGCCAAGGAAATTTCACTTCCAGTCTTCATATCCAGTTTCATGCTTTCGGTGAGACCATCTGATCCTTCTGTGGATTTCTTATAACAGGAACCCAATAACCAGACGGGATATTCCTTGGAGAAATTAGTCTTCATTTTCACAGTCCATCCTGGAATGAACCACAAGAAATGTGATGTGTGAACCAGGAAATATAATGAAAAAGAGTCCACGATGCATTGGTATACCATATTTAACGTTGTTCCACATAGACAATAGCTTGGTTTTGACCTTTCCATCAGCCTCTGTAGCAATGGCAGCCTCATCCAAAGGTAACTCACCCTCAGCGAGCGGTGTGATAGTTTGCATACTATTGCCATGTCCTGAATTAACAAGACTGGAGAACCAGTTAGTGCTATTGCTACTATAACCACCTGAAACCAAGAAATCAATTCATAAAACATGAGTAATCTTTTCAGAAGACAATGAAATACACAACAAAGGATCATCTATGTCAAGTGCTCGAGATAACAAGAAAGAAATTACTAAGCAGAAAACATACCATTATGACACTTCGAGAGCATGTTTGCTAAATGATAACTCCTACCATACCCCTAGAATAGCAACTTGCGTAAAATTAACCCACGAGAATGACAGCTGTATTTTCAGAGTTGAATGAGATACCTATATTGTTCCCAAAGATAACGATACACATAAGGTGACTAACGGCTAAATGATGTATCGTAAAAGTGTTTCTCCACAAGGGAAGATTTTGAGGAAGGTCATAATTTCATGTAAACGCCTCTACGGTTCAGTGAGTTCGCGAGATTTGGTGAACTTTCACTCACCTAACCTCTCACGTGATGGTTGCACCTGTCCGTTCATACCCGAGATGAATTTCGTCAAGTTGTCAATTGTGCTGACAGCCAATATCTCAGTGACTCACGATGAACTACATTTTTTTCAGAGACGTCGAGTCCGTCTCCCATAAAAGGAAGAATCAAAAACACCAAGGAAATCTAACGCATTCCTAACTCCCAGTTCACTACTTTCATGTCAAATCGAAACCACGACGGCACCATTTTTCATCACCGTCGAAGCACGTTTCACGCACACTCCGTAATTGAACTATACAATAGAAATAGATAAAAGTAGACGAGGTCAGTATGGTCAGTAGCTGCTTGATACATGGATATCATTTTGTATAATGCTATCCCAGGGACAAATTGTAATTTTGGATCCCGACTCGCCGATCCGTAGAGTGCTGCTTTCGTTTAACGGTTTTTCTTAAGTACTGTTAGCATTAATTTTGAAACAGCTCAATATATCTTAGAAATTGATAAATTAGAATTGTTCAGCAAAAAATTTACATTTTGTGTATGATAATTTTAGTAGTCTGGTGGTAATGGAAATAAAAAGTAATTAAAAATTTTAGAACGTACACGTAGTGAAAGACCGTTAAAAAATGTAAAGGGTTTTTTTCCTTATTTATTCAGTGCTACCAATGGGACGTGACCTGAAAGTATACTAGAACAAACAATGAAATTTTCCGACAATGCTTTCCCATTGTCGTCCTAATTAAACGACCGATAAAATGGCGCATTGTCAGCCGCTCTTTCAAAACTCTCCAGAATCCCAGGACAATCTCCCATTTAATTAAGCAGCAACCAGTTATGCAAAAAGACTGATTGTCAGGGTACAGTAAACCGCCATAATAATAGGACACGAACGAATAAAATAATATGAAAAAGTGTTCCTTAACGTTAAGTATAAGAATGAAGTCAAAATCGTGTCTGACCCTGAAGCTGCTTGAATTGTATCAAAAGTCCAGACTTTTATATTTCGTTTGGAAGGATTTAGGTTTCTCAAACGTAAGAGACAAGTATATGTAACACAGCAAGATACGTAAAAGGTAATGTCAATAGACCGAGTAAAAGGAAAGATCCTTCAACACTCCACTGTCATAACTATTTCAAATTACCCTCAGGCAAGGTGTTCTAATTTCTACAGGCTTTTTGAGGTCATTGAAAATTCACACGGACAAGAAAAAATATCATGCAAGGATAATTCTCCTTGCTTCTAGAAAGCAGAGGGACGCGTATATCCACGAGGACCTTCTAAGGTATCGACGTTTTCGTAATCTGGGTTACAATTCAATTTCCAACATGTGCGTGACGACGTAAATGCACCCGATTAAAAGACACGACGTCCCAGGAGCTATGAATTAAAGCGACTGAATGTATTATTGGCTGACTGGTCAGGCGAGCCTGATAAAAAAAAAAGAAATGCAAACTCAAATATAGCGTGATAATCGCTTCAGACAGCCAGAAGAAGGAATGTCGTTAATGAGGTAAAAAAGGAGGAATGCTTTTAAAATATATCAATGAAACGTTTATCCAGGTTAATTCGTATAATAAGCCGAACCCACATTCCTAATAACATCACCATGACTCACGTAGGGCGTATGGATCCAGTCTGATAACTGATAGGCACATCGCGATAATCGATAGCCGTTAGGCTCTAATGATCTCAGCTTCGGGGCCCCCAGGACGTTGAAATAGGGTTAATGCTAGTAACCTTGAAATCTTGGAAGAAGACTAAAATAATAAAACAAGGGAAAAAAGCTACGAAAGACCCAAGATCATTTATAAGATAAAGAAGATTCACTTTCATTTCCAGGAACAAATCGTCGTCTTGGGACACCTTGGTGGGACACGTGCAAAAAATTCATCTGGTATCATCCAAAGGATAAGCCGTTACACAAAACCTAATTGAACCCCGTCAACAGAAGGATGAGGTACAAAGAAATCTTTCCCAAGAATTCCGTTATCGGGTATACTCATGGGAAATAAAGTCTGTCCTATAATAAAATCAGGTACCGAAGAAGGAAGATAAGATAAGAGGAAAGCACCAGGGTCACTACAAGCTACAATGAGGATCTGTAGGCCCACGACTCCTGGAAATAAGGAGTCAGTGATGCCAGTAGATGGTCTAGGTTACTATAGTACTACTTGTCTTGGCAACTGCCGGCGATGGCAGGGAAGGCAATGAAGGGTGAAGCGGAAGTGAAGCTTCCCTTCGCGCACGGCATTTAACCCATTGCTCGGCTGGAACGATGCGGTGGGTGAGGGTGGTGGCCCCCTCCCTCGCGAGTTAAGGGGAGCTTGCGAAACGAGAATGAGCGAGAGGATCAAGTAGAAGGGAGGGTGGTTGGTTCTCCGTGATCGTCGTCGTCGTCGTCGTCGCCGACCGGCCGGCCGGCCAGTTGCGCTGTGGCGGCAACGACATCGGCACGTTCTCCTCAACGTGTTGCCAAAACATACTTAAGGCCTTGGAAAGGAGCTATCGCACAATCGGAGACTGAGAATGAGCGGGAAAAAGGAATTATGTATACTTGATCGTGAAGTTTTGAAGGACTGAGGTCGTGCGACAACTTTTGTTCTTTTCCTTTTTTTTTACATTGATGACTGAAATAAATTTGTCTAAACTATGCTCCGTCGCGATGATAACAATGAAAAATCCTTGAGGGTGATTTTAAATTACGTGAAATTGATTACTGTTAAGTAAACAAGGTGGGACAGAGATGACCGATGGACAATTTAAATGATACAAAAGTCATTCAACGAATCAAAAGCTGCTGTGACTTTATGAGAGACTAAAGTGGAAAGAGGATTGAAGAGTACTCTTGATCATTGAGAATGACGTGAGTGAAGAGTCTGAATAGAGGATTAAGTGTGCGAAGACGTAGCACTAGTTAGATCCCTGATTGACAATTATGTTAATCGAACAAGTGTGCGATCGAGCTTTAAAAGTGGGTGCGATGACAGTATTCCCAGCAAGTGAAAATTTAACATTGACTTCTTACTATTGACTTGATTTGACTGACAGGAAGTCACCACTGAAGAATGAGGCTGGATGTCAGCGTTAACGACGCCAGTGAAAAATAGTCTTGGGTTTTCTGATAAAAGAAAGGAAGTCAAAAGCGCCAAGAGGATTGGATTGGGTGGGTGGGTGGTAAATTTCGAGCACGAGGGTGCCGCTCGACGTGCAGAGCTGGTCTATTGATTTGTTTTTGTTATACGTAGTCCCCGCCGTCGGATGTATAGAAATGTGTCAGAATTTTTTCGGATACTGAAACCGAGTGGTCGTAAAAGGTCAGCGTCGCGCCGCCGAGCAGCTTGATAGAAGTGTAAATCTCGCCGCAGTAGGTGAGATCACTATAAGGAGGAGACGTTGACGCAAAAGGGGACTCCCCGTTGGCCGAAGACCCAAGTGCTTGCAACAAGGAAAGAAGGAAGGAAGGAAGGAGAAGCCCATATCGATTTTCCTTCGCAAAACAAACGGACTTCCGGCTGAGGATTTTTTTCGTAAGAGTCACACGCGAAAGCCGGAAATATATCCAAATACAAATTAATTCGGAAGCTAACGCGTCTCGCTGCCTTGGAAGTCAGCCGTTGCTCTTTATATACAGCATAAAACAGTCAAAGTAACTCGACGATTCTAGCTCTCAGGAATTCCCAGCGGGTGAGCGGAGGGCAATTTACAATCCATTTGCACGAGTGTCGCGTCTCGTTACTTCGAGCCAGAGGACCAGAAGGGTCAGACGGTTCCTGAGGAGAGGCTCAATTGGTATCTCGAAGGTCGTAAAGTCAGAGTATCAAAAGGAAACTGTACCGTACCTTAATGAGGTATAAAGTAGAGAAATATGTATAAATACCCTGTCTGATATAAACTGGGAGAAGATATTTTGAAAAAAACAAAATTTAGAACGAGTATCAAAAGAGGAAGAAGAAGGCTCTCGAAAGTATGAACCCTCGACGAGAGCAAGCTGTCTCAATTCTCAGAGCGTAATCTAGACTTGGAAACTTGAGAATATTATTAAGGACGAAACCCTCCTCCAAGGGACTCGGTTCAATCGTCCCGCCGTCCATCAGTTTCGTCCTCCGGGACGTCTCCCAGAGAAATAATACGTTCTCGGCCTCCGACCTCGGCCGCGTTTCAAATCGATAACGCCCCTAGCTCTCGCTCGCACTCTACGCGACACGTATTACTCTCAAAAGATTAGCCGATCCATGGAAAGCGACCTCGCGAACCTTAGGGCTATCCGACTTTTGGACTTGTAGATAGATATTGTCTATTAACCCTCTCTGACGATACTCTATTATCCCTTAGGCAGAACCTGGACCAGTGGCGGGAATTTTGAATCATCACAATGCTGACCACTGGACACACGTGCGTTCCTCGTAACAGGGTAACCCTAGAGGAAAAGAGCTTAGACCTCTCGGATGAGCCATCACGTAATCCGAGAGGATGCCATGTATCAAGAGGCAGAGTACCAAAGTGTGGTATTCGCAGAGACGACTGCACGCGACTTGGTGACAGGGAGGAGACAAGAGGAGAGACTCATTTTCTGGCGAGAGAAACGCGCGAGAGTGGAAGTGGGTCTGTATTGATTACAGACGAACGGAGTATGATGTAAATAAGAAAGCGGACGAGGCAATAGTAATAAATAAAGAGAGGAGAGAAGCGTGAACTATTGGCTATTATTGGAATTCGACCTCTGGTGCAATTAGCAGCTGGAGCGAGGACACGTGGAATCCTCGTAAATCGAAAAGATAATTGAATAGCAATACGAAATTTAATAAACGAGGACTGTAACTCCTTCACGAGAGTCTTCGCTAAGATGAGAGACTTCCTATGGGTTCACTTTATCTCAAAGCTCATCCTCCTCCTACTCTTCCTCTCGCTGAATACCATCAATCTGGTCCAGTCGAGAACACCCCAGGAGCGCCAGTCCGTCTTGATACCTGGTGACATAGTCCTGGGAGGTCTCTTTCCCGTCCACGAGAAGGGCGACTCATCGTGTGGACGTAAGATTTACAACAGAGGAGTACAGCGACTGGAAGCGATGCTCTTCGCCGTGGATCAGATCAACAAGGAAACCAGGATACTTCCGGGTATCGTCCTGGGCGTGCATATCCTGGACACCTGCAGTAGGGATACGTATGCCTTGAACCAGAGTCTGCATTTCGTGCGAGCGTCCTTGTCGAATCTGGACATCAGCGTGTTGGAGTGCGCGGACCGGTCCAGTCCTCGGGTCAAGAAGTCAGCTAGTGCGGGTCCTCTCTTCGGCGTGATTGGTGGTTCCTATAGTTCCGTGTCCCTCCAGGTGGCGAACCTTCTGCGACTGTTTCACATACCCCAGATATCGCCGGCATCCACGGCGAAGGCGCTCAGCGAGAAAACGAGGTTCGACTACTTCGCCAGGACTGTGCCGCCGGATACGTTCCAATCCATCGCCCTGGTCGACGTCGTCAAGAGCGTCAACTGGTCTTACGTGTCCACGGTGTACTCGGAGGGCTCGTACGGGGAGTACGGGATCGAGGTGTTCACCAGGGAAGCCACCGAGAGACAAGTCTGCATAGCTGCCGCGGAGAAGGTGCCCAGCGCCGCCGACGACAAGGTCTTCGACGGTATCATACAGAAGCTCAGTAAAAAAGCAAATGCCCGGGCGGTCGTTCTCTTCACCAGAGCAGAGGATGCCAGGAGGATCCTGGAGGCAGCGCGTAGGTCAAACTTGAGCCAGACCTTCCAGTGGATAGCCAGCGACGGCTGGGGAAGACAAAATAAGTTAGTCGAGGGTCTCGAAGAGGAAGCCGAGGGTGCCATCACCGTCGAGCTTGAGTCTAAGAATATTCCAGGATTCGATGAGTACATGGCCTCTCTCACTCCTAGGAACAATCGGCGCAACCCTTGGTTCAGCGAGTACTGGGAGGATGCGTTTTCCTGCATCCTCAAGAGCGACGTCCCGCTCGTGACCGATCGCAAGCTCAATATATGTTCGCCAAGTCTACGTCTGACATCCTCCAGGGGATACGAACAAGAATCCAAGGTGCAGTTCGTCGTTGATGCTGTTTATGCTTTTGCTCTTGCTCTTGACAATCTTCAGCGGGACATGTGCGGTCGGTCCGAAGGACTCTGCTCGTCGATGATCAACTACGACAAGGGGGCCTTCTTCAAGAACTACTTACTCAACGTCTCCTTCGAGGGTAAGCCACGGAAGTCGGGTACTTTGTTCTTTTTCGCATTAAAAAAAAAACAAAAAGATCAATAGGTACCAGGCCGAGACCTCAGGGCGTCTTGACGATGGATGAATAATTCACCAGGATCTACCCTGACGGAAATTAAATTATGTATTGGAAGAAAGGAAAAAAAAAGAGAATCGGCATCTCTAGTTTTTTTTCATCAAATCGCTACCCTCCAGGCGTTTAAGCATCCAGATGAGGTCGCGTCCCAATCCGGGTGATCCAAAAATAATTTTGCACTCTTCACTGGGATCCAGAGGATGACGTCCATTTCGTGTAAATTATCTGACGATTCATGAATTATTCAGCCGTAGCTAAGCTATTTGCCGCTGGCACGTTGATTCGTTACAATAATTTTCTTTCTCCGATTCTCCAAGTACCGAGGTCGGAACACGAATTAGTTAAATTTTACTTACCACTGTCGTAGGAATAAGATCGCTGAATAACATATTTCTTGAGCCTCATCCTTACGTTTCCGACTTGTTGTTCGAATTACGAACCTGAACTGACTGCCGTGTTAGGAAACTCGTTGGACCTTGAGAGAGAATAAAAGATACCCAAGAAAAAAGTCGAATCAGTTAAAGGCATCTGTAATGTATCAAATTTTGATAAAAGATTTAGCAAAGATAACGCCTCGTGATAGCGATAAGAATTAAGAATAACAAATACCTACCATCAACAAGCATCGTTACGAATCCCCTCTAGATAACAACACGAATGATACAATTTTACAGATGCCGCCGGAAGTGAAGTGAAGTTCGACGAGCACGGTGATGGCCTGGCACGATATGAGATCCTGAACTTCCGGAAGTCAGGTCAGAACGGCACGAATGGATATCACTACAGAGTAAGCATATAAATTAGTTAAAAATAAAAAATAAAAAAAAAACAGTGATATAAATCATATAAAATGTGGCAAAACAATAAAAACAACTACCAATAAAATTTAATCATTTTATACAGGTTGTAGGAAAGTGGTACAACTCTCTGAACATCCGCACAGAGGAACTGGTATGGAGCAAAGGTACAGAGAGTATACCGATCTCAGCGTGTTCTTTACCGTGTGCACCAGGTATGATAAAGAAGCAACAGGGTGACACTTGTTGCTGGGTGTGCGATCAGTGCGAGGAATACGAATATGTACACGACGAGAAGACATGCAAGGGCTGTGATTCAGGATTCTGGCCGCACGCGGATAAGAAGGGCTGCTACGCGCTACCGGTTAAGCATATGCGATGGAGCAGTGCATTTGTAATAGCACCAGCCATAATATCCTGTCTGGGTATAGTCGCTACCCTGGCTGTGGCAGGATTGCTCTTTAAGCATAGAGACACCCCAGTAGTGAGGGCTTCCGGCAGGGAGCTAACGATAATCCTATTGGCTGGAGTGCTTGTTTGTTACCTAAACACATTCATCCTACTGGCAAAGCCAACTACGGTCACGTGCATCCTCCAGAGATTTGGGGTAGGCGTGAGCTTCAGCGCCGTCTACGGAGCCGTTCTAACCAAGACAAATAGGATAGCAAGGATCTTCGATTCAGCATCGCGATCCGCCAGGAGGCCGCGTTACATCAGTCCTACTTCCCAAGTCTGCATAGCAGCTGCCTTGATAGCCTTCCAGATCGTCCTCACCCTGGTGTGGATGATCGTCGAACCGCCTGGTACCAGGTTCTCGTACCCGGATCGCAAGCAGGTCATCCTCAAGTGCAATATCCAGGACATGAGCTTCCTCTTCTCGCAGCTTTACAACGCAACCCTCATCCTTGTCTCGACGATTTACGCTGTGAAGACCAGGAAGATCCCAGAGAACTTCAACGAAAGCAAGTTCATCGGCTTCACCATGTACACCACTTGTATAATATGGCTGGCGTTTGTACCTATTTACTTTGGTACGGGAAACTCCCACGAGACTCAGATCACTACGTTGTGCGTGGCTATTAGTCTGAGCGCATCAGTCACCCTGGTCTGTCTCTACTCGCCCAAAGTGTATATCATAGTCTTCCAGCCGGACAAGAACATCCGAGGAAAGGTGACAATGGGTGGAAGCACTTTCAAGAAGCAGGGCAGCAGTGCCGGAGCGTCTTCGCTTACGAAGTGTAAGTCTAGTAAATTAATTTGATCGCTGGAACAAAGCCAATCAAAATTAGAGAATTGAATTTCATCCCCTTTCGCAACAGGTTGTTCCATTCCTAGCGCCAGGAATTCGCCTGTTTGAATCAAACGCCGCAAGAGGGGAAAAATGCCTCTGTTCACCTGTCAAATATTCGCCCATCCATCCATCTTTCCTTTGTTTAATTCACGTACATTGAATTCACTGCAAGCTCAGTGTGACCTACATTTTCTAACTTGATCGATAGTGTTCCAGGCGTCGATCATTAATTCAAGCTTTCCGCTAAAATTACACAGACCTTTTATTCCTGCTCTATCAGCTGTCTGTATTTCCTCGTTTCTCCTCTTTCCACCACCGCCCTGCACTTCCCCTTAATCCAGCTGACACGCGTGACTGTAAGCTCCGTATGAATTATTGTGTCCTGTATTTCAGATACCGGATGTGATATGACCAGTGAATGCGTACCTCTGCAAAGTGCCATTACTACGGCCGTTCAGACGTCGGTCGACATCAGTGAGATAACCGGAAGTCCAAGCCCATCGACTAAGATTGCAACTGAACAAGTGGCACAACTTTAGAGCTTGCCGAGTACGCCTGTGTACTTGGTACAGATAAAGTGAAAGGGGACAAACAAAAGATAATAAATTGTCAAGGACCTTGACAGTGAATTAGAATGATCTCAGATTGAATTACATAATTAATTGAGTTGATTAATAGTGACAGTGTGTTCTTATGCACGATGCAGTGTAAGGAGTATAATTAAAATATACAAAAAAGCTATGATATCATGATATAGAAAGTAGCACGAGATATGTGATAAAGTAGCACGCAAGCAGTGTTTAATAGAGTGTTATACAACGTTATGAAAATCAACAGAGTGACCAATCATCGATCGTCATTCGTTGACAGTTTACGATGCCGTTCATCATTGTTGTTATTGTTACTGTAAGTGTCGAATCTGAAAAAAAAGTATGTGCAGGACAAGCACGACTTCTAGAATTCGTCAGGGTACAGTCTCCATGTGAAATATAAGAGTTCGCCTTCGGTTTATAAATAATTGTAGGTGAATAGGAATTCACAAAAGATGCATTGCCCACTTGAAAGATCAGTTGGTCGAGAGAGCCGCCTCACTGGAAGTTTTAGAATAAAAAAAAAATGTGTGAAATAAAGCTGTTGTTGATAATAAAAAGATAATATTAAATAAATCATTCAAATCTGCACCCACCGATGATCTCTTCGACTCCAAACAAGCATGAAGATTCCATCTTACCCGTCTCCATTAAATTTTCTTCTCTGTAGGATTCATGCCCAAGAGTCCATTTAACGTCTACAAGCCTGACTTTATCGGTGACGTCTTGTAGCTTGGCAGTAAGTCTCTTATCAGTACTGTTGTTTTCACTCTCAATTACGCAACGCGCTAGAGTACATGCAATAACATGGCTCTCATGAATAAATACATTACCGGGCTTCACACTTCCTGCGGGCATTTACAGCGGGCTACACGCAATCGCGAGTTCTTCGCACTGAAGTTCATTGATTTTAGGCCTGAAACACGTGTAACGTTCGTATACTGTATTATATAAGTTTGTTTTGTGCAAGTACAATATGGCTTTCATTCTACGACCGTGTACGACGATTCTCCTTAAGAACGTCAGGAATATTTCCATAAATTGTATCCAGTGCGCCAGCGTTGTGCCTTTCAAGTTGTCCGATATCGGCGAGGGGATCCGCGAAGTCACTGTTAAGGAATGGTAAGTGCAGCTGGGAAATCGTATAGTTTGGTATAGATTGTTTACATGAAAACAGATACTATGAATATATTAATTGCAGGTTTGTCAAACCTGGAGACAGGGTGGCTCAGTTTGACGAGGTTTGTGAGGTTCAGAGTGATAAAGCTTCTGTTACCATCACAAGTCGCTATGACGGCGTTGTCAAGACTCTACACTACAATGTGAATGAGTCAGCACTTGTTGGAGATCCTTTGATTGATATAGAGGTCGACGAGGATACTGGTCAGGTTGTGTCCAAGGAAAAAGATGCCACTGAGAAAACGGATCAGTCGCACCAGGGTTCTGTGGCTGCCGAGAGCACGGATTCAAGGGAAGAACTCCTTGGGAAGGTGCTGGCTACTCCTGCAGTGAGGAGGATAGCTGTAGAGAATAAAATTAAATTAAAGGATGTTCCGGCGACTGGTAAAAATGGTAGAGTCCTCAAGGAAGATATCGTCAATCATATTCAGAAGGATAATACAAGTACGAGTGCAGGTCTTAAGGTCACTGTCGGAAGCAGCAAAGCAGTGCCGGCGAAACGATACACAAAACACATGTGGAAAACGATGACGAAATCTCTGGTAACGTCGCACATCGATTCATGTCGAATAACTCCTGATGGTAAGGTAGAACTAATGGATTATCATTACAGAGTATACCGCACTTTGTCTACAGTGATGAATGTGACGTCAGCAGTCTGGTACGTCTTCGTGATGACGTAAGGAGCGTTTTGAAGAATCAAGGAGTGACCTTGACTTACATGCCCTTCTTCATAAAGGCTGTGTCCAGGGCGCTGGAGAAGATCCCAGAATTGAACGCCTGGTTGGACGAGGAATCAGAATCCATAAAGATTATTGAGCAGCACAACATAGCCCTGGCCATGGACACTTCTGATGGTCTAGTAGTGCCGAACATAAAGAATGTTCAGGATAGGAGTATAGTCTCCATAGCAAAGGAGCTAAATAGACTCCAGGAACTTGGCAGTAAGGCGTCACTTCCGTTGAACGATCTAACGGGCGGTACCTTCTCGTTGTCAAACATCGGAGTGGTAAGAATGCCTGGAATACATTGAATTATAAAGCATGAATTTCAGACTTCGTTCTAAAATAGGCAAATTCAGGTAGGAGGAACTTACACGAAGCCAGTGATCCTGTCTCCGCAAGTTGTCATAGGGGCCATTGGCAGGATTCAAAAGTTGCCCAGGTTCGACGCCAATGGGAACGTGGTAGCAGCAAACATCCTCTCTGTTAGTTGGGCAGCTGATCACAGGGTTGTGGACGGCGTGACTATGGCGAAGTTCTCCAATATTTGGAAGTATTACGTGGAAAATCCCTTCCACATGACTCTGGGAGTGTAGTTTTTGTACGTCGCGCGAACAATGTTTATAATGTTTAAAGTCATTTTCTTTTTCAATTTTTTTTTCTAGCTATAAGCTCATCCTACAATTTCCAAGTGTCATTACAGAAATATACACAAGTCTTATGTACTTCTAAAACACTTTTATTTTGCTCAGAGTCAAAGGTATTGCTCGAGTTGACAACGAGAACAGAGAATAACAAAAAAAAAGAGTCTTAAGAAGTCCACCGTCACTTTACAACCTTTTTATTGATTGCTTAAATGCTTTCTCGTTTCCTCACTCATCTTATTTATATCAACAAGTAATCCTACGTAAATACAAAGTTTTCAAAAAGTAGTCAGTCTGTTTTGGGTTAGAACAGTGCGCGAGTGCCTTATAGCAATAGTAAATGGTATAGTAATAGGTAGCAATGACGAAGTTATGACGATTGGTACTGGATAATGATGACGATCACAGTGACAATGAGACCCAAGTACCATTAAAATAGTATTCAAAAAGAAATATATAAAAGACCGGTGCAAAACACGCGCGGTGCGAGGATGATAAATGTTTTTGAAGTTTTGCTCCTGTTCCCTGTTTCCATTTTGTTAGCCGCCTTGCGAGCCTCATAAGGAGGATTAATTGCTAAAGATCATCAGAGACCTTACAGGAGGAAGAAAATTCAGCTGAAAATCATTCATCGCGTAAGAATAGAAGAACAAAAGAATAAGTGTAGAAAAAAGAAGAATAGAAGAGAGAAGAGTATCAAGGATTCTCATATCAAGTTGAGAATTTGATAAATGCAAAAAGGAAGCGTATCGGTTTTCAGACATCAATGCCTTTGTGCTTCGTGAAACGTACTTCTGTGCGCACACTTCATAATGGCTACTATTTAAATAAATATTAAAGCTAGACGTTTGAGGAAAAATGGCATGGGTAGGGGAACGCGACCAAATGAGAAGTAACGTTTCAAGGCTTATAACTAACGTTAGAGTATTTGAGCAAACGAAATAAAGATATTAAAAAAAAAATATTTTTCTTTAAACGCAAAGAAGAGAAGAATTGTGTTACAGTAATCAGTGGCAATTGTCCGACAGATAATTCTCGAAGACACAACCTGTCACGTGATTGCAAATCACGACGCATCGACGTTATAATTAACGTTGATTGATAAAAAGGTACGGCACATAGAAGAATATCTTTCTCGTCGTTCTTTCTCTTTCTTTTGCTACGCGACAGCATATAACTACGTCATATAAACTTTATATATATATATATAATAATATATATATTTATGTATATATACGATTAATAAATAGTGTTTTTGTTTCTGGCACATTGTCAGCTACCGCGATTAAAGGAGAGTGAATATATCTTCGAAAGAAATTTCGAATTTTGAAAAATAATGCGAAACCCACGTGGATCACCGTGCCCTCGTACATTTTGGTAAACGATTGGGTTGTGGTTGAAAAAAAAAAAGAGAAATAAATAACATCACTGGTTCCAGATGCCTGTCGGGACCGGAAGATGACCTGTCCCACAAGCTCTTTCAGGCATAACTGCGTGCAGTTCCGCACACACCGTCAAATACTCGAATGGAATAAAAAATACGTCGATATAGTACGCTACTCAGTCTAGGATACGCTGCTCTTTGATGTGCGAGAATCGCGACGATGTCATTGGTGCCTGCTAATCATCATCGATACCACCGCCCCGGTTGATCTCAGTACAGCTACTGCGTTGTCATGATCCGCCTTGGTGAAATCGATACCATCAACCTCGAGGATCTTGTCTCCAGGTCGTAGAGTGCCCTGGGCTGGACCATCTGGATTCACCTTAGTCACAATGATACCCTAAAATCACGATAATGAGCGCTTCGTGGAACAACTAAATGGAAATAGGACTCCTAAAGAGGACAGGTATTCAGTGGGACTTTTGTTCTCGTAGTACAATGACTCTTTTACCGTTTCGGCTCCTGCCACGCCGCCGGCGATACTGAAACCCAGTCCTGGATTTTTCCTAACGCGAACCGGCAACTGAAAAGCAAGGAGGAACTGTTAGTGGAATCATTCCTTATCCAGAAATGCTTGTGTCTTTTATTCCTTGTCTGCCTCTTGTTTTTTTTTTTTTAGAATCCTTTTGCTTTCAATACTCACTACGTTCGCATTTTTGTGCGGTCCAAACATCCACTTGATCCTGGGTTTACTCTCCGGACTCGGTGAATCACTCCAGGTAGGGATTTTTGACTTTACGTTCCGAGAGACATTTGGAGCAGACAGTCCTTTACTCTGGATAGAGACCGGCGTACTCCTCCCGGAATTACTTCCACTTTGAACTTTGACCCCTACTGGTGAACCGTTGGCATGTGAAGTTCTATTTGAGGAACTCTCACAATTCTCTTTCCCGGTGAATGTGTCCTTTGGATCGTGAAACGTATCCAGGTTGGAGGAACTCGAACCGTTGGAACCGTTTGAACTGTTGAGTATTCTCTTACTACGATCGGAGAGTCTCGGCTGCAAGGACAATGGACTCCTGTATTTCTTGCCGGTGACGGGAGATGTAGGGATGCTTGTAGTACTTAATATCTTCAACCTGTCGAAGTCCTCCGATGAATCGATGCACCTCTCTTGCGACTCGTTATCAGAAATCGAACCGTCCAAGTGTTTTCCACGTAGAACTGGAATCCTGCTTGGTTTGAAGGAACGATCGCCCTCAGGATTTGATGAATCCAGAAGGAGTTTCTCAGCAGGAGGTGACTGGGATGAATCTGTCACATCCTGAGAAAGTTTTACTCCTTTGTCCGTGATAGATGGTGGTGATCCTTGACCGTGATTGAGTTGCTGGAAGAGTGCAGCCTTCTTCGAGAACGCGGCGGCTATGTGATACGGTGGCGGAACGGGCGGTAAGGTTGGTACATCGGGAACTTTAACCTCGGCGATGACGTTTTGTCCTTTGTAGGGCTCAACGAGCTTCTCAGACTCCACGATCTTCGCCATATTAGTCTTGGAGTACTCATCCGGTTTCCACGTGGAATTTACATAGTCCGCCACAGTGGGCTGCTTCACCAGATAATCAGAGCTCGGATTCCTGATACACTTGGCTTCCCTGATATCAGGACTCTTCTCTTTTGCTATCACTGTCTTGTTTGCTTCGTCGAAGGAGTCGTCCGAGTTTACCAGCTCCACGTTCGGATCGAACGAACCATTGTTATTATAGTACTTGGTACCGTGATGATCATCAGGCGTTACTCCTCCGTAGGGAGAATTCTGTAACACGGATAGATTTAAATGTTCATTGTCAAGGACATACGACGACGTTTCCTTTACCTTATTGCTTTGATTATGTTGCGGCAAGATTCCTGGCGTCGACGGAACACCAAGAACAGCCGTTGCTTTGGCAACGACGGCTTCCTTTATCGTCGTTTCGCGTTCCAGGTGGGTCTGCTGGCGACAAATAAATAAATATATAAGCCTAAACCACGATTGGGTTACCACCACACATTAGCAGAAAAATACTCACTCTCTGATCGTGAGCCTGATGAGTCTGATGATGAAGATTTCGAGCATGCCTGGCAAGATTTCGTAGTTCCTTAGGGTAAGGTGTAGGTGCGCGATGAAGCTGCCTAGGTAGTTCAGACTCTACCTCAGCAGCGAAACATATTCTTCTTCCAGTCCCAACAACAGAGCCTGAGATTGGGCCCACCGGTTGGTCCATTTCTACAGAAAACAGACAATTCATCGATTAACCTATAGTATTCGAAGAATGATCTCATGAATTTCACATCCATCTGTATCTACATAACATCATCTTCATATATTCTACCACGTACGTTACCATTTCATTCGAAATCCTCCTGGTCATTGTCAACTAGGTGAAAGAAAAACATTGACCGGCATAAAGTATCTGAATACGTCCTAGTGACGTTATTAATATATTAATTGAATCTTAACATAACTCTATAGACTTATAAACTTACGTTCAAGGTCTTGTCGTGGTTTTTGAGGTAGCATGAAACAACTCAGGACCATAATGTCTTCCTCGGAATTGAAGTCCTGCTGCAAGGGTACCAAGGGTTGACTTTGATTATCGCTCAGCCACAATGCCTTCAGGTTTGTCAAATTAAGCATAGAGACAGGCAAGAACTTGATGCAATTGTTAACGAGATTGAGAACTCGTAAGGATCCAAGATGACCCAGTTCAGGTGGGATGTTTGTGAGATTATTAGAGCGCAACGAGAGAAGAGACAGGGCGGTACAGCTTCCGATTTCCGGTGGAAGGCATCGCAGGTAATTATTGTCGGCGTTCAAGCAGTGTAGCTTCCGGAGGAGACCTAATGACGATGGCAAATACTCTAGGAAATTCTTAGTAACTATAAGCTCCTCCAAGCTCGACATTTGGCCAATGTCGTCGGGCAGTGTGTTCAATTGATTGTCATCGATCTTGAGCGTTACTACTGTGCGTAAGTAGCAGAGACTATCCGGAAGTTGACAGATTTCATTGGTCGAAAAATTCATTATAGATATGTCACGCCATCCTCGAATTTCCGATGGAATCACTTGCACTGCATTCATTGTACAGTCGAAATGATTAAGTCTAACTAGCTGTTCTATATTCACTGGTATTCTGCGGATCTCATTGCCATCAATCCAAAGTTCCGTCAGATTAGTCAGGTCACCAACAACTTCAGGCTGCAAAAATAATTTCAGGTTATCGCAAGACCTTAAATATTACTTATTAATCGTTTGGAATATTCTTTACTTACCAATTCGGTGAAATCATTATTGCCTATGTCCAATCTCTGAAGGTTTACCAACCTGCTCATACTTTTTGGTAAGGTCATCATGTTGTTCTCTCGAAGCTCCAAAGTCCTTAGTGCTGATAGTCTTCCAAAATTAGCTGGCAAGTACTCGATATAAGCATCATTTATGTATAACTCTCTTAATCCGACTATGTGCGTGATGGCATCAGGAAAACGTTCAAATGGATTAACACTGATATCTATAGAGCGAAGGTTCTTGCATTCCTTTATGCTATCTGGTAACTCCTTTATACCTAAAAACACGAAATAGTTAATAATATACTTATATAAAAAACAATCTTACTATAGATAGACAGCATACTAACTATTTTTACTGAGATCTAAATATTCCAAGTTAATCAACGAAGCAATAGCAGGTGGTAGTGTGCTGACTTCATTATCACTTAAGGATAGCACACGCAGTTCATGACACTGAAATAACGGCCTTGGCAAATCCTTTATCTATGAAATAAAGCATATTAGCTGTACTGGAAAAAACTGTCTTCATCTCTACAACAATGAACTTACCCTGTTGGCATCAAGATACAATTTCTCCAGTGTTCTTTCATAAATGAACACATCAGGTGGTACGTCATAAAGATTGCAGTGATTGAGCTGCAACTCGCAGACATCTTCCTCCTGCGTTCTGAGGCACGCAGTGCATTGCCACCAAGCACTCCCCATTTCACTCACGTCTGAAAAAAAGACAAAATAAACAAGCTAATAAAATCCCAACAAAAACATTCCTCATTACTATCCTCTCTAAAGGAACAATGAGTCACTCAATCCCTAATTTCAAAATTGTAAGATGACCCTATAGGATCACTCAAATCTGAATTCTCACAAGCTAATCTGCAGGTTAACCCTTTCTCAAGGATGACCTGATGAAAGATCTAATAAAGCTTACTTGTAGAAGACAGCAGCTACTTACTTGTTACATTTGATATTGATTAACTATAGTCCGTAGCAGCACGCATCGCAAGTACATAGGAAACTCGTCGCTACGATAAGAGCGTAGAGAGAGGCAGGCAGGTAACGCAGGTAACATTAAGTCACACTGGTAGATGTATCCAGGGTATCGAAGTGTGCCGTAAGACGGGCCTTGAATTATACGACCTGTAAAAAGACCGAATCACCGGTAAATGCCGAGCAACGCCGAGATAACCCGATAAAAGAATTTGCAGCTACTGGGATGAAATCTCGCGAGCAGTCAAGAGGATAACAGTTCGGTCCCATGGAGCAGGACGATTAAAGAATATCAATTTATTGATTACCCGATTGGTTAACGGTCAAGCTGAGACAAAAGAATGAAGCGTGTATTTTATGCGAGAATAGTACTGTTTCACGTGATAAGCTACATTTGACAGGATTTTGCTCGCGCTGGAGCGTTCGCCGTTCGACTTGTGAACCCCGTAATATCCCGTATAACCGTAACTATGTCTATGTCGATAAAAATTCATGGGATCCGTAGCATGGGGTAACATGGCGGCTTAACTAGATACCATGTGCTGTGGAATGGGAGGCAATGGGAGGATGGAATGCATTGGTATGGACCATTTGCTTGAGATGTTTCAGGAGATGTGAAGGACGGAGAAAATGGGATGAGAATGGCAGGCTGCCATCTGGCGGGAATTTTTTGAAATTTTATTGGAAATCGTAAGCGCCTGATGAATGGCAATCTTTGGTTATTTTAATTTTTCTAATAATTGTGAGATAACAGTTTTGAATCTTAAGGAAGTTTATCAATGATTTGAAATTTTATTCGTGTCATTATAGGTCAAGTATAGTTCGTTATCCAATGACATATGTGAGCTTTATCTTTGCGATAAAGCAGAATGAATATTTTGCACTGGCAAAAGTAGATTGTAATAAATGTTGAAGATAACGACTTAATTAAAATAGAATTTTTTCGCAAGTCTTTTGGACATTGGACAGTAGTTTTTATTTGACTTAAATTTGCAATGATTTCGAGTTTGTATAAGAAAATAGTTGGCACTTCTCCACCACCTGAACCTGATGTACCTAAGATACTTTGTGTCGGTGTCAATTGTCTTGATATTGTGACAGTGTGCAAAGAATTTCCACTGGAGGACTCTGAACAGAGGTTTGTGTTATACATGAAGAATTTTGATCATACAGTTGGGTGGTTTTTTATTTAAAATTTTTCTTTTATAGATGCTTAGAACAGAGGTGGCAAAGAGGAGGTAATGCATCTAACACATGCACTGTTCTTTCTCTCCTTGGAAGCTCTTGCGAGTTTTTGGGTTCTTTGAGTTCTGATCAGCATGTCATTTTTCTTGAGGATGATATGAGAAAACACAAGATAGACTTTTCACATTGTCCTATAATTGATGGTGTAGGATGTCCTATGTCTACTGTCATCTTAAGCATTGCTACTGGATCTCGAACAATCCTTCATTTCAATCCAAATCTTCCAGAATTGTTGCTAAAAGATTTTGAGAAGCTGAACTTGGAAGATTATAGTTGGATACATTTTGAGGTTTGATTTTGTGAGACCATGAAGCATACTAATTACAGAAAATAGTAGAAAATTCAATTTTAAAGAACAAAACATTTTCTCAGGGTAGAAATGTCAGTGAAGTGATCTGTATGATGCAGTACGTAGAGAGTTATAATAATTCATTGAATACATGTCAGAGTGATGACAGTGTTAAATTAGAAACAAATCGCATTCCAATCACCATAAGCGTAGAGCTGGAGAAACCTAAACCAGAGTTGGTCGATCTTTTGCCATATGCAGATGTTGCATTCATAGCGAGAGATTTTGCACACAGTAAAGGATTTGACAATATGAGTGAAACCTTAAGAAATATCGGCGAAGAAGCAAAGTCTGGGTTAGTGTTTTGAGAAAAAAAAATTCTTAACAAATTATAAGGTTTTAATATATTTTTTAGTGCTACAATTATTTGTGCTTGGAGTGAATGGGGTGCTATGGGACGAACTCCTGATTCAATGATAGTACAATCCCCATCATTTCCACCGAATCAAATAATTGATACACTTGGGGCTGGTGATACTTTCAATGCAGCAACCCTTTATTATTTGAACATGGTGAAGACATCATTCATTAAAAAAAGAGAGGAAGAGGAAAGTCATAAAACGAAAGAAACGTTCGAAGAATCATCAGAGACTGATAAAAAACGAGAAATTAAACAAAACACAAATATCGAAAGTACAGAATGCAGTCGTACAGAATTTATAAATGCAAACGTGTTACAAGGAGCAATTAATTTTGCATGTCATGTAGCCGGTGCAAAAATTGGATTGCGTGGTTACGACGGCTTAGAAAAGATTTTAAGAGATTTGTACAAATAAACTAAGAAACGGAATACTTTTATACCAAAAATTATACAGATATATATTGAACACTATAAAAGAATCTTCAAATATATTTTGAAGGAGTGCTTCTAATAAATTTTAGTTATTCAAAATTTACTTCATTTATTGCTTTTTCTTCTATTGAAAAAAAATACCACATGCTTATATATAAATGTACCTACATCATATAGGTAGCAGTTAATTGTAATCTGCTGGTTATACATACAACATTAAATTATGTTGCAATAATTATGGTAAATTTTTCGATTATCGTGATAAACAATTATCTTGGATAAAGAATTGATAAGGTAAAAAATATAAACTGTAAGAGGGAAACCTATTTACAAGTTCTGTTGTTGTGAATATAAGAAAGAAGTCTTCATTTTCCTCTGTCATAATTTCATCAAAAGTTTATGTTACTTTTTTAAAACACTTTTTAGCATTCCGCTTCCACACCACTATCGAAAAAGTCTTGAACCAATCGTTGTGCCTTGTTCGGCATCATCCTATAAAAGAATTATAAATAGTTAATTTTTTGTAATCATACGACAGATAGCATCATCAGGCTTACCCGAGCACTGAAGCAACGTAAATCCATATAACAGGGATAGATATTTCTTTCAAATCTCTCCGTTGTGCAGAGACTATTTGAGAAACTGCCTCTTGTGGTGAAACCAATGACATAAGGCTGGGGAACCTGGAAGAAAAAATATCAATTGTACAGGCTGAAAAAATTCAAGAGTATTTTTCAGTATGGCTGAATGATTATGTGCACATTCCCACCTCGCATTTCAAAACATAGTGTGCTTGGAGAGAAATAGAAAATAACAATGTACACGTGTATATGTAAATATTGCGATTAAAGTGAATGAGAAGAGCGAATGAAATTCAATACTTAATAAAATAATATCGATTACCTCATTTTTGGTTTCTTACATAAACCAGTGTCTACCATGTAGGGGTAGATTGTGGTAAACTTAACGTTACAGTTAGGTCCATTTTTAATTCGAACTTCTTCTATTAAAGCGTCCATAAGTCCGCGCACCGCGAATTTCGAACCACAATATGGTACCAGATTCTCCAGACCCACAATTCCGGCAATAGAAGAAAGAGCTACCACGTGACCGTGATTATTATTGATCATGTTAGGCAAGAAGGCTTGTAACGTCTACAAATAAAAAAAATAGTCAGTAAAACTTTTCCATCTGTTAAAACGCTATGAATGATCTTGAAGTGATTAACAGACTGACCCAGAAATGCGCCAGCACATTTATATCAAAAATTCGACGAATTTCTGCCGGTGTATAATCAAAAAATGTGCGACAGGGCATTATACCAGCATTGTTCACCAAAATAGTGACGTTACCAACTTCCTTTTGGACCTGTGCGGCGACCGTGACGACATCGTCGCGATTGGAAACATCGCATCTGAAAAATGACAATCAACAATGGTAAAGTAAACTAGCAAAAAATAATGAAAAACAGAGTGTTAATTACAAATGAAATATACATACTTGTATCCATGGGCAGATGCTGCACCGAGTTTCTTGATTTCCTTGACAGTATCCTCATTGCCATCCTGATTAATATCCCAACATACAACAGTCGCACCTAAGGATGCGTATTTGATAGCCAATTCTCGACCAATACCATGTCCAGCTCCCGTGACCTAAAAAGACAAAGTTGACAAATAAAAATTTTCAAACTTCAAAAATGCATTCGTCACGCGTGACAGTCACGCAGTGCCATAATATTGCGTATCGAACTACAATCAGATCATATAAAATTATGTAATGACATTTCCACTTGATGGCACAAGCAACAAGTTTTTTCTGCTTTCATTCCACGTAACCATTCCTTCTCCAATATAATAATAATAATCGCGTCATATCATTGTAATATTGCAACATTTCAACCGGTTAGTATAATTGTTCATCATCATAATTGTGATTCATTTCGTAAATCTTTTTCCTCATGACGAAACGAAAGAGAATGACAAAATACTCAACGTCATTTATCTCATTAATCTACAAAAATATTTCAAAAATATATAGGCCTGTTTACCTTGCTTTGTATGGAAGCACGGTATTCATTGTCGTCACACAATTTCTTTGGCGTTCTCCAAAGAGACTTTGACCTCACGTGAAAAAGATCTTGAAATTTATGAGTGTCACTTAAAAAAAGACCCCTGAGATATTTAGATCTTCAAAAACCAATATTCAGATAATTTATTCGAACCCATGTACGTAGAATTGTAGGTAAACGTATTTTTTCTTCTTCTAATTAACAGCAATTATACCAACATTCTTTGCCCGGTCGTTACGCCTATTTTAATCGATGCAATGCGAAATTGCCCTAACTGTTGCTATCAACGAGAATATTTATTCGGACACAGCAAAAAAGCTGAGCGGAAAGTTTTGTTTCATGCAACACGTGTTCATAATGTGCGATCTGTCACTTTATATTGGTTGAAAACGTATAACGAAGTTGAGCTTTCGTGCGTTAAACGTTAATGTAAAGTTAATGGGCAAGAATTGGACGAAATTAAATTTTTCCATTGGCAGAACTGACCCGTAGTAATGTTCTATTAATTAAATTGATAAATTCTACGACGGAGAAGCGGATCGTACCGAGTGAACAGATCATTTTGAGACCTAATAAAGCAATGAATTTTAATTTTAAGAAATAAACAGAATTTCTAGACAATCGAAATTTCTTGGTAAATTTATATTAATGGTTTATGTATTGTTGGCGATAGGAATCTTATGATAAATATTTGCATACTTCTCTTACCAACACGATTTCTCCGACAACACTTTTCTCTTGGACCGGTACCACCAACCTGTATATACCTTCGATGATGCTATAAAATATTTTGATAAACAGCAAAAGCGTGTCTGCCAGGATCAAAGCACCATCGTAAGCTTTCACCATGGTCGTTTAATAATTATGCCTGAAACATAATTTATACAAAAAACACTGTCACAAGTATCTATAATCGTTTTCAGTAATATGCAAATGTATACTAATCGTGAATGTTAATAGATATTTGTAAAATAAACGAAGTTCAATAATACAGTCACTTGGAATTTCAGGAAAATCACAGATCACACTTCTAACTTTGACTGTTGAGCAGCCAGAAAATTATAAAGATTTTCTAACAGTTGGCAAAGTTATTTTGTACGTGGTAAGCGTAGCACATAGAAAGCCATAGGAACGTTATTTTTGGTATAGCAAACACAATCCAGCATATAACCCTTGACAGTTAAAAATACAACCAACCAAGATTCACGTTTTGAAATAGAATTAAAAAATAAAGTGTTCACCAACGTTTAATATATAAGAGAAAGGATATGTTCGGTAAATAAAGTGAAAATTCGGGATTAATTGTAACGAATGTAAAACCACGCATAGAAGAAAAATACCGAACTGCGCGGAGAGACCCGTAAGCATCGGTGTACAAAGCACGACTAAGCTGCTGCTTCTGCGTGTAATGCAACAGAGAGCATTACGAGGCTCAGGCGCGTCTGGATACGAGTGTCGGGAAAATAAAGGTAAACATAAGCATAAGAGGGTTAGTCTGCTACAGACACAAGCTACCTTTTTCCTGTCAGGCCTGATATCCTTGATGTAATTTCTTTACTGAAAAAAACAGGCGTTTTGTTTCTTCTGTATAATCCAGTCAGGAATAATACCAGAACACGCCAGTACGTAGTTGGACAGTAAATATCGTAATAAGATTACTAACGGAGTTGGAAAAAAAAATAGAAATAGTAAGGCAAGAAGAACGATTAATGTTAACGATATAACCGGCACTCAAGTTTTCATTGTTTCCGACGTGAATAACATATCTAAGTATGGTTTAATATAGAAGTTAGTAAACGGTCAAGGACGTGTCGCGTCCGATACATGTTCTAGGTTTTACTATACTGAACTGCTGCATGCTGTCGTATACAAGATGGTTGGGTTACGTAACAACTTTCATTTTACTCCGCTGACTTTGTACGGTTTTTGCGGCGTTTAATTCACAGACCAAAGAATGGCGGGACCAGTTATCATTTGTGAGAGAGAGAGAGAGAGAGAGAGAGAAAATTATGAACGATCAAAAGTAAATTACTTTGAAAAAAAATGCATTCTTAAATTTTGTCGTCGTTTGTAAACAGTTTTGGATGACTATCGATAATTTGATTTTTTATAAAAAAAATAATGATCGCTCAATAAGTACGATCTCTTGGAAGTGTCTAAATTATATTTCTTTTGTTAATAATGTTATCAAACGTATAATTGTTATTGTTTATGTTATGTATCTCTATATGCTTCAGGTAAATTTTATCAGCAAGTATATATGTGTGTGTATATATATATAATTGAATCTAGTTTTCTATTAAAAATATATATGCTCTTGAAAAATTGTCTTAGCGGTGGTTACAAAGCATATCACATTATATCATAAAGTGACTTATTGATAACGATAAGATACACGTGTGATAACTAGTTTTCAAAGATAACAAATTATACCCGTACAGTATAGCATATGGAAAGAAAAAAATTCTATAGGGAACAAAAATATAATAAATAAACAATAAACTTCAAGAACAATGAGATTGGCACGAACTTTGAATCTACTTGAAAAAAATAATATATTGTGCATCAAGGGCGATAAAATAGTTCATTTCATAAATTTCGGGGATAAAGTTCCGAAAAGTGCATACCTCCGAAAAGTATGGGTCTTTGTATTCTGACGTATTTTGACGTGCTGATGACGAATATAATAGTAAAAATACCCGCAAAATTAATTTAAAAAAGAGTAAAGTTCAATTGCCAGAGCGTAAAGTGTACTTTTTTTCATACTGCGTGTAACGTGAAAAACACTGAAAATCGAACTTTACAATGAACTTTAGTCACTGCCGTGCAAAGAAATAGCGTGTGCACCTCGTTCGTGACTGTTTTTCACTCCCGTGATCGCGACAAGATTGATCGCCGGTTCCGCCGGCGACACGTCTTCAACTATCACCTCTCGTGAAAAAAGAGTTCACTTCAGGCATTAGTTGCATAATATACTATTTAGACCCGATGTAGCGGGCACAAAAATTTGTATACGCCCGGTTGCGAAGTGCGCATGCGCAGACGTCACCGGACCCACAATTAGCCACTAGGCTAGACAAGCACGAAAAGGAGCGTTTTCAAGGGGAGTTGGACAAAAATATTTTTAAACGTGACACGTACGGCTGCTTCAATAACAACGTTCATTGAGATATTCGTTTTACACGAACGAACGAAAGAAAAACAAAGAGAAGATTTGAGAACACAAACAACACATATGGAAACAAAAACGCGAATGACGATCTGAAATTTTCACATACATCTACAATTATTCAAATGATTTCCCTGTTAAACTGTCATCATAAATTTTGTTTTCTGTAATTAACGATACTCCTCTAAGCAAGGTCGCCACTCATATCCTCTTTGTTTTTCGACTTGTGTAACTATGTGTGTAACTATGTTCCTTGAATGTGTCGGAAAGGGATTCGTTTCTCGATATGCATGGCTTTGTAATATTGAACGTCAGTCATTGAACCATTCATGGTTAGACAGCTCTATTAATAGTAAAATCCATAGAGGGTGGACGACGCATTATTGTTAGATTCAGTCGAAACAGACAAGTTCTGACTGATATGCTGTCAGATATGCTGTTAGTGATTTTTTAAAAACATTCAATGTCACGTGGTCGCACTGTATATAATTGACAATAAGTATCGTTCTCGATAATTGCTGTATAAAATTACATACAATTTTTCGTCAGTGTTATTACACACGTATGATTATTTCATAAGCACTCCTTAAAGTCACGATTACTTAGTTATCTCATGGGGGCAACGTTCAATCATGGATCAATTTGAGTTGACTTTCGAAATACGTAATTTGATACAGAGTTCACGTAAATGACGTCCAAGATTACGATGTAAAGTTACCCCGTTCTAAAGTTATTTCCTGATAGAGTGCTTTTGTAACTTGTTGGCAAAACTGTAATTCCTTGATTCCCTGAACTTGATGCCGTATTCCTAGCACATGGATCACCGTCAGCGTTATTTTCCTTAACGCTCTAAATTCTAAAAACTTATCTTGAACGTTATCTGGGATCTTACCAGTGACAGCTCGCGCGTAGGTACTGTGGAACTGCAGCACCCCCTATTTACAATTGGTATTATCGATAACAACTAAAAATTTTCTCGAGCTGCTCCCGCCATTAATTTTAGCTACGAGCCGCCACTGGATCTTATTGTAATGGAATATTAAGCAATCGTAGTTAAGAGTATATACACGAAGGCCCATTAGCCAAGTTGTCCATAAGGACATACAATATTTTCATTATAATTTAGCATGACGCATGTTTTGCTCATTACTTACCATGCAATGATAATAAGTGTACTATGTAAATGCCTTCAAAAATAAATATTAAAAAGAACATTGATTCAGAGCGTTGTGATAATAACGGGAAGGACCCTCATGGTCCAGATTTATCTTCTATAGCGTTAATACGTATAACAATATAAATTAGCAATAATATTTACAAACACCTATCAATTTTAAAAATAAGTATCAATCTGTGTTTATATTAATTTTCAAAAGATTTCATCAAGTTTTAATTAACAATTTAGCTTTTTTCCGTCAGCCAGTGTTTTTGGCCCGTAAATCGTCTACCAAGTAATTAAACAATCAGGAGAAACATCAGTTCGCTTAGGTAAATCGAAATGGTGAGATAGACAGCTTCAAATTAAAAAAAAAATTCGATAATTCTGTGCGCAGAGCATTTACTGGTCGTGGGGTCTTAGAGCCCCATTTTTATCGAGGACGAATTTGACACGACGGTGTGGGGTCGATCTTAGGACCAATGTAGTTCCTACGGCAGGACACGAGAGCTCGTGACAACTGTTATCGACGCGTACCTGAATCCTTTCTCTTCTCTAGAATATGCCTACTTCGTTCCTGCAGTAGATAAGGTAGAGTGACCCAGGAAGTATTGGTTGATAAAATAGTTTGGATAAACGTAAAAACGAAATAAGTTAGGGAGCTGCATGAATGTACCATTACAGGTGCTCGCATGGCCACCTGTCGCACGCATGCGCCCGATTTCTAACACCTTGCAATAACCCAACGCCAGTGTAAGCCAAGATGGCGAGTGTACTGACAGTTAGTGACAGTTGTCCCTCGATTATCTCGTTGTTTTCGTGCTACTGAAACGTGAGCCAGCCGATTATGTGACCAGGAGAGAAATCTGGTGCATATCACGACAGTCTCTCGGAGTTGCTTCAAACGGTATTCTAATTTACTTGAAGTTAGCTGATACACGTTCGTTTCTTGATTCTACACCCCCTGCTACCTACTGGTACTACGGGGTGACATTGGCAATGCTTTATACATCCACTATGAATCTATGACAGGTCTTTTACCTTTGCGAGCATTGAATTTCATTTCCCGTACAAGCCCATTAATTTTTTTTTTCTTCAATAACAATAATCGACCAGTAGATTTCCTTGGAGGGAAAGGCAATCGGTTCTGGTGGAGCTCTGTTACGTTTGTAGCGGGCATTGTTTTGCGGACTGTTAAATGGGAGTTTGTTGTGAAAGCATTGACGAAACGTGGATGCACGTAACATATTTCCACTGGTTACTACTTCCTTTCCGTGCAACAGCTGGGGTCCAACTGACAGCTGAAATAAAAACGATATAATTCAACCGTGAAAATTAATCGCGCGAATCGTGAGGCGATTAGAAAAAGTTGAAGTTGTGATTAGCGATTGGAATTTCTGAAAAATTCAATATTTAGTGGCTCAGGCATATGAATGTCGCAATGAGTTATATTATTGAATTCAATAAAAGTGAATAATGTGCTAAGTGAAGGCAGTTGTGTCAACGTCGATTAATTATTATTGAAAATTACAACTGCTGTTCAAACATAAGGCTATTGTGCAATCTTATAAATTTCTTTAAACAAACAAGTGGAAGTGTTACGGATATTACGTAGTTATGCATCAAGGTCCTGTGGCGCAACGGATAACGCGTCTGACTACGGATCAGAAGATTCCAGGTTCGAATCCTGGCAGGATCGGTTCTACTTTTTTTTTTCATAATCTTATATACAAACATAATTCTATCACAACGTAAACTGGTTATAAGGTAGTTCCAGTTTCAATGTTATATTTCGTGTGCGTTTCGAAGCACAGCGTACTGACTCCGGTAGATTTACTATTTCGTAAATGACGTACGGAATCCGTAGCGTCGAAAAGTTTCACAAAATGAAAAGCAAACGAAAGACGTTGCGCTCTCCCGGAATAGTACAGATACCGAAGATACCGGAATTCCTAAGAGCGTCTGCATTTCACGTATTCGTCAAGAGCCTTGATGCACTTGGCTGCTTTGGCTGGAAAGCGTCCCGATTTTAATGGAAAATAAAAAAAATGTCAAAAGACTTGCGTGAGAAACCGGTATGATACATAATATATATATAATTTTTATCTCAGCAACAGTCCTCACAATGACACTGGAGTTTACTCCTCGACAAACTGACGTCACGGAGAAACGCCTAATTGCGATACCTTAACGTTCTTGATGAATTACAAAAAAGTCTATTTTATTCAGTCTCACATCAAAGGAGAATAATTGATCTCGCAATTAATGCCTTTTACAAGCTGGCAAAGACAAAACAGAAATTTTTCGTTTATGCACTTCTTACACCATATGGAATATTTTGTCAAATTTTTGAATTATTTTTTTTGAAAATCATTAACAAATTTATTTTTCTTATTTTTTCCACGGCTTTAATACAATTCGCGAAATTTTCTCTTTCCGTAAAATTATAGAAAATCTGGTGAAAAAAATTGTTCCCCGTCAATCAAATATCATTTTCCATACATTCGTCATATTATTTTAAATTTGACTCCTTAATTAACCCAAAGGCGAAATGTAAAATCGCACGTTCGGGAACTTCGTCGCTTTAGTATTCCACTCGGTGATACGCGACTCGCACATAAACGTCCAGCCAAACGATACAGGTTAGCTGACCGTTTACTTCGGATTTGGTACCGGTACCTTGGCGGTGTCTATCTTAATGATGATATTGCCGAAGAAGTGCAAACGATCTGTCATTGTTTTCTCTTCCACAGAAACACAGTAATCCGCGTATCCAGTATCGCGAATGACGTTCAGATTAGATTATAAAACAGTCGGCTGGCCGCCCTCGGCGGAGTTGCAATATGCCTCTGTGCGCTGTCCTCTTCATCGTAAAGCAGATTCATTAATTCCACTTGAAGCCAAATAGTGAGTGTTAAAAGTGATTTGTGAGTCGCGTGCCGGATCCTCAGTGAAACTGAGCTGGACCAAGTCGAAAACGTGAACGAAGCGTGGATTGTCCCATCGAACGGGTTTCGATTTATTTTACTAGACTTTTGCAACAACAACAAAAATGCAGCGTAACGTCGTAAAAAGTTGAGGCAGGAATAATCGATAAAAATGACTACCGTATTCTAGATCCTCTCTAAAGTTCGTCTAAATACTCCTATAAAATTTTATACCAATCAAATATCATCGATAATCGACGTTGTTCACGCTCGAAAATATTTTATAAATTTTTCGCTCAATATTTTACTTTCAGCACAAGGAATACGTAACGATTCCATAATTCCTAAGCGTGTCTTCTTATTGCGTGTTCATGGGCTCCTGCTGCTTATGCGGAAAGGGAGCGGCTCAGCTTCCCACCTTTTGTTCCTCAGCTGGCTGATCGGAGTTTGAATCATGGTCAGAAAATTGCGACATCCTTCTTTCCGCCTCGGTTCCGCAACGCAACTAGTTACGGATCGGAAGCGTGACCGGCGCTGCATATACCGAATAACAGTACTACCTAGAAACATACTTAGATACTCATTAAATGTAATTCAGGTACACAAGCTCGCGTTCAAGGAGCGACGAATTCGTGAAAAATCACCGGACATTACAAAGATATCGTCAGTCGCCATTTTCTAAATTATTAAATACCTTTCGACGAACGTCGAATTCAAACGTGACTCACCCAGCAGCCATTGCTCATCCCAGGCTCTTTATGTGACTCAGTACAACAAGTTTATGTCGGCTCTTTTTCCTTTTCTATTTATATATATTTTGCACTCACAACTTTCATATAATTACACTGTATAGTATGTATCCATGTAAAATTACTACCGTCGATAAAACAGCGAGCAACTGTATCGACTACGAACCATTGCTCTAGTGCCGACGAAAAATGGATATACCGCTATAGTTATCCATCGAAGTGGCCAGACTCTTTCTTGAGCCAATCGAAATTTTTCGAAGGTACTCGTGACTATTCCGTCGTAAGGTTAGCCCCTGCTATGTTGTCGTGGCCAAAAGGAGAAAAATAGTCCAGCCAATGATCGAGCACCAAGAGTAATAGAGTCAGTTGGTTGGGAGACAATGGCGGACTTAGCCAGCCGTAAAAGTCATTAGCATTCTAGGATGATCGTCATTCCCGTATCCATAGTGAGCACGTAAAGTTCTTTTTCCGTTCTATTGATTTTGCCTCCAATATATTTTCTTTTAAATTCCCTTCACGAAAATAGCAATGTAAATTGTGATCGTGTCGACGATTCCGTTTGCTCCCTTCTGGCGCCAGACGTCAACTTGGTATGTCTCTGGCTATTTATTAGATATCAAAGGAATCCAATTTGCGTAATCAAATTGAGTCGATGTCTTATACTGCAGTGGAACTTTTTTCCCCTAGTTTTACTACCGTGTGGATTCCACAGCAATGTAGTCATAGAAAATCGAACAGCTTGGATCCCCATTAATTAATCCGATTCGCGACGTATTGAATAGATGGCGACACTGTTTTACTTACCGGATCGTATATCGTTGCAGATCTATTCAAATGACGTGATGACGCTACATTGGTGGATGCACTGGTTTTGGGTTACGATACAGATAACCGGTGAGTATTAATTTTTTTTTCGGTGCCAGTTTCCGTAGTTAGTATTTGAATAAAGCGCCTCTCGACAGGTAGCCCTCTGGACGAAATTTCATTAACTATTCATTCCTTTTTCACATTACAGTCATCTTGGCCAATCCTCTACCCTCGACCACTGAACAACCACGTGACGGAGCCAACAATCAAAAATACCTTCAAAGCACGACGGGGAATCCCCTATCGAGCTCAGAGGATTCCTACGTTACGTCCACCTCTGCTAGACAGAACCTTAGAGTGGCCAAGGCGATTGGAGTAAATCCGCAATTCAGTACGGATACTCAATCTAAAGAAGCTTCTGTAAATGCCTCCGTGGAGACTTCCGGAAATGCTACTGGTCTTGAGAATTTCACTAGGAATTCTAATACGACGAGTTCATCCAGAACGAACTTGACTATCGACCAGAATGAAAGAACCGGAAGTCGCGTGGTACCGGCTAAGAAGGACAGTAGGATCACCTGGATATTCACGTCGAACAAGACCAGCAGGGCTAAGCTTGATGATGGAAATTCCAGCTCCTTATCCAGCACGGGCGATAATCAAGATCTTACGGTGCTACCACTTCACGAGGAGACCACGAGGTTCAAACTGGTACTCAACAAGACCAGGAACTTATCCGGGGATGGTTTGACCGCTCGATTCAATACGTCTGAGGATGTTGAAATCGACGAGGAGACGGCTGAGCAAAGTGTCATGGCTACTGCAGCCTCTGTCCTTCAAGGTTGATTGGTCTTATATAAAAGCATCGAATATGGATATTGTTTTAATACCAAAGAATATGGGTTGTGTTTATTGAATTTCTTTTTTTTTCTTAGCCAGCGTCAGTGAATCCACCAGACTCAGCAGGGCTCGCAGTGCTTTCACGAGTGACTTTCAACGTGATACCGAGCCCAATCAACCATCTGAAAACAATAGCAGCATCAATTCTGGGTCAGGGAGTACTTCGGCGGTTGACATCGCCGCCATTACTGGATCCTGTTTAGCCACTGTGGTCCTTCTGAGTACCATGGGTAGCCTTGGTTTCATTATGTACAGGTAACCAGGTGGCACTTACGAAATCACTATGATTTCTCTAAATATTTGCACAGTTGAGTTGGCAGTGATTTTAGTTTTATTTTTTTCCTTCTTTTTCTTTTCTTTGCACAGACGAAGGTACCTCAATCCACCTCAAACGTTAAATAGCGACAAGTGCAGCAATCCGGACAGTTCTGGTTACATAGATGACTCCACTATACGGGTGAGTGTGACTCATTATTATCACGGACGTGGTTAACATCCATGGACGATTATTCAAATTTCATTGTGTTACGTGAAAAATAATTTCGTAGGACAACTCCGAGGAAATGTACAGCCTGGATAACGACTCGTTCCTGAATTCACTGGAAGCGATGACAATACAGAATTATTGGACGGACAGCGTGAAGCATACGAAACTGTGACGTCTCAGAGACTCTGCACGGAGAATTCCTAATAGTTATGAAAGAAAAAAGCGCGCGAAAAAGACGTAATTTAAATCAATAAGGAAAACATCGTACGGGTCACTCTGACGGATTTTCTTCGAGTGAACGAAAGACGAGAAGAAAAAAATTATTAACTAAGAAAAAAATCTTCAACGTCGTGGAGATTTTTAAATTAGGTTTTATTATTTTTCTTAGAAAAAAAAAGTACCGTCTCCACATTGCGGAGACGTCATTCCGGGAATTAGTATTTAACAATGGATCTAGTGCAATAGTGCGACGATAGTTCGATGTACTTTATAACGGTACAATGTAATAATGGGCGGGCAAAAACTTAGAGCGATAAGTACAAAATAAGACTTTTAGAAGTTTAGAGAAATAGTATTCGAGATACGACGTACGAGTGATGGAAGAAGGAAAGAAAAAAAAATTGAAAAATTAATTGAAAAGAATGGGGAAAAAAATGTTGAAAGAGGGAGATAATACGGATGGATAATGATCCAGGAGTAAATACTAGGGATGTGTTCCATAAACGACTGTATTTATGTGTATCGAATTAGATACGATAATCGATCGGTGCAAACGATAATTCTTCATCTCGAATATCGCACGAGATTTTAGGATGACGTTTTAACCTTATCAAATTCTATATGTAATCAGTGACCCAATCCCTCCCTCTTTCTTTGACGATACACATGAAAATATTTCCAAGCATATTCTATTTAAAATGAATTTTTTTCCCAAGTCTTAAATCCACCGATTTATATAGATTCAGTTTATTATAGTCAATTAGCCTATTATTGGTATAGCTACGTTTCAACTGGAGGAATGGTCTTCCTTTGTCGCCGATAAAATAATAATTGGACCAAAATTAATGAAGAAAAAAATACTTAGCGTAGCTTTTAACGCCTTTGAGAACATATCCAGCTGAAGCGAAAGGAGGCTCTTCCGCACGGCTCCGTTTCAAGTATTTACAATAGCCTTCGATTTACAAGCTCTTTTTTACATCAGTAGGGTGCAAATATTGTAAAAAATTATCTCGGTCAATGGAAAACGGTCGATAATCGTGATGCTGGAATAAAATTACGTTGTCGACTTTTTTTGTTATTGGCGACCTGACATTGGGATTTTGTGTTCTCGAAAATTTTGCACTTGTAAATTTTCTGCTATCCTTAAGTGACGCACCGCGTGAGACTTTTACGGGTCCACGTTTTCTGGTAATAAAGTTTATTTTAAAATAGACCTAGATACAGAAGACACTCCTTCGAATTACCATATTATATTTCTATACGGATTAGTATTTGGAGTGATCGTCGATTATGCGAATCCATTGTGATAGAGTATTTTTAGTCTCTAGCTTTTTCAGAGGCGTGTTTTTCTCTAGTGTTTAGACAGATACTAAACATTTAAGCCTTTGGAGCAACAGTCCGCAGTCACACAGCAACTATGTTTGTTTGTTTGATAAGAGAGAGAAAGAGAGAGAGAGAGAGAGAGAGAGAGAGAGAAAATAAATTGGATAAGGCATATATCACCGGTTCGTTTTACGATTACGGTTGTGAATAAATACACACATTTATTATTACCATTTACGTGCTTTTTCATTTGATTTCCCATTGGCCCAAAACCTTTTCCCACGATGAATTGAATTCAAGCAAAATTCGTGTAAAAGATTTACATTAAACACTTGCAGTTTCGACAAAAGAAGCAAATATTCGAATAAAAAACAATTCACTTTAATTTCGAAATTGTTGTGTCTAACGTAGGCTATCTTATTTTGTATAAACGAGAAGAGCTACTTGTCCACAGGGTTCCGAGTTTCACCGCGAGATGGCGGTAGCATACGGTCTTTCGTTAAATACTAGAATACTCAGTGCACAATTTTTGATCAGAAACTGTAAGAGATTCTAATGCGACTGTCAGTTGAAGTTGTCTAAGTTAATTAAAATATCAGTATGACTGAAAATAGAGAAAATAACAAAATGGCAGATGCATTATATATTAAAAGACACAAGGAAATACGGAGACTGCGGAAAGGGTCTAGGTACGTAACCGGATGCGAGTCCCCCTCATAACCCAAGATAAAGATAGCTCACCCTCTCAGTTTCTCCCTACATTTCAGATTTTAGTGTTCAGACTAAACACCGACTGGAAGGGATCCCAAGGAGGGTATGCCGAGCAATGACGAAATCCCCAGAGAGCCCATTGATCCTCCTACCAAGATAATGATGGTCGGTATGTGATCATGGCAAAGAGAATAACGACGGCAAACAGTGCGACAAGCGTGTGCCGAATTACGTCACGTCGTAATTATTTAGACTCAACAAAGTTTGGCGAAATACGAAAATAATAAAATAATTTTAATAACAATTCAGCAGCTACGTACATGCAGTAGACATTTCGCCAAGAACCTCACCCTAATCAAACAAACTGAATGTCATTTGACCAAATCATCGCGTGCTCCCCGCGCAGGTGACAGATCAAAGAATATTCAATATGGCAGTCACAGACCTGGATGGTATTGGAAAGAAAAAAAAATGATGAAAAATAAAAAAAAATTTCAAAACCTACGAAGATCGGACGACGTCACGTGGTTCAGGGTGAGGAACTCGACACAGCTACTTACTCCCGGTGCTGCACCTGTCCCTTGTGTAACGCGGAATCGGTGTTGTGATACGTGTGTAGGCAGCCACGGCTGGCTGGATTGCGCCATTGCCAAGGAGCCAGGGACCTTTCCGTACCGCAGTTAACAGCCATAGATATACAACAACAGTAGGATCTTACGCAATCCTGGTTATCCTTCGAGACTTTGCGTCGAGCACGATTCCACTTTGCGATTATACCACCTTGAGATCGGAGGATAAGGGGGTCTTAGGGGTTAGGGGTATTAGAGAATACTTTTAGACTGGAAGCCGCCGGATGTACTCACAGATGACTTCTGTCTATGCGATGCATTCCTGTGCACTGATTGGGCCTGAGCTCCCGACCAAATATAGAGTCTCTGCCTTTCAAGGTTAAGGGCTCGGAAGGGGAGAAGAGAGACAAAAAACTAGGAAGACACATCCGAGAACGAACGAGAAATAAGGGACACGTGAATAGCTCAGCACCGGAGGCTTCTTGTTAACTGTAAAATATATGTAGGTAAAAGCGTGCACGTGAGTTAAAGAAATTATGAATTTTAAAAAAGAAGATTTTTCAACGTCGAACTTTATGACCGATATGCGATTCTCCTCGGTTATACGTATACGTGGATATCGAATGAGACATTGTAGGTTAGGCTGACCGAGTAAAAGACGATTTAATTTTGTCCATATATTTACCGTCAGGTTTCCAGTCTACCCACGCACAATGCGTGACCGAGAGTTATGCATCCCTTTGACGTCCCTCTTTGAGTCAAGGGGGACTCAAATCCCCCGGCATGTCCCTTAACGTTCATGGCTTGGTTGGTCAGGACCCTAACCCTCTTACGTCATCCACGTGCACGCTGAGTCACAACGTTGCTTCCCTACCTCCACGGGGTCCCATAAACATTCCCTAACCGTGTTTGTATTTTATTAACGCCTTTAAATTATTCTCGAGCCAACCCCTGCCCACGAGGGATACTGACAGGTCGCCAAGGCCATTTTATGGTCGAACCTGTTTCAAGACAGACAACAAGCGCCGTGACACTTTCTGTTCGGATTCCGATGAGACGTCTTGGGGACGGATATTTTCCTTTGTTATGATGTATCTATATATGTAAATGAGCTTACCTACTAATTCCTTACTTCTTTCTATTTTTTTTCACTATTTTTTAACACTTCTCGCGCGATCCAGCAGGATCGTACTTATCGGCTGGGAACGAGATTCGATCTGAATTGCATCACTGTTGCGCATGCGCGTTGCGTAATGGCCGACAATGTGGCATGACGTTGTTCATATGCATATATTCCTTTATGTATATACATATATCGCGTGTAGCTGTGCTGCAGTCTCACAATCAGTACTAAATCATATACAGTATATATGTATATACTTAGTATTGCGGAGTTTTACTTAACGGGGCCATCGATACGTAATGTAATTGCTCGTGGTAATTGGCGCCAATTTCAAAAGGAGACTCGACAATATTTATGCATTACGATACCGATTAGATAATGCACATTGAAATGGTATACAATTTTTTTGCCATTTTCAAACATGTATAAACGGTTTCGAAAATCTTTGAAATTTCACGAAACTTCTTACGTGTACGAAGAAGCTTGCCCTATCCTATTGTCTATCGTATACGAATAGTATATAAATACAAGTGTCTTGACTTTGGTAAAGTTAGTTTTGTGAAATGAGTCAAAGAGGCAACCTATCGGTTCTTGCTTGATACCGTTAGTCATACTGTGACAAATTCAAATACAGTCTATAAATATTCGTGTAGAACAGCGTAAACGACATTTTTACATTCCAATCGCGTTAAAAAAATTTGTTTAAGTGATACTCAAACGAAGGTAATTTTCAAATGAGAATTTCGTTATTTATTTTGAATATTTTATAAATTCAACTTTGACCATGTCAAATTAGAGGGAATAAAAGGCAGAGATCGTAATGGCGCCGATTAAAAATAATAAAGGGAAGAAAAAGGAATCTCGTGCACGTTGCCGCTACGATTCTTCCGACTATTCCGATTCTTCCGACTCGACGGATTTTTCGGATTCGGATTCCGACTCTGATTCCTATTCCAGCGACAGTAGCGACTGTTGCAAGTGTGCGGAATATGAATGCCGTCGAATGAAAAGCCGCCAAAAGGGAAAGGGCAAGGAAAAATCGAAAAGCAAAACAGCGAAGAACAGAGCACCGCGCAATAAGAAAAAAACTGTTCGTCGTAAGAGTAAGTAATTTTGAAAACTAAAATCTTCTCTTTCCTACATCTCATTTTTTTTACATATTCCAGAACGCGATTCGTCCTGCAGCTGTTCGTCCTGCTGCGACTACAGCAGCGATGAGTGTTACGGTGACAAATGTCAATTGGGAAAAGGTCGCAAACATAAAGCCTAATTTTCAAAATATTTAAATATCGTCTCACCTTAAAAACCAAAAACGCTGGCGTTTTTAATTTTTCCCCCAAAAAAAGGATCTCTTGCGATAAGTAACATCGAATAAGAATTTTACAAAGGATAACGAAATATTTTATGTGCCTGTGATATTTATATTATGTAATATGTATTTTTTGTACGTTTAATTTGTGCCAATAAAGAAGAGTCAGATCGAAAGAAAATATTGAGTGTACAAATTTATAACCATAAATTATTTTACGCGATCTGCAATAATATTTAATTTTCAATTATTACACGAAAATATTATTCGTCCGTTATCAATTTCGACGATACGTAGTCAGGATATAAACAGACATTCGAAATTAGTATTAACCTAGAAAAGGTCAAATAATCTACTAGCAATTTTGAAAACGAAAGTGTATAGAAAACAGTTAGTGAAACCCATAAAAGAATCCTGAAGGATATTAAGGGTTCCACCCTTGGGTTGAATAAAAGGGTCTCTGCGTAATATATCACCCTTACCCGGTAGCGCAGCATCCTCACAGCTAATCCTAGAAGGCAGGAAGAGCAGATCCTGTATAATTGCACCGAGGGTTGTAGGGAACGCATTTTTTTTTACTTCAGGACATAAGGTTGAAAAATAATAATTTAAAGTTTTTTTTTAAATATATAAAAATCAAAATCAACCCTTGCGTCACTGTTACTCTAGTTACACAATTTTTGATGAATTTTCAATTTTGAGTTTAATCAAACAATACGTCCGGACGAGACCTTAGTCGACCTGAACTCAAATATCCTTAAGGCTAAAATCAAGCTAGCGACAAGGCCTGAGTGTTGCTCAAGACTCAGCAGCTACACGTACACGGTATGAAAATTCGATAAAATTGAAAATAACGCCAAGCAAAGTAGACACGTAGTAACGATGTTGTAAGTGAAAAGGGGCATGACTATTTTGGATTTATTATTTTATGAGATAACACCGAAGAAGAGAGGAAGTCGAGCAGACTGTCACCGACTATCTGAGTCTATCTCGCATATACACACGGTCAACCGCAGCATCCATTTAACAACCGGAAATGAAATATCAGACCAAAAAAAAAAAGATAAGAATTTACCGATTATCTATTTTCACTAAAAATTTACATTTTCATTTTCACTCCACAATTCTCATATACGTTAACACGGCACAGTCACGTGGAACTGTGCAACGTGCTGGCATTGGGTTCACGGCCCTACGTTGTAAACATCCCAGCCAGCAGCAGTTGGTGACGTAACCTCTACGTATATTGGCTGCCTAGAAAAGTCCTAGATAAAAATTCGCCAAAGTACAAGAAGAATTAGAAAAAAAAAGCAAATCGTAGAAATTGTGACGAAAGTGAAAAATATTTTCAAAATGAAGAAAAAAAAATTTTGTTCCCTCCCTCCACGTGAGACAAATATCTTCCCATCCTTACTCGAAATGACGACCAGCATCCGCAAGCTGGCTCCAGCGACCAAAAGGAGATGACAGGACGGCACTTCCTCCATGGGGTGAGTTATTTTTGAATCTTTTTCCAGCCTCGTTATTTACGACGCGCAAATGTTCCAGAGGGCGCCTCCGAGTATCTCGTGTCAAAAATAATTCCTTACAGGATGAAGGAGGACGTGTGCATCGCCGCCTGCAGTTACACGTATACGTAGGTGGGAGCAGGGGACTCTGGGTAATGGTACATACAGGGTGGGTCGAGACGCCACGAGAGAAACGTGCGCGAGTGTCGCGCGAGAAATAAAAATAAAATCCCTCCTCAAAAAAAAAGATATTCAGACAATTTTTCTCTTTTCAGCTAAAAATACACGAGCACAATAATTCTCAATGATTATTCGTGTATAGATATATCTGAAACATAAGGATTTTCAAGCGCCATATTTTTAGGACTTATTTTCACGTGTATCGCACGCAGGACTCTCCGTTGACGTATCCATATATTACCAGGTTACGTAGTCGTAAGTATAATTCCATTTGTACGATAAGAGCGCTGACGTATGTCCACGTGGTCGAGAACACGTGTTTGCCGTGCGGGACCTTACGTAAGAATCTCCAGATACCTAGCGACCTATCTCTCTCTCTCTCTCTCGCTCTCTCTGAATACCTGTTACTTCTACAGTATTGGTCTCCTTTGTTTCCCCTTCCAGTTGACCATCCCCCAGACCCCAGCCCTTCGGTCTACCACAGTTCTGCAACAGCATTAGGACCCGTTTACATGGGCTGATCCTTTACGACCCACGTAACGCGTAGCAGTCGAACTGGTTCGACAGTCAACAAGTCCCACTTGAAATTACAGATACACCGCGTTGGTAATAACTGCTGTCATATTGTATAATGATTAACTTGCCTAATAATTAATGCAATAGATGTAGGAGACAGTATCCAATATGTATGCAATTGAAATAATTTCAATTCTCAGTATGATTTCTCATATACGTTGTGACGTGATTTTTCGATTCACGGTCAGAAGGCGACTCCGACTACCGATACAGGTAATGTTTTCAATGTCTGGTTCCCTCGAGTCGCCACCCTGCTCAGAAGCTACGCTCTCGGGTTGATTCGCATAGTTACGCCAATGCTCTCGTAAGATTTCGTTATTGTTTAGTTGAGGTCGAGGTGCTCGAATCTGCCGCGGGGAGGTAGGCTCGACGTACCGAGTTGCCCGGCAGAGGAGACGACCCGACGGAGACGTCTCCACGGACCGGCAGAAGCCCGGGTGAGATACCGGCGCCCCGCTGGAGATGGGCAAAGGGCTGTAGTGCGGGCGGAGATAGAGTTTTGATACGGTTAAGGGCAGGGGAGGAACCCCCTGACCCGGGGTAAGGATCCGGTGCCCAGCTGTCGCCCGATGTCCTGGGGAAGCGGCCGTGGAGGATTTCCAAGAGTTACGTACCGATCCGCTAAGGAACGCTGTCGATTTTGTTTAAAGGGACGAATCGAGGGAGTTATTGGCTATAAGGATCTCGACCAATCAAAATTATTAGTTCTTGTATTTGGCTATTTTGTCAAAGCAGTCTGCCTCGGGGCACCAACCGAGGTGTCACGAGCTGCCTCGCGCTCCCGTGCTATCTGTTGATAGTTTTTCTAGCTGTGTTTCGATACGGTATAGCAAGTTCTCGCTCGTGCAGTTCTCGCGTTGCTCTCGCGATATCCAGGAAATTCTATGGATTTCCTGTGAGTGTTCCGGAGGTGTAGTGTTGTGCCCTAGTGCAGTGCCCACCTGAGAGTCTCCTGGATGCGGTTCTCGGACTTCACGGATCAGCTGCACCAGCTCCGGTGAGTTCCAATTTATTAATTGGTGAAGGGATTTCGATTTGATACGTCCGATTCGTTCTGTTATATTCTCGATCCGCTGCTCTCTGTATCCCGCACTATCTGCCTGACTCTTACTCCGACCATCTCTAGCTCAACCTAGCAGCCTGAGCGGCTGGGCATTTCCGTAACCGTCCGCTCCCGTTCGTGCATCCAGTTGCGTTTGTTGATTTTACGCGACCCCAAAAATCGATAGGATCCATTAAGTTATCGTCTCTTCTGATAGGTTCCGTCAGAGCTCTTGTTTTGGTGGAGTTGGGCCTGTTCCACCCAAACTCCCAGTTCATACCGGCTCGTCAGTTCCCGGTGAAAAAAGAATGGGCTGGCGCCCGCCTGGCTTGCGGATGTATGAGCGAAGGGTGGACGGCCGAAGGTAACGTAGGTTGGTTCTCGAATCTTTTCGCTATCGGTGTCGAGTTAAGGAAAGATACGTTACAACGTTTACTGTAGAATTTAAGAATCTATGTTTTCCTCTATTTAAAAGAGGTAGTAGAGGTGGAGTGCCATAAAACTAAAAACTATTGAGTATAATATAAATTGGTAAAATTCGTAAATAACATTACAAAGTTTCCGATATTCATTTAAATATTCGCTAGCAGAGGTAACGTCCTTCGAGAGAATACGAAGGCAATTTTTATCAAGCAACTGTTATACATTATCCTTCAAAGCAAAATAATCGATTCCGTATCAGTAATAATAGATTTAATATATTTCTTGTGATTACAGTATTACAGTAAGACGTAGCTAAAGGTATTCTATTTACAACGCCCGACTCCCGTCTAGCCTTATCCAGTATAGTAATTTTTGCTATAAGCGTGGCAATGGGTAAAACGGAGCGCAGTGCGCCCTGCGGATTTTAGATGAACTAATATCATATGGTTGACAACCGTTGGAGCTACTAGCTTTTAGATAGTTTCTTCTTCAATTTGAAAATCCAGTTCCTTCGAAGTGCTTGTCTGTTTATGATGTGATATCTTTTGACTTGGTGCAATTACGATACTACTATCATTAGTAAATGACCTTAATCACTGACCAATCACAGTCACCAGCGCTCGAGCTAAGCCACACAGGAATCCGTAGCGTCTCGTAAGTCATCCTGATATTTCCATATAAAATGCGTCTAGAAAACCCTAACACGTACCATTCTATTAAACATTACACATTCCTACTCTATTTTGTATACACTGCTGTGTACAAAGTATGTTATAACCTCATTCGAGGAAATACATAAACCAATAAGCATAGCAAATAACGTCCGGTAAATAAAAGTTGTTACGTACTTTAATATAGGTTAACGTTACTGAGACCAGACTTAAATTACCAAAGTAATAATAAATAACGTAATGATTAAGACTATGGCACAAATATAGTTCAGCCTGATAATAATGTCTGTTAATGAAACACAATCGGTCTGATACAATTTGTACGCATAATAGGATATAGTATCAAACAGTGACTTCATACCAGGACTAGAAATGGTAAAAATTACTATTCTAATTAAGGACCAAGATTCTCTCTAATGGTATAATTCGAAATACAGCAAAAACTAAAAGTCACTATTCTGGTCAACAAATGATTACTCCTAAAGTACAGTGCAGTTTAATATGTAAAACAGCACAGTTTAATATAATAAAGCTATTCTGATTCATGTTTGAGAAAAAAACAAAAGCTACAATACAATAATTTATTTTTTATTATACTGGCACATGATAATTTGCAATACTTTTCTTTGCTGTTTAACGTATTAATTTATATGAATTATGAAATCTTTTATCTGCAGTTTTTCTTGCTAGACTATTATCATAACGTGCATTTTTTCTCAGTGTACTTATTTGAATTTCGAACCGACATACTCGAGCAACTGTTAGAACGTATAGGCGTCGC